GCCAAGTGTCGATTCAGAGACGCCATCTGTAGGAAGTGTTCCAGAAGGGGCCACATCGCTAAGGTCTGCCGATCGGCTCCGTCTGACACCCCCCCTTCACCGACTCGCAAGTCCAAGTCTTCACTCCAGTCTGCCAAGGAAAGCTGTTTCGCTCTCACCAACTGCCGCTGCCCGTCTGGAACCACGATTGGCCAAACCGACTCGCCTACGCGACGCAAGCTGAACGTCACGGTGCTCATTGAAGGAGCTCCATGTGACATGGAGATCGACATGGAGGTCTGCCCTGTCCATCGTGTCTTGGAGCACCATCAAAAGACTGGTACCCAGAGTGTCCAAAAGGCAACTCAACTCTCACCGCGTACACCTGAGAGACTACCAGGGAAACGACATTCCCGTGGTAGGCGTTGGCCGGTTCCGGATCGCCTTCAAGGATTTTTCGGGCCTGCTCCGGTTGGTGGTGGTCGAAGGTCAGCGGCCAAGCCTCCTAGGGCTAGACTAGTTTGATGCCCTCGGCCTGGAAGTCACGGGCATCAACTGCATCTCTAACGCAGAGACTGAGGGTCTGGTCAAAGACTTTGCCGAGGTTTTTGACGGCACTTTGGGGCAATATACAGGTACGCCCATCTCCTTTAGCCTTGATCCACAAGTCGCCCCCATCAAGCTAAAGCCACGCCGGGTTCCCTTTGCTCTCGAGACTAAGGTGGACGAACAACTGGACAAGCTGATCGCCCAAGGAGTTTTGGAGCCGGTTGACCACGCCAAGTGGGAAACCCCCATCGTCACGCCTGTCAAGCCAGACGGGTCAGTGAGAATCTGCGCTGACTACAAGTGCACGATCAACAAGGCACTTCAGCAGCACGCTTATCCGGTTCCTGTTGTCCAACACCTGCTGCATTCCCTGGGTGAGGGTAAGGTCTTCGCTAAGCTGGACCTTGCCCAAGCCTATCAACAACTGCCCATCGATGATGCCACTGCTGAAGCATAGACGATCGTCACCCACCGAGGGGCATTCCGTTGCCGCCGGTTGCAGTTCGGGGTGAGTGTGGCTCCTGGCATCTTCCAAAGCCTTACGGAGCATCTCCTGCAAGGGCTTCTGGGCGTGGTACCATATTTTGATGATGTCTTGGTGTCCACAGACTCACACCAGCAGCTGTTCGAGCGCCTCCGTGCTGTGCTGACCAGATTCCAAGAGGCCGGGCTCAAGGTAAAGAGGGAGAAGTGCCAGATCGCCGTTCCACAGGTAGAGTTCCTGGGCTATCTTATCGATGCCTCCGGCCTTCACCCGAACACATCCAAGATCCGCGCTATCCAGCAGGCCCCCATCCCAAAGAACAAGACGGAGTTGCAGGCATTCCTGGGGCTGCTGAACTTACTTACAGATGGCGAGGCTCCACCTACACCTCCCTCGCAAACTGCCAGCGTGGAGCCGAACCAAGCCGCTTCAGAGGGTCTGCCAGACTTACCACAGGCTCAGACCACTCCACTTGTGGAGGCTCCACAGCAGCAGATCCAGGGGATTTGGTTTCAACGCCACCTAGGGTTGCACCACAGCCTCAGCAAGAATTGTGTGGCCCCCCGGACTTGGCTACCAGTCCCCGGCGGTCTGGCAGAGTTTCCAAGCGCCCAACGTATTTAAAGGACTATGTTGTTGGACATGTATCACTGTTGGTCTAAGTATGGGAAATGTAACCGATATGCTTTTGTGCCTAATTGAACCATTACGTGTAGTGCTGTATATAAGGAAACCATTACGATTGTAACTAACGCCTTATCTCGGTGGGGAGGGGTGTTATGTATTGAAGTTCTCACCCTGGCCACCAGGAGTATTGTGTATGTAGTTTTCACTCAGGTCCACGTCAGTTATTTTAGGCGGGAAACCCTGGGTTGTTGTTGCTACATTGTTGACAGCTGGCTGCCTATAAAAGCAGGCCGGCTGAGCTGTTTGCAGTTCAGTTCCGTCCAGCTTACAAATAAAGAGCTGCTTTGGAAGAATCGCTGTGTCGTCTGCTATGTCTACCCACTATTCAACAGAAACATAACAGTAGTAGAGAGGTTGCATTTTCCAAATAGAGAGCAGATAACGTAGACAAATAAAAGCAGCAAGAGAAATTCAAGTTTCCTGATTCGGCCCCAGACACACTGATCAGATGTTTGGAAGCTGTGGCTGGATGGTTACGTGGGAGCCGGTTGAAGTTAAATCCTTCGAAGACAGAAGTCCTGTGGCTGGGACGGGACGATATGGGATTGGGGGGGCAACTTCCATCTCTTGCGGGGGTGCAATTAGTGCCAGCACCGCCCGTTAAGAGTTTGGGTGTAATCTTCGACACCTCCCTTTCCATGGAGGCACAGATTGCAGCTACAACAAAGGCAGCATTTTTTCATCTCCTCCAAGCTAAGCAGTTGGCTCCTTACCTCTCTCGCCCTGACCTAGCCACTGTGATCCACGCGACGGTTACCTCCAGACTGGATTATTGTAACTCGCTCTACGTGGGGCTGCCCTTGAGACTGACCCAGAAACTCCAGCAGGTGCAGAATGCCGCGGTGAGACTCCGTACGGGGTCCTCGCTGCGAGATCACATTCACCCGGTGCTATACCAGCTGCACTGGCTCCCGGTGGGGTACAGCATCAGGTTTAAGGTGCTGGTTTTAACCTTTAAAGCCCTATACGGCCTAAGACCCTCGTACCTACGGGACCGCCTCTCCTGGTATGTCCCACAGAGGAACTTACGGTCTTCAAATAAAAACATATTGAAGGATGGAAGCGAAAGCATTGAGAAAGCTCAATATGGAGGCCAAATGGCCAAAATATTGGGAAATTCTGGAACAAGAGGGAGACAGATTGAAACTGCAGAGTTTTGAGAAACTAAAAAACAAAGTGCGAGATTGGCTTCATTATTATCAGATAATGGAGGCATATAATTCGGACAAGAAAATTGGCTTCCAGGTGGAAAAATCAAAATTAGAAACAGAACTGTTAGAACCCAAAACTAAGACTTTATCAAGGATGTATAACTTGCTGTTGAAATGGAATACTCAGGATGAAACGGTGAAATCCGCTATGATTAAATGGGCACAAGATGTTGGACATAGCATAATGATGGCTGACTGGGAACAGTTATGGACCACAGGTATGAAGTTTACGGCATGTAATGCCTTAAGAGAGAATATTATGAAAATGATTTACAGGTGGTACATGACACCAGTCAAGCTTGCAAAAATCTATCATTTGCCCGATAATAAATGTTGGAAATGTAAAGAAACTGAAGGTACATTCTTTCACCTTTGGTGGACGTGCCCAAGGATTAAGGCTTTCTGGGAGATGATCTATAATGAATTGAAAAAGTATTTAAATATACCTTCTTGAAGAAACCAGAGGCCTTTCTCCTGGGCATAGTCGGCCAATTGGTGCCAAAGAAGGATAGAACTTTTTTTATGTATGCCACAACAGCAGCAAGAATACTCATTGCAAAGTATTGGAAGACACAAGATCTACCCACTCTGGAAGAATGGCAGACGAAGGTGATTGACTACATGGAACTGGCGGAAATGACTGGCAGAATCCGAGACCAGGGAGAAGAGTCGGTGGAAGAAGATTGGAAGAAATTTAAAGACTATTTACAGAAATATTGTAAAATTAATGAATGTTAGAATGATGTTGGATAGAAATTAAATGGTTTTTAGCAGAAATATTATAAGGGAATATGAAAAATGGATTACTAACAGGTAAAAATTTAATGTTACAATACTTTAAGATTAGAGATTAGGATAAACAAAGAGGGGAAGGATTTGCTGAACCAACAAACTGAACTGGAATACAAAAAAGGGAGGCGTGAGGAGGTCCGGGAAACAAGCTAATGAAAAATAAGTAATCGAAAGATTGACTTGTTTTTAACTAATTTTATTTTGTATTTTTCTTTTTTATTTTGTAATATTTTGAAAATCTTAATAAATATCTTATAAAAAAAAAACACATCTTGAAGGTCCCAGGCCACAGAGACGTTAGGCTGGCCTCAACTAGAGCCAGGGCTTTTTTGGCTGTGGCTCCAATATGGTGGAACGCTCTGTCACAAGAAACTAGGGCCCTGCGGGACTTGACATCTTTCCGCAGGGCCTGCAAGACGGAGCTGTTCTGCCAGGCCTTTGGTCGGGGTTCAGTCTGACTCCCTTTCCCCTTTCATAAGAACTTGCATGAAAGTGGCCTCCCAATTTTTCTCACAGGCCCATATAAGTTCAGCACGAACAGTTGGGCCTGGTGAGCATTTAAGGTCCCCAACCCTAATCTGCGGGTTGCCATTTGATTGGATTTTATACTGATCCTGATCTGATTTGAGGATGTATTTTAATTGATTGTCTGATTTTATGTTAATGTGTTATACATTTGATGTTAGCCGCTCTGAGCCCAGCTTCGGCTGGGGAGGGCGGGATATAAATAAAATTTATTATTATTATTATTATTATGGATTTTAATTTTTTTTAATTGTCTTATGGTCATGGTTTTAAGCTGATTTCATTTTATGTGAGTGTAATGGTTCTAGGGGTTGCTCGTGCGTGAATCGGCGCCACACCTGGCTGGGTTGCCTGAGTGAACCCTTTCTGTCCGCACAGCCACTCGCCCGTGGCTGTCTCAATCGCTGGCAGAATCCGTCAGTGGGCGTTTCTTGAACTTCTTCCAGCACAGAAGTTCTTTGACGCCTAGTCTCCGCCTAGTCTCCCTGCGCAGAAGCCTTCTGCGCAGGGAGGGTGTGGGCAGCGGAGGACCCGTGCTCTCCCCGCTGGTCCCCGGCGAGGAGTCATGGAGCCACCTCGCCGATTCCCCCATCTGCCCCCCTTCTCCACTGGTGCTACGCTGATTTCCTTCCCCAGAAGATGTGCTGCTTCTCTCCCTCCCGAGACGCTCTCCGGAATCCCTCTGGAGCCCTCCCTCTCCCCCTGGCTCCAATGGCAGTTCCCTGACAGTGAGTTATATAGGCCATAAACAAACAACAAATAAAAGCAATGAATTCACTATTCAACTCAGTTCTGTTTTATTATGATACCAAATGAAAAGATTTTTAACAATGCACATGATTCTACATGTGAGGAGCAGGTAAAATATGATACCGACCTCCAGTTTCAGAGGAAGCCACCCAGTGACCTACGCATGCGCCCTGCCCTGTGCATTTAGACTGACATTCCTCTTAGGAGCTCTTGCAGCCCAAGACGCAAATGTGCTTCGTGCGCAACTCCAGCTGGGTATCCCGAGAAGAAACGCCCATCGTCTCCAGAAACCTAGGGGAAGGAAAGCAAGAGAGCAGAAACCAGGGTTCAGTTCCGGGATTCATTGAAATGAAAACAATTACTGGACGAAACACCTTGAAATGTCCAGAGCTAGCACCGCTCCATCTTTTCACAGTTCAAACAAGTTCTTCTTTTGACGGCAGCCAGGCGCATAATGGTGAGATACTTAGAAGAATTTGGGAGGCTGCCTCTTTGACAAACTGGTACAATAAAATGCGGCAAACAGAAGGTGTGGGGAAATGGGACTGAGGACATAAAGCTGGCATAAGGTTTGAAGCATGGCTTATGCAGATTAAATGAATAGCTGGCATCTGGCAACACTCCTGACTTCGCCACTCACATGCGTTAGCGGAGATTCCTGCAGTGCAGGGGGTTGGACTAGATGGCCCTTAGGGGTCCCTTTTTAAAATATTTTTTTAAAATTTTTAAATAATTTTAAAAATAATTTCCTTTTTAAAATAATTTTTTAATTTGATTTTTAAAAAGTATAAACATGTAACAAAAAAAAATCCAAATATTGAGATTACTCTGAATCTCCTGACTTCCCCCACCCATCCCTTCCATGGGTCCTACTGATATTTACAACTGCATATCAATACTAATCCAAATTTTTATCCTTCTAAATTATCCATACTTGCTGTTACTTTACAATTGTGATAAAAATCCTGCTAATGTTTTAACTTGCTTACAGTAGTCTCGTAGATAAATTATAAAGTTTCCCCATTCTTTCTTAAAGTTCTTGTCTTCTTGATTTCTGAGCTTCCCAGTTAATTTTGCCATCAACTTGGTTTGCCATTCTTTTCTGGTCATGGTTATCTCTTCCTTCCATCCCTGGGCTAATTTTTTGGCGGGGTGTGTGGTTCCCATCCAACTTTACAATTCTGTTACTATACATGGGAATCTTTTGAATAAAAAATTACACCGTGCATATTGGAGCTGAATTTTAATTGCAGGAAAACATATGGAAATCCAAGCCCTTCTGCTTTGCTAGCATCTCGTACTGAGAACAGTTACTGGTAAATTCTACTGCATGCCATCTATGAAAAGACATGCAATATCACAGGCTAAAGACTTCAATGCGACTCTCCTAGTGCACAACCATGGTTCCTTGGCCCTTCCACATCTGGCTTACTCCAGCAAACAGATTTTGTCACCTTCGCTCTGTGTTTTGGAGAAGTGATTTCGCCTCCTCAGGCTGGGCTTCCAGATAAAGTCGGTACTGCGAGAGTGACTGGATATATCCTATTACGTCAGCAATGCTCAGGGGAATTTTATCGAAAATATCCATCATCCTAGAAAGAAGCAGAAAGCTTTAGGAGAAGTTTGGGGCTGAGTTGAGAGTACGGAAATCTTTTGACTACGGAAGTGCTGTCAATCATATGTATGTTTGCTCAGAGGAGTGTGGCTGTTCAACTTAGTGACTTTGACAGCATTGTTCCGGAATTCCCAATTTGCATTTGTTTAGTTAAAAAAATATTTGTACGTTGCTGTGTCATAAAAATATATCAAAGCCGTTTACAGCAAGAAAACCATACAACTTACAAATTCAGTAAGTTGGAAAAAAAAGAAGAAGTTGAAAACAGGTATCATTTAACAACTGTGGATGCATTCTTAATAGTTTGCATAAGCTTGGTGGAACAGAAATGTTTTTAGCAGGAGATTGAAGAGATTGGCATGGCTGGGTCCATGCACCGCATTGTACAAAAGGGCCTGATCCACTCACCTCTTCTTCTCCTGAAAGGGCAAAGAATCAAAGATTTCTTGGTAATCATTCTCAAGTGATTTGAGCTTTTTATTTCTAAAGGTGAAAAGCTGGTCTACCACCTGGAAAAGAGAGAGAGAGAGAGAGAGAGAGAGAGGGTGGGAAGCCACAGTCATTTTTTTTATGCTTGCAAAATCTCACTGTTCAAAGCATGCTGCATAAAAGAGGATGCTGAGCTGTTAAAGGTGCAGAAATCCGGAGTAGAAAAATGATTAACATGCAGATGCTCCCTATATGGAAAGACTAAAAGCACTGAAGGAAATGTGTGAGGTGTGGCAGCCTATAGAATAATGTAGCGTGGTTCCTCAGGTTACATACGCTTTAGGTTACAGACTCCGCTAACCCAGAAATAGTGCTTCAGGAACTTCAGGTTAAGAACAGTTTCAGGTTAAGAACGGACCTCCGGAACAAATTAAGTACTTAACCCGAGGTACCACTGTATTTCAAGACTGTCACCCAGTATGTGCCCATTTGATGGCTGGGATCTGCGAAACTGGCCCTTTCACAAGTGTCACGTAACATTCATTCAGCACTTACAAGAAATCAATCCTTTATTGTGGCAGCACTTGGGAACTGCCTGCCCATTGACATACCTGGCTAAAAACTTTTTCATTCCCACATGCCTACCTAGGTTTTAGTAGCTATAAGTGTTTGAAATGGTCAGTTTTATTTATTTCATGTAACACGTTTTTAATGTTTTTTAAATTGGTATTTACCAAATTATAGTCAGACCTCGGTCTTTTTTATGTGGTGTGTGTGTGTGGAGGTCTTTTTTATGTGGTGTGTGTGTGTGTATATATGGACTATTTTAATTACTGAGCGGGGGTTGGTAAAAGTGTTGAAAGTCATGGTGCTTTGTAGAAACTGGCTTTATAAATATTACTGTAATAAACGACTGGGCCCTGAAATGATATTCTTTTCCATAGTGCCAGTGTTTTGCAGGAGGGATTAAAATGCATCCAGGACTTGTAGGTTTGCTCAATTAACCTAGACTGAAGGACTCTTCTGTCCTTCTACAGGAAAGACACTTAAAAACAACAACAACCCCACAGACATTTGGGGCTAGAAAACTGGCAGGGATAGCCCTGAAATATGTGGTCTGAGGGCAGACCTCAGGTCCGAGGCCTGTGCGATGGACTGACCTCTCTGAAGATCTCGGTTAACTCGTCTGTACAATCTTTGTAACACAACTGCATGTCCCAGTTGTAGGAGCTGAAGACCACACAGCCTGACGGCTTGAGAACTCGGTCCACTTCCCTCAGAAAGCGAGGCCCGTCAAACCAGTGGACGGCCGCAAACGCCGTGACCAGGTCCACAGAGCCATCTTCGAAAGGGAGGTCTTCGGCAGGGCACACCCTGTGGGAGGAGATGGCAAGGTGATTGTTCGAAGCCTGCTGGATCAGGCCCAAGGCCCATCTGGCTAAGCATCCTGTTCTCACAGTAGCCAGCCAGATGCCCCATTGGGAAACCCGCAAACAAAACCTGGGTGCAAGACCAGCGGCAGAGGAAGCTGCTCGGGCGCCTGGGGCAGTGCGCCCAGTGGGTGAGCCTCCAGAGTCTGCCTGCCTTCTCCCACTCAGCCACCCTACAGCCACAGCGTCACTCCCAGTAGACATGCGTAGCTCGGGCGCACTGCAGGCCCGGCGGTGGGTGCCGCCCAGCATTTTGTCACCCCCTCAGTGGTGACACCTGGGGCGGACCGCACCCACCGCACCCCCCTTTCTTGGCCCCTGTGCAAGACTCCTCTCCCCTCAGTGGTTTCCAACAACTGGAATTCACTAGCATTGCTGGCTCCAGCTGTGGAGGCAGAGCACAGCCATCGTTATACCACCCAACATTTCTCCGATGAAAATAGGGATGTCCTATTCCATAATCAGTGTATTTTTTATACCCAAGCCATCTGACTGGGTCGCTCCAGCCACTCTGGGCGGCTTCCAACATATATAAAAACATAACAAAACACTGCACATTAAAAAAACCCCAAAAACCTTCCCTGTGCTTCAGGTGTCTTCTAAGGTTGTATGGTTGCATAACTCCATACCCTCGAATGAAAATTTGGACGTCCTAAGGAAAAGTAAGACATTCCGGGGCTGCTTATGTAAATCTGTAACAAATGATGGCTCCTAGAATCCTCTGGGGGAAGCCATGACTATTTAAAGTGGTATGATAGCGCTTTAAATATACTTTCATATTTTAATACTTATTATCTAATTTGTGGAGTAATTGGAAGTGTCTCTGTGCACAAACATCAGAACATAAGGAAAGCCTTTGGATCAGGCCTGGGCCCGTCTAGTCCAGCATCCTGTTCTCACAATGGCCTACCAGATACAAGGGGAAGCCCACAAGCAGGATTTGAGCAAAATGGGTTCCCTCCTGCGGCTTCCGGTAGTCAGAAAAACTGGCCTTCACTCTGCCCACCTTGTAGGTCCAGCAGAGGCATCGTGGCTAGTAGCCACTGATAGGCCTCTTCCTTAATTTCTCTAGTCTTCGTTTAAAGCCTTCCAAGTTGGTGGCCATCCCTGCCTCATGTGGAAGGGAGTTCCATAGTTTAAACATGCGCTGCATGAAGCTGTGTTTTCTTTTGTTGGTCCTGAATATTCCAACATTCAGCTTCAAGAGTTCTAGTGTGATGAGAGAGGGAGAAAAGCCTCTTCCTGCCTGCTTTTTCTCGGCTATCCACGTGCGAGATCAGCTCCTACTTACAGATAAGAGACATTGGGCGGTTGTGGAGCTCTCCTGGCCTCCTCGATCTGAGCTTCACTGATGTCTGTCCCGACCACCTTCTCAAAATGTTTTGCCAGCATCTGAGTGCTTTGGCCCGAGCCACAACCCACGTCGACTGCCAGCTGCCCGGGGCTCACTCTCTGAGAAAAGATAGCGACACATCTCAGAAAAAACCAAGAATAAGCTCCAAATACCTGCACCTCCCTACCTCAGAAGGAGGATGGGGAATCCCCAACATGGAAGTTACATACGCTTCAGGTTACATACGCTTCAGGTTACAGACTCTGCTAACCCAGAAATAGTGCTTCAGGTTAAGAAATTTGCTTCAGGATAAGAACAGAAATCGGGCTCCGGCAGCGTAGCGGCAGCAGGAGGCCCCATTAGCTAAAGTGATGCTTCAGGTTAAGAACAGTTTCAGGTTAAGAACGGACCTCCGGAACGATTTAAGTACTTAACCCGAGGTACCACTATACCCATCTAGGTCCGATACATGAGCAGTTTTCACTCGAACACAGTGAAACCAGCCGTGAATTAACACAAAATGTCATGGGCTGCTTGGACGCAGAAAAATGGCGGGAGGAACTAGCTGGGTAAAAGCCAACTCCATTTTCTTCTTATATCACTGCCACCCCCTTGTTACTACCTAGGCACAGTACCAAGGGGTCTAAGACCTTTTGCTAGATTTCTAATGTTTGCTTATTTTGAATATGTGTTTACCCTTAGCCTTATGCCTGCTAGAAGTTTTCACAGAAAAGGAATAATGAAAGATTGGTTGTTTACAAGAAATGAAAGAGACAGAATATTTACTTCGGGCAGCAAAGTGACACTGTAGAATCGTGGAGTTAGAAAGGACCAGAGGCGCAACAGGGCCTTGTTTTAGGCTGCTCAGCCTCCTCGTCTAGCAGCTGACGCAGGAGGTAGCGCTGCCTCTGCCGCCGCTTTCCTCACAACCTCCATCCAGCCCCCAGAGCTTCAACTCCAGATATTTTGGTCTGGATTGGAGAGAGAGGAGGAGAGCTGGAGGGGAAAGCAGGCATTCAGAGGTTTTTTTCAAGGGTGCTCCCCATGTTGCACATTTTCACTTATGTGTGTGGGGGCCTCAGAACACAACCCCCACATAAGGGAGGGGGAGTTTTTCAGTGCCTGTACTGTTATATACCAATGTTAGGTTATGGTAAGGGTCTTCTAGAGGAATCATTTACCATGCTAATTTTTTCCTCAAGTATTAAGAAGGCCAGGAAGCCTTCCAGGACATCTTCAGGATAAAGATTAGTATCAGAGTCAAGAAAGTTCATAATGGAGCTCTCCTTTTATATAACATATGCCAACTCTACGAATGCAATGATCTACGGGTATAAGTTCAGACTGACACACACTATTATGTTCTTACCTTTTCTTCCAGGTATGAGAAGATCACGCCCTGTAGATTCTCCTGCGGGGAAAACCTGTATTTTTGATAAATAGCAGCGTGAGCCCTCTCCTCAAACAGACGAGTGGCCATGGTTTCACGGAGCACAGCCTGCAACTACTTGCAAGTTCAGAATGACACACACTACTACGTTCTTACCTTTTATTCCAGGTACTAGAAGACCACGCCCTCTAAGTTCTCCTGCGGGTACAACCTGTACCGTATTTTTGATCAACAGCAGCGTGAACCCTCTCCTCAATAAGAGGAGTGGCCATTTCATGGAGCACATCTTGCAACTTCGTGCAAATTCAGACTGACACATTCTATTATGTTCTTATCTTTTCTTCCCTGTAGGTTCTCCTGCGGGGAAAACCTGTATTTTTGATAAATAGCAGCGTGAGCCCTCTCCTCAAACAGACGAGTGGCCATGGTTTCACGGAGCACAGCTTGCAACTTCTACAAGTTCCTAGGGACACTGGTCTGCCTTTGTGTGTTTTTAAATGTTTTAACAGTGAAGTAATTTATTGTAGCGCTTTTAAATGTAATCAGGCAATCAGATAAGGCATTATCAGATAACCTGGGTGTTATGTGTTGATGTTCTCACCCTGGCCACCAGGGGTATTGTGTATATAGTTTTCACTCAGGTCCACATAAGTTAATTTAGGCGGAAAACCCTGGGGTTTTGTTGTTACAATGTTGACAGCCGGCTGCCCATAAAAGTAGGCCGGCTGAGCTGTTCAGTTCAGTTCCAGCTTACTATAAAGAACCACTTGGAGAAATCTCTGTGTCAACTGCTATGTCCACCCACAACTTAATACTGGCAGACAGAAATAACAACAACATTCAAATTTCTGTTGTAGACCACGTTTTCTGTGATGTATGTATGATGTATGGAGGGGTGGTCTTGAGCTCCAGGGCAGGGAATTTAAAATGTCTATATAAGGGCAGGCACACCTTTGTTCAGGGTCCTCCTCCTTTCCTGCGTGTGAGGGGAGCACCCTGTTGTAACAGTTCAATAAAGATCAGGCTTACTAGCTGCTTTGCTTCTCAATATTTTCTGGTTGGCCTCCAGAAAACTTTTTCATTCCCGCATGCCTACCTAGGTCTTAGTAGCTATAAGTGTTTGAAATGGTCAGTTTTATTTATTTTATGTAACAGGTTTTTAATGTTTTTTAAATTGATATTTCAAATTATAGTCAGACCTCGGTTCCTGAATGCCTCCGTTTTGGAACGTTTTGGCACCCAAACACCGAAATCCCGGAAGTAACTGGTTTGGTTTTCGAACGATTTTCAGAAGCCAAACATGCTACGCGGCTTCTGTTTTGAGTTTCCCTATTGTATTGAGGCTTCGGCTTTGTTTTCGGTTGTTGAATGTTCAGAAGTCGAATGGTCTTCTGGAACGGATTATGGTCAACAGCCGAGGTTTGACTGTAATATTTTAGACTGCCTTGTAAACCACTTGGAGATCTTTTGTTTTATGTGGTGTGTGTGTATATATATGGAATATTTTAATTACTGAGTGGGGGTTGGTAAAAGTGTTGAAAGTCATGGTGCTTTGTAGAAACTGGCTTTATAAATATTGCTGTAATAAAATAACAGAAAATAGCCACACAGTCACAAATGTTTCTGCATAGGAAGGTCTTAAAACTTCTCCAAAAAACGTAAAGCAAGCTGACCATAAGAGCTTCTCATGGCAAAGATTTCAGAGGGTGGGATGAATTTTTCTTATCCCCTTCATGTCCTCGCCTGGACCCTGAAATGATATTCTTTTCCATAGTGCCAGTGTTTTGCAGGAGGGATTAAAATGCATCCAGGACTTCTAGGTTTGCTCAATTAACCTAGACTGAAGGACTCTTCCGTCCTTCTACAGGAAAGACACTTAAAAACAACAACAACCCCACAGACATTTGGGGCTAGAAAACTGGCAGGGGTGGCCCTGAAAGTTGTGGTCTGAGGGCAGACCTCAGGTCCGAGGCCTGTGCGATGGACTGACCTCTCTGAAGATCTCCGTTAACTCGTCTGTACAATCTTTGTAACACAACTGCATGTGCCGGTTGTAGGAGCTGAAGACCACACAGCCTGACGGCTTGAGAACTCGGTCCACTTCCCTCAGAAAGCGAGGCCCGTCAAACCAGTGGACGGCCGCAAACGCCGTGACCAGGTCCACAGAGTCGTCTTCGAAAGGGAGGTCTTCGGCAGGGCACACCCTGTGGGAGGAGATGGGAAGGTGATTGTTCGAAGCCTGCTGGAATAGTTGTTCGTTTATGGCTGATATAACTCATATAAAATGAAATCAGCTTAAAACCATGACCATAAGACAATTAAAAAAAATTAAAATCCACAATGAATGCCTTCACACTAAAGGCTTAGCAGACATCCAGTGAACCTTAGGAGCATACAGTACAAATGAGAGTCCATCTCCTCCCAAGGATCAAAGCATCCAGACCAGTGTGTACAAGTTAGGACATTCTCAATGTTACCAATAGCAAGACCTTAAACTTGTCCTGTAACCTATATTACTGACTTACGGTAATTTACTCCCCACGCAATTCTGGGACCTGTAGTTCTGGGAGGGAAGGAAGGAGGCAAAAAAACCTTTAGAATTTTCAGCAGCCTTGCTGAACTGCAATTCCCAGAATCCTTTAGCAGAAAGCCTTTTTAAGCCGACATAAAAACCCCAAACTGGCAAGCCTGTTTAGTTGCAGGCTAGCAGCTGTGACGAATGGAAGTTAAAGTCAGGCGAATGTAAGAGTTAGTTTGGGGCGGGTGAGTCGAGGCTGTTGTAAACAAAATCTGCCCTTTTTCCCTTATGGGGTATCCAAGAGCCCATATAGAGTCCTTACGTGGGTTCCCTATTGGTAGGAGAAGATAACAGAGGCCAACCAGAAAATATTGAGAAGCAAAGCAGCTAGTAAGCATGATCTTTATTAAAGCTGTGGCAACAGGGTGCTCCCCTCACACACAGGAAAGGAGGAGGACCCTGAACAAAGGTGTGCTTGCCCTTATATAGACATTTTAAATTCCCTGCCCTGGAGCTCAAGACCACCCCTCCATACATCATACATACATCACAGAAGGCGTGTAACCCAAGAACACCCCCCCCAGAAACATCATGCCTACATCACAGAAAACGTGGTCTACAACAGAAATTTGAATGTTGTTGTTTTTTCTGTCTGCCAGTATTAAGTTGTGGGTGGACATAGCAGTTGACACAGAGATTTCTCCAAGTGGTTCTTTATAGTAAGCTGGAACTGAACTGAACTGAACAGCTCAGCCGGCCTACTTTTATGGGCAGCCGGCTGTCCACATTGTAACAACAAAACCCCACGATTTTCCACCTAAATTAACTTATGTGGACCTGAGTGAAAACTATATACACAATACCCCTGGTGGCCAAGGTGAGAACATCAACACATAACACCCAGGTTATCTGATAATGCCTTATCTGATTGCCTGATTACATTTAAAAGCGCTACAATAAATTACCTCACTGTTAAAACATTTAAAAACACACAGAGGCAGACCAGTGTCCCTAGGAACGTGCAGAAGTTGCAAGCTGTGCTCCATGACACCATGGCCACTCGTCTGTTTGAGGAGAGGGCTCACGCTGCTATTGATCAAAAATACAGGTTTTCCCCGCAGGAGAACCTACAGGGCGTGATCTTCTCATACCTGGAAGAAAAGCTAAGAAGATAATAGAATGTGTCAGTCTGAACTTGCACGAAGTTGCAAGATGTGCTCCATGAAACCATGGCCACTCCTCTGTTTGAGGAGAGGGCTCACGCTGCTATTTATCAAAAATACAGGTTATCCCCACAGGAGAACCTACAGGGTGTGATCTTCTCGTACCTGGAAGAAAAGATAAGAACACAATAGTGTGTGTCAGTCTGAACTTGCAAGAAGTTGCAAGATGTGCTCCATGAAAGCACGGCCACTCCTCTGTTTGAGGACAGGGCTCACGCTGCTATTTATCGAAAATACAGGTTTTCCCCGCAGGAGAACCTACAGGGCATAATAGTGTGTGTCAGTCTGAACTTATACCCGTAGATCATTGCATTCGCACAGTTGGCATAATTTTATATAAAAGGAGAGCTCCATTATGAACTTTCCTGACTCTGATACTAATCTTTATCCTGAAGATGTCCTGGAAGGCTTCCTGGCCTTCTTAATACTTTAGGAAAGGCACTGGTCTGCCTTTGTGTGTTTTTAAATGTTTTAACAGTGAAGTAATCATTGTAGTGCTTTTAAATGTTTAACAGAGAAGGAATGTCCCCGTTTTCCTGTAGCGTAGTGAACTTTGGCACCGGAAAGAAGCCTGCCTCTTTCAGAATGCTGACTGTGCAATGCTAATTATTTTTCAGACTTGCTTTTTTGCAGCCAAGAAGCAAAGGATTCAGCTCTGAAATCCCTCTAGGGCAGCCTTGTAATAAAAAAAATTAAGGTCTTATATATATATAATAAATGTTCATAAATGTACCAACCAAGCACATACATAGATATGTGGACCACATGTCTGGAGGAGCACAGGAAGACCGTCCTGAAACCATTTTGACTCCCAAACTGACGAAATGTTTTCTCTGCGTGCAGGGAGGGGGTGAGGGAACCTTCCCTTTGTCTCAGGAATTGGGAAACCACCATCTCAAAGGAATGGGCAGACTACCAGAAAAGGCAATCAGATAAGGCATTATCAGATACCCTGGGTGTTATGTATTGATATTCTCACTCTGGCCACCAGGGGTATTGTGTATATAGTTTTCACTCAGGTCCACATAAGTTAATTTAGGCAGAAAACTCTGGGGTATTGTTGTTACAATGTTGACAGCCGGCTGCCCATAAAAGTAGGCCGGCTGTGCTGTTCAGTTCAGTTCAGTTCCAGCTTACTATAAAGAATCACTTAGGGAAATCTCTGTGTCAACTGCTATGTCCATCCACAACTTAATACTGGCAGACAGAAAAACAACAACATTCAAATTTCTGTTGTAGACCACGTTTTCTGTGATGTAGATATGATGTTTGTGGGCGGTGGTCCGGGGTTACACCCCTTCTGTGATGTACGGTATGTATGATGTATGGAGGGATGGTCTTGAGCTCCAGGGCAGGGAATTTAAAATGTCTATACAGTATAAGGGCAGGCACACCTTTGTTCTGGGTCCTCCTCCGTCCTCCTGCGTGTGAGGGGAGCACCCTGTTGCAATAGCTTTAATGGTTTTATTAGATTTTAGATCAAAGCAATAATTTACTGTGGGAACTAATTGCCCTTATAAAATTAACAAATGATAAAGTGATTCAAGTTCACACACACACACACACACACACACACACAATACTGAGTCTCTCTGGCCAGAAACAGCATTCCTCCTTAATCCCATCTCCACTGTCATAATTAAAAATACATGGTTTTAATATGTTTGTATCCCTGATAAGAAGAAGCAGGAGGGCCAACTTCTGTATTTGGTTACCTAGCAAGATAATGTTTAATAGATACATTTATGCTTGTGATATAGCCACATATAATGCTTTTAACTAGACAGCATCCTAAAAAGCAGAGACACCACCTAGCCAACAAAGGTCCATATAGTTAAAGCTATGGTTTTCCCAGTAGATGTATGGAAGTGAGAGCTGGACCGTAAAGAAGGCTGATCGCCGAAGAATTGATGCTTTTGAATTATGGTGCTGGAGGAGACTCTTGAGAGTCCCATGGACTGCAAGAAGATCAAACCTATCTGTTCTTAAGGAAATCAGCCCTGAGTGCTCACTGGAAGGACAGATCCTGAAGCTGAGGCTCCAATACTTTGGCCACCTCATGAGAAGAGAAGACTCCCTGGAAAAGACCCTGATGTTGGGAAAGATTGAGGGCACAGGGAGAAGCGGACGATAGAGGACGAGATGGTTGGACAGTGTTCTCGAAGCTACCAGCATGAGTTTGACCAAACTGTGGGAGGCAGTGGAAGACAGGAGTGCCTGGTGTGCTCTGGTCCATGGGGTCATGAAGAGTCAGACACGACTAAATGACTAAACTGTTGGGAATCAAACCTTTATCAGGAGAAACTGGTCACCCTCCAGGCACCCGGCTTGATCTCCTGTTGACCTCCCTGTCTGCATTCCCCAGCAGGATCCAGGCAGAGGTCGCGATAGGCGATCCTTCTCAGAGTGAGAAGAACACCCCCCCTCTTTCCTGCCCCCCCAGGCAGGGGAAAGAGATAGACAGAAACGTATTTACATTCCTTTATTTCTGTCTTTGCAGCGTTACAAAAATCATGACTGCTCTCTTCAAACTCCTGCAGTCGAGAGACAAACTCCTCCTGTACTTCCTGTACAGCTCATATTACACTCTGAGCTAATTCCGGTGCCCTCTGCACTGTGAACTGACTGTCCCTCTGTTTCCCACGGAACAGTCCCAACATTCCCATTATGTTTTGCTTTCAAGCTACCAGCTCGCGGCCGCATTGCTTCTATATCGTAACATAAACAACAACAACAACGCTTTTAAAAACATGGATCAAAACTCTTTATCCTTTAACAATTTAAGTAAAGTCATGTTTATAACCCAGTTAGATTGACCTGGTGGTCAAATTGCTAGCACATTTGCAAAGCTTAAGCAGGGTCTGGCTTGGTTTCAAACTGGATGGGGAACTGCGTGCCAAAAGTCCTGCATAGCAGGGGGATGGACTAGATGACTCATAGGGTCCCTTCTATGACCAATAGCTTTGATCATCTTTGGCAAACCTGTAACACCCACCCCACCCCCTGGGTCAGTCCGTTACTGAAGTTAGAAAATGTGAGGAGAAAAATGTTAGAAATGGTCAAATAAAACAAGTTTCGGGAACGGCTGAGCAGTGCCCCAAGCGGTGAGGCGCATCATTGCAGCTTCTCAGTAAAGCGTCGGGAGCTGGCGGACCACTGCCCCATGTGGCCAGCAGTGTCACTACAGCTTCTCAGGGAAGAACCTTCCCCGCTGGCTGGCTCTCCCGTGCTGGCCATTGGCTCCTCCTGGGCTGGGAGGGAGATAAAAAGGGTTCTCCTGCCACCTAGGATTCTACTTGAGCAGCAAGGCATAAGGGAGCTCTAGTGCTGGAGCAACGGGAGGCACTGGGGGGGGGAGGTAGGTTTCTAAATCTTACTGCGTGAACAAAGCAATAGAGGGCTAACTCAGGGCGGGGTTTACAGTCACTGAGTAAACCTGGGAAAGAGACAAGTACTACTAAGCTGACTTTGAGAGTACAGGAACAGAGATTACTATGAGTAAAGACATAGCAATGCCATTCATAGTGTCATGTATATTCTTGCATTGGGCGTTTGGTATTTAGGTTTTAAGCTGGAATGGATTTTTAAGGTTTTGTACGAATGTAAGATCAAAATGACAAACACAACAAAACACGATCAAGTTTATGAAACATAACAGAAGCAGTAGAAAGGTTGCATTTTTCAGATAGAGAGCAGATAATGTAGACAAATAAAAGCAGCAAGAGAAATTCAAGATTCATTGTGGATTTTTATTTTTTTTAATTGTCTTATGGCCATGGTTTTAAGCTGATTTCATTTGATGTGAGTTATATCAGCCATAAACGAACAACAAACAAAAACAATGAATTCTCTATTAAACTCAGTTCTGTTTTATTATGATACCAAATGAAAAGATTCTTAACACGATAAACTTCAATGCACATGATTCTACATGAGAGGAGCAGGTAAAAGATGACACCGACCTCCAGTTTCAGAAGTAGCCACCCAGTGACCTTCAATAGACAAATGGGGATTTGAACTCCGGCCTAACGCTGTTCCGACACCCAGCTCTCTTGTTTTCTGCTTCAACACATGGGTGGCAGGGGGAGTCTCCCTGACACCCTTTTCTCTTCCTCCCCACCCAACAGCTTGCCAGCTTGCCAGCTCTGGTCTATGGCCATGGTTTTAAGCTGATTTCATTTGATGTGAGTTATATCAGCCATAAACGAACAACAAATAAAAACAATGAATTCACTATTCAACTCAGTTCTGTTTTATTATGATACCAAAGGAAAAGATTCTTAACAATGGACATGATTCTACATGAGAGGAGCAGGTAAAAGATGACACCGACCTCGTTTCAGAGGTAGCCACCCAGTGACCCAGGCCTGAGTTCTAACGCCGTTCCGACACCCAGCTCTCTTGTTTTCTGCTTCAGCGTGTGGGTGGCTGGGGGAGTCTCCCTGACACCCTTTTCTCTTCCTCCCCACCCAACAGCTTGCCAGCTTGCCAGCTCTGGTCTAAAAGGATTGTTTGCAGAGAGCTTTTGGAACAAGCTCCAAGGAGACAGACCAGTCACTGCTGCAAGGAAGTGGTGGCTTCAGAAGGCTCCTGGCCCTTTGAAAGCATCTAGTTCCCACTCTCCTTGAAATCAATGGAACCCTGGAATCATAACCTGCTGTCTTCACAACTGATAGAGCTGGAGTCCATTAATGCATTCAGACTGACATTCCTCTCAGGAGCTCTTGCAGCCCAAGATGCAAATGTGCTTCGTGCGCAACTCCAGCTGGGTATCCCGAGAGGAAACGCCCATCGTCTCCAGAAACCTAGGGGAAGGAAAGCAAGAGAGCAGAAACCAGGGTTCAGTTCCGGGATTCATTGAAATGAAAACAATTACTGGACGAAACACCTCGAAATGTCCAGAGCTAGCACCGCTCCATCTTTTCACAGTTCAAACAAGTTGTCTTTTGACGGCAGCCAGGCGCATAATGGCGAGATACTTGAAGAATTTGGGAGGCTGCCTCTTTGACAAACTGGTACAATAAAATGCGGCAAACAGAAGGTGTGGGGAAATGGGACTGAGGACATAAAGCTGGCATAAGGTTTGAAGCATGGCTTATGCACAGATTAAATGAATAGTTGGAATCTGGCAACACTTCTGACTTCGCCACTCACGTGCGTTAGCGGAGATTCCTGCATTGCAGGGGGTTGGACTAGATGGCCCTTAGGGGTCCCTTCCCTTTTAAAATAATTTTTAATTTGATTTTTAAAAAGTATAAACACGTAACAAAAAAACCCAAATATTGAGATTACTCTGAATCTCCTGACTCCCCCCACTCATCCCTTCTATGGGTCCTACTGATATATACAACTGCATATCAATACTACCGTAATCCAAATTTTTATCCTTCTAAATTATCCACACTTAACTGTTTCTTTACAATTGTGATTAAAATCCTGCTAATGTTTTAACTTGCTTACAGTAGTCTCGTAGATAAATTATAAACTTTCCCCATTTTTTCTTAAAGTTCTTGTCTTCTTGATTTCTGAGCTTCCCAGTTAATTTTGTCACCAACTTGGTTTGCCATTCTTTTCTGGTCATGGTTATCTCTTCCTTCCATCCCTGGGCTAATTGGGGGAGGGGGGTCCCTTCCAACTCTACAATTTTGTTATTTTACATGGGAATTTTTTGAATTAAAAATTACAATGTGCATATTGGAGCTGAATTTTAATTGCAGGAAAACATATGGAAATCCAAGCCCTTCTGCTTTGCTAGCATCTCGTACTGAGAACAGTTACTGGTAAATTCTACTGCATGCCATCTATGAAAAGACATGCAATATCACAGGCTAAAGACTTCAATGCGACTCTCCTAATAATAATAATAATTTTTATTTATACCCCGCTCTCCCCAGCCAAGGCCGGGATCAGGGCGGCTTACATGCAATAATAAAAACAAGTTGAATGATTACAACTTAAAAACAAAATTAAAATACAACATTAAAATATTGAAACATTAAAATATTAAAATGTATCCTCATCGCAGGAGTAGAAGGAAAAGAAAAAAGAGAGGGAGGGAGGGAATCAAATTGGCTCCAAGCCAAAGGCCAGGTGGAATAACTCTGTCATACAGGCCCTGACTTAACCATGGTTCCTTGGCCCTTCCACATCTGGCTTACTCCAGCAAACAGATTTTGTCACCTTCGCTCTGTGTTTTGGAGAAGTGATTTCGCCTCCTCAGGCTGGGCTTCCAGATAAAGTTGGTACTGCGAGAGTGACTGGATATATCCTATTACGTCAGCAACGCTCAGGGGAATTTTATCGAAAATATCCGTCATCCTGGAAAGAAGCAGAAAGCTTTAGGAGAAGTTTGGGGCTGAGTTGAGAGTACGGAAATCTTTTGACTACGGAAGTGGTGTCAATCATATGTATGTTTGCTCAGGAGAGTGTGGCTGTTCAACTTAGTGACTTTGACCGTATTGTTCTGGACTTCCCAATTTGTATTTGTTTAGTTACAAAAATATTTGATGCTGCTGTGTCATAAAAATATATCAAAGCCGTTTACAGCAACAAAATCATACAACTTACAAATTCAGTAAGTTGGTAACAAAAAAAAAATTAAAAACAGGTATCATTTAACAACTGTGGATGCATTCTTTGCATAAGCTTGGTGGAACAGAAATGTTTTTAGCAGGAGATTGAAAAGATTGGCATGGCTGGGTCCATGCACCGCACTGTACAAAAGGGCCTGATCCACTCACCTCTTCTTCTCCTGAAAGGGCAAAGAATCAAAGATTTCTTGGTAATCATTCTCAAGTGATTTGAGCTTTTTATTTCTAAAGGTGAAAAGCTGGTCTACCACCTGGAAAAGAGAGAGAGAGAGAGAGAGGGAGAGAGAAAGGGGGTGGGTGGGAAGCCACAGTCATTTTTTTTATGCTTACAGAATCTCGCTGTTCAAAGCATGCTGTATAAAAGAGGATGCTGAGCTGTTAAAGGTGCAGAAATCCGGAGTAGAAAAATGATCAACATGCAGATGCTCCCTATATGGAAAGACTAAAAGCACTGAAGGAAATGTGTGAGGTGTGGCAGCCTATAGAATAATGTACAGTAGCGTGGTACCTCAGGTTACATACGCTTTAGGTTACAGACTCCGCTAACCCAGAAATAGTGCTTCAGGTTAAGAACTTTGCTTCAGGATGAGAACAGAAATCGTGCAGCGGCGGCACGGCAGCAGCAGTAGGCCCCATTAGCTAAAGTGGTGCCTCAGGTTAAGAACAGTTTCAGGTTAAGAACGGACCTCCGGAACGAATTAAGTACTTAACCTGAGGTACCACTGTATTTCAAGACTGTCACCCAGTATGTGCCCATTTGATGGCTGGGATCTGCGAAACTGGCCCTTTCACAAGTGTCACGTAACATTCATTCAGCACTTACAAGAAATCAATCTTTTATTGTGGCAGCACTTTGGAACTGCCTGCCCGTTGACATACCTGGCTAAAAACTTTTTCATTCCCGCATGCCTACCTAGGTTTTAGTAGCTATAAGTGTTTGAAATGGTCAGTTTTATTTATTTCATGTAACACGTTTTTAATGTTTTTTAAATTGGTATTTACCAAATTATAGTCAGACCTCGGTTCCTGAATGCCTCCATTTTGGAATGCTTTGGCACCCAAACACCGAAATCCCGGAAGTACCGTAACTGCTCTGGTTTTCGAACGATTTTCAGAAGCCGAAGATGCTACCCGGCTTCAGTTTTGAGTTTCCCTATTGTACTGAGGCTTCCGCTTTGTATTCGGTTGTTGAATGTTTCAGAAGTCGAATGGTCTTCTGGAACGGATTATGGTCGGCAGCCGAGGTTTGACTGTAATATTTTAGACTGCCTTGTAAACCACTTGGAGGTCTTTTTTATGTGGTGTGTGTGTGTATATATATGGACTATTTTAATTACTGAGCGGGGGTTGGTAAAAGTGTTGAAAGTCATGGTGCTTTGTAGAAACTGGCTTTATAAATATTACTGTAATAAACGCCTGGGCCCTGAAATGATATTCTTTTCCATAGTGCCAGTGTTTTGCAGGAGGGATTAAAATGCATCCAGGACTTCTAGCTTTGCTCAATTAACCTAGACTGAAGGACTCTTCTGTCCTTCTACAGGAAAGACACTTAAAAACAACAACAACCCCACAGACATTTGGGGCTAGAAAACTGGCAGGGATGGCCCTGAAATATGTGGTCTGAAGGTGGACCTCAGGTCCGAGGTCTGGGCAGACAGGCCTGTGCGATGGACTGACCTCTCTGAAGATCTCGGTTAACTCGTCTGTACAATCTTTGTAACACAACTGCATGTCCCAGTTGTAGGAGCTGAAGACCACACAGCCTGACGGCTTGAGAACTCGGTCCACTTCCCTCAGAAAGCGAGGCCCGTCAAACCAGTGGACGGCCGCAAACGCCGTGACCAGGTCCACAGAGCCGTCTTCGAAAGGGAGGTCTTCGGCAGGGCACACCCTGTGGGAGGAGATGGCAAGGTGATTGTTCGAAGCCTGCTGGATCAGGCCCAAGGCCCATCTGGCTAAGCATCCTGTTCTCACAGTAGCCAGCCAGATGCCCCATTGGGAAACCCGCAAACAAAACCTGGGTGCAAGACCAGCGGCAGAGGAAGCCGCTCGGGCGCCTGGGGCAGTGCGCCCAGTGGGTGTGCCTCCAGAGTCTGCCTGCCTTCTCCCACTCAGCCACCCTACAGCCACAGCGTCACTCCCAGTAGACATGCGTAGCTCGGGCGCACTGCAGGCCCGGCGGTGGGTGCCGCCCAGCATTTTGTCACTCCCCTCAGTGGTGACACCTGGGGCGGACCGCACCCACCGCACCCCCCTTTCTTGGCCCCTGTGCAAGACTCCTCTCCCCTCAGTGGTTTCCAACAACTGGAATTCACTAGCATTGCTGGCTCCAGCTGTGGAGGCAGAGCACAGCCATCGTTATACCACCCAACATTTCTCCGATGAAAATAGGGATGTCCTATTCCATAATCAGTGTATTTTTTATACCCAAGCCATCTGACTGGGTCGCTCCAGCCACTCTGGGCGGCTTCCAACATATATAAAAACATAACAAAACACTACACATTAAAAAAAACCCGAAAACCTTCCCTGTGCTTCAGGTGTCTTCTAAGGTTGTATGGTTGCATAACTCCATACCCTCGAATGAAAATTTGGACGTCCTAAGGAAAAGTGAGACATTCCGGGGCTGCTTTTGTAAATCTGTAACAAATGATGGCTCCTAGAATCCTCTGGGGGAAGCCATGACTATTTAAAGTGGTATGATAGCGCTTTAAATATACTTTCATATTTTAATACTTATTATCTAATTTGTGGAGTAATTGGAAGTGTCTCTGTGCACAAACATCAGAACATAAGGAAAGCCTGCTGGATCCGGCCTAGGGCCCGTCTAGTCCAGCATCCTGTTCTCACAATGGCCTACCAGATACCTGGGGGAAGCCCACAAGCAGGATTTGAGCAAAATGGCTTCCCTCCTGCGGCTTCCGGTAGTCAGAAAAACTGGCCTTCACTCTGCCCACCTTGTAGGTCCAGCAGAGGCATCGTGGCTAGTAGCCACTGATAGGCCTCTTCCTTAATTTCTCTAGTCTTCGTTTAAAGCCTTCCAAGTTGGTGGCCATCCCTGCCTCATGTGGAAGGGAGTTCCATAGTTTAAACATGCGCTGCATGAAGCTGTGTTTTCTTTTGTTGGTCCTGAATATTCCAACATTCAGCTTCAAGAGTTCTAGTGTGATGAGAGAGGGAGAAAAGCCTCTTCCTGCCTGCTTTTCTCGGCTATCCACGTGCGAGATCAGCTCCTACTTACAGATAAGAGACATTGGGCGGTTGTGGAGCTCTCCTGGCCTCCTCGATCTGAGCTTCACTGATGTCTGTCCCGACCACCTTCTCAAAATGTTTTGCCAGCATCTGAGTGCTTTGGCCCGAGCCACAACCCACGTCGACTGCCAGCTGCCCGGGGCTCACTCTCTGAGAAAAGATAGCGACACATCTCAGAAAAAACCAAGAATAAGCTCCAAATACCTGCACCTCCCCACCTCAGAAGGAGGATGGGGAATCCCCAACATGGAAGTTACATACGCTTCAGGTTACAGACTCTGCTAACCCAGAAATAGTGCTTCAGGTTAAGAACTTTGCTTCAGGATAAGAACAGAAATCGGGCTCCGGCAGCGCAGCGGCAGCAGGAGGCCCCATTAGCTAAAGTGATGCTTCAGGTTAAGAACAGTTTCAGATTAAGTACGGACTTCCGGAACAAATTAAGTACTTAACCCGAGGTACCACTGTACCCATCTAGGTCCGATACATGAGCAGTTTTCACTCGAACACAGTGAAACCAGCCGTGAATTAACACAAAATGTCATGGGCTGCTTGGACGCAGAAAAATGGCAGGAGGAACTAGCTGGGTAAAAGCCAACTCCATTTTCTTCTTATATCACTGTCACCCCCTTGTTACTACCTAGGCACACTACCAAGCGGTCTAAGACCTTTTGCTAGATTTCTAATGTTTGCTTATTTTGAATATGTGTTTACCCTTAGCCTTATGCCTGCTAGAAGTTTTCACAGAAAAGGAATAACGAAAGATTGGTTGTTTACAAGAAATGAAAGAGACAGAATATTTACTTCGGGAAGCAAAGTGACACTGTAGAATCGTGGAGTTAGAAAGGACCAGAGGCGCAACAGGGCCTTGTTTTAGGCTGCTCAGCCTCCTCGTCTAGCAGCTGACGCAGGAGGTAGCGCCGCCTCTGCCGCCGCTTTTCCTCACAACCTCCATCCAGCCCCCAGAGCTTCAACTCCAGATATTTTGGTCTGGATTGGAGAGAGAGGAGGAGAGCTGGAGGGGAAAGCAGGCATTCAGAGGTTTTTTTCAAGGGTGCTCCCCATGTTGCACATTTTCACTTATGTGTGTGGGGCCCCCAGAACACAACCCCCACATAAGGGAGGAGGAGTTTTTCAGTGCCTGTACTGTTATATACCAATGTTAGGTTATGGTAAGGGTCTTCTAGAGGAATCATTTACCATGCTAATTTTTTCCTCAAGTATTAAGAAGGCCAGGAAGCCTTCCAGGACATCTTCAGGATAAAGATTAGTATCAGACTCAAGAAAGTTCATAATGGAGCTCTCCTTTTATATAAAATTATGCCAACTGTACGAATGCAATGATCTACGCGCCCAAGTTCAGACACACACACTATTATGTTCTTACCTTTTCTTCCAGGTACGAGAAGATCACGCCCTGTAGATTCTCCTGCGGGGAAAACCTGTATTTTCGATAAATAGCAGTGTGAGCCCTCTCCTCAAACAGACGAGTGGCCATGGTTTCACGGAGCACAGCCTGCAACTGTTGGGATATCTGATCCCAGGGGTCCGGGTCCAGTCACCTCGTACCCTCGCCAGGAGCGTGAAGGAGCTAGGAGCAGACACCAGGGTGTGATTCCACAGAGAAAAAGGTTTATTGCAAAATCTGCACAGAGGCAGCCAGCGGAATAGCTTCCACAAACTGGCAGCACCCCCCTCGTGTCTTACAAGTATTTTTATACCCATTTGCAAGCTGGTTTCCCCAATTGCTCCCCAATCAGCAGACAGAGATACAATTCATTACCTTATTAGGTTGGCTAAGCTCCTTCCCCCTTTTCTATATATTACTTGCTTGCATCCTGTATGTTTGCATACCTAACATGGGCAGGAAACCACTGAAGCATGAAGCCACTCTTGGCCTAAACATAGCTAGCCTAAAGATAGTTGCAGCAACTGTGCAGCCATGACTTGAGCATGGCTGGCCTAAATAGGTGAAGGCCTAAATAGGTAAAACAACTGCTCACTGGGATGACTACTATTAGCGTGGGCCCCAGTACATGGAGGGGTTAACCCTTCCCTTTCCCTTCACTCCCTCCTCTTCTTTGTGATCACCGTCAGGTGCATCAACAGTGACAGGGCGGTATTCCCTCATATAAGCCATCACACGGGGGCCCATCATGCGGGACATCATTTTTTCCATCATATTCTGCATGCATTGCATCAGGCAGGGAATACAGAAGCAAAGAAGCAATAAAAGCACCAACGGGCCTGCAACCATAGTGAATATCCTCCCCATCCATCCCCCCGGGAAGATACCGTCCAACCAGGACATGTCCAAGCCCTCCCAGGTTTGCACAGGGACATGTGCTACCTTCTCAATGCTTGCAGCCAAGTCACGAATGGCTTCACCATGGTCTGAAATATTAAAGCAACATGCCCCGCCCGTTAGGTTGAGGGCTGCACAGAAGCCTCCTTGTTTGGCCAGAATGAAATCCATCCCAAGGCGTAATTGGAGGACGGCAGTGCGAGTTTCATCTAGCTGTTTGGCGACGAGGCGAAGGGCGGCGGCCGTGGCATTGGCCACAATTTCCACCACCGCTTGGAGCCTGATGATACGGTTGAGATTGTAAATAGGTTCTCGGGCCCCTGCCACCAGTTCATAGGGATCCCAGGAGGCAGGGTCATAATGGGCAATTATGCGTTCAGGGGGCCATTGGTCTTTACCCCAGGTCTGCGAACTACCCGAAGCAACATTGGATATGTCAACAGACCGGCGAGTGCGGTGGGGTGGGGCTACTCAGGGTGGAGTGGAGGGTATCCACATAGGGGGCAGAAGGTAAGCCGGGAAACAGGACCCGTACCAATTGGAGGGGAGAACGTGGTAGGCCTTGGTGCCGCAAACCCAATAAATATCCGCCTCTCTTTGAGAAAGTTCGGAACTATTCTTGAGGGCAGGGAGGGATAAGAGAGCAGAGAGGCGGGAGGTGATAGAAAGCAGCATTCGGCCTATCGCTTGTCTATGTAGAATGCGGAGGTAGATAAGGAGGAGATGCTCACAAGACCCATTACAGCCCGGGTAGGTGGTCTTGTTGTGTTGAGAGACAACACCAGTGGTGTTACAAGTGCAACCACAACGGGAGACACCAACCGAAACTGGGGGCTTCCCCACCTTTCCCTGGGTTTGACTCTGGGTTAAGCAGAACCAACCTGGGACATTGTGAACCCTAAGGGGCACAGAGTGGCTCCACCAGGGCAAGGGTGAATGATCCGAGGGGTGGGATAGGTTTTCAAGAGAGGTACGGTTGAGAGGGAGCGGGAGCAGAGGCAGGCCACCTGAAGCATCCACTGGAGTGAGAGCACACACCAGGCATTTGGTCTTATTAGCAGCGTGGGCTACCATTTCAGCCATCTGCAACCAGCGGTTGTAGGGGTTATGGGCGCCCCACGCAGTCAAGAGGTCGGACACGTTCCTTGACGAGGGACTGACCGGGGCCGCCAGAAGCGGACCCACGGCTATGGAGAGCAAGAGAATGGTAAGTGGGATGGAGGGGTTACGCTTCCTCCCGCACATCCGGGGGCGCTTGTGCCAGCAGAAATACAAAAGCATCCAAATCATAATGGGCATACACAGAACCCACATCCAGCAAGCCCCGGGGGTCCAGGGTTCCTCCCACCATATCTCGGGCATGATAGGGGTCTGGGGAAGGGTTTGGATATCAGAAACGTTGGGGGTACTGGCGTTGGGTACCCCTCCCATCCAGTTCTTCAGCCGTGCGTAGAGCTATCAGCTTCCGGAGTGATAGCAGCAGGGCGGTTGTCCGTCGGGCGCCTGGAGATGGTCAGACGAAGAGGATCTTGAGGGTTGGGAGACACAGTCCAATCTGATGATGCCGCCTTCACACGAGTATGGTGGACCCAAGGGGCGATGCCAGCAACCTTTACAGCAGTGGGTGTAGAGAGAAGCACAGTATAGGGTCCCTTCCAGCAAGGCTGTAGCGAAGTTTGGGCCCAGTCTTTCACCCACACTTCATCTCCTGGCTCGAAAGGGTGTAGGGGCTCGACCAATACACACGGGGTACGAGCCTGGGTCCACCTGTTGAGAGAAAGAAGAGTGCGGGAGAGTGACTGAACATAATTATCTGTTTCAACATCCTGGACTGGGATGGGGGAAATCATGCGTACATAGGGAACAGGTCTCCCAAACATCAGTTCAAAGGGGGAGAGATGAGTTCGCTTGGATGGGATACTCCGAACCCGGAGCAGGGCGAGGGGCAACATCGCTACCCAACTGGACCCAGTTTCTTGGGTCAATTTGGACAGTTGATTTTTCAAAGTCCTGTTCATTCTTTCTACTTTCCCAGAACTTTGGGGTCGGTATGCACTATGTAGCTTCCAATTTATCTGCAGCACCTTTGCTAGCTCCTGCAATACTTTGTGCACAAAAGCTGGACCATTGTCCGACCCTATGGAGCGGGGCAAGCCATAGCGGGGAATGATCTCCCGCCGCAGACATCTAGCAACTTCAGATGACCGCTCAGTCTTGGTGGGCCATGCCTCCACCCACCCCGTATAAGTGCACACAGCCACAAGGAGGTAACGGTATAGGCCACAACGGGGCAGTTTGGTAAAATCCACAACCAAATCTTCCATAGGTGCCGTGCCACAATGTTGAATTCCTGGAGGAGGCAAAAGGCCAGTCCTGGGGTTGTTCTTCTGACATAAGATACAACGCTTAGAAACTTGTGAAACCAGTTGATAGAGCTTGGAGATGTAAAAGCACTTCCCCAGCTGCTTGGTCATGGCATCTGGTCCCACATGTAAGGAATCATGGTATCGCTGAACCACTTGGCGGGCTAGGGATTCTGGGACCCACACGCGGTCATCTGGGGTAAGGTACCAGCCATCCTTTGAAATGTCCAGTCCTTCAGTGTTGGCTGTCATTTCTTCCTGGGTGGTATATTGAGGCTTTAGGCTGGTATCCAAGACTTGTTCAGGTACCAAGGAAGCAATGAGGGGCACTGGGTGTGGCCGTCGCGCTGCTTCTTTGGCTATCCGGTCTGCCAAACGGTTTCCTCGGGCTTCCTCACTGGATCCTGTCCGGTGCCCGTAGCAGTGTACAACGGCCACTTGGTGGGGTGCCCACACTGCATCCAAGAGATCCAGCAGTGCTTGTGGATGGGCCACAGGGCTTCCTCTTGAGGTCAGCAGTCCTCGCTCTCTCCAGAGGGCGCCATGAGCATGCAGGGTAAGGAAAGCATACTTAGAGTCTGTATAGATGTTGATGTTTTCACCCTCAGCCAGGCGCAGGGCCCGTGTCAAAGCAGTAATTTCTGCCAGTTGAGCTGATGTTCCTGGTGGAAGGGGGCAGGCCTCAATGATTTCATCCTCGAGGGCCACGATGGCATATCCTGCTCTCCGTTGTCCCTCTTCCATGAAGCTGCTGCCATCCACAAACCAGGAAGGCCACGCTGGATTTGCTTCATCTTTAAGGTCTGGTCTACTTGAATAGACTTCGTCCATGACCTGTATGCAATCGTGAGCTGGCTCCTCTTCCTCTCCTACAGGTAACAGAGTAGCTGGGTTGAGGGCCTCTGTGACACGGAACTTCAAGCGTGGGTGCATCAGCAAAGTCTGGCACGTCATCATCTTAGCTTGGGATAGGAAGTAGGTGCCCTTCATATCCAGTAAGGCGGGTACTGCGTGTGGGGTGACGCATGTAATGTCTTGTCCAAAGGCAAACTTGTCAGCCTTATTGAGCAAGCAGGCCACTGCTACTACTGCCCGCATACAAGGGGGCAAACCTTGCTCTGTGGTGGTCAGCCTTTCAGACAAATAGGCTATAGGTTGTTGCCAACTTCCTAATTTCTGGCAAAGGACACCTTTTGCTGTTCCTTGGTCCTCATCTACATATAGGGTAAATGGTTTCTCTGGGTTCAGGATTCCCAGCGCTGGGGCCTGTTGCAGGGCCGTCTTGAGGTCTTGAAAGGCTTGTTGCTGCTCTGGGCCCCATATAAAGGGATCCTTTTCTGTTCCTCTAGTAGACTCATGCAGCGGCCGCGCAATCCCGCTGTAGTTGGGGATCCAAATTCTGCAGAAACCTGCAGACCCCAAGAAACCGCGGAGCTCCTTCCGGTTTCGTGGCTCTGGGATCTGGATAATTGCCTGCTTGCGTTCATCCCTGAGAGTCCGCCGCTGGTGAGAAATATCAAAGCCAAGGTACTTGACAGTTGTTTGACAAATTTGAGCCTTAGACTTGGAGACTCGGTAGCCTGCTTCTGCCAGATGGTTTAATAGGTCCCGCGTGGCTTCGTGGCACGCGGTTTCCTCCACGCAGGCCAATAAAAGATCGTCAACATACTGCAACAGAATCTTACTGGGTGTAGTGGGGAAGCTGGCAAGGTCTGATGCTAAGGCTACCCCGAAGAGAGTTGGCGAATTCTTGAAGCCCTGTGGGAGGCGTGTCCAGGTGTATTGGGTTTTAGTGCCTGTTGCTGGGTCAGTCCATTGGAAGGCGAAGATGTGTTGGCTCCCCTCCGCTAGGCGGCAGCAAAAGAACGCATCTTTCAAGTCCAGCACGGTGAAGTATTTCGCCTCAGAAGGGATTAAACTCAGCAGAGTGTGTGGGTTGGGGACGTTGGGGTGGAGGGTTTCCACAGCTTCATTCACAAGCCTCAGATCTTGTACAGGACGGTAACCTCCTCCCTCCTTCTTTACTGGGAGCAAGGGAGTGTTCCACTGGGATTGGCATGGTTTTAAGATGCCATGTTGTAGGAGCCTATGCAGGTGAGTCCACACTCCTTCTGCCGCCGCCCGAGGGATGGGGTACTGGCTCACAGCCACCGGATTCGCGAAGGGCTTTGTCCTTACTATTATTGGGGGTATGTTTTTAGCCATTCCTGGAGAGTTGCCTTCAGCCCATACTGCAGGATTTACTTGTTCCAGGAGACTGGCGGGGATGGGCCCCTCCTCTTCTTTTATCATCATGAGGCGCCAGTACTCCCTCAGGGGTGCTTCCATAACCAATTCTCCGGGCGGCATTGTGGACATGGTGGCCTCTCCGGATGGTTTAAAAGTGATTTGGGCTTGCAATTTTGTCAACAGGTCCCTTCCCAACAATGGGATAGGACATTCAGGGACATACAGAAAATTATGCTGCACCACTTGGCCTCCTAGCTTGCAGGTGACCGGCTGTAGAAATGGTGCCCGCTGGGACTTTCCAGTGGCTCCTACTATATTAATGGATTCTGTAGTTAGTTTCGCAACGGGGGTCGGGACAACCGAGTAAGCTGCACCAGTGTCAATCATAAAGGGGATCATTTGGTTCCCTGCTTGCATTCTGACCATGGGCTCACGGGAACCTAAATCAGTTGGGCCCGGTCTGTCCTAATAAGTATCCTCTTCCCTCAGTGCCATGGCCGCGGGTTGGCGGGGAGGGGTCCATGGCGGCGCTTGTCCACGACCTCTTCCTCGGTTCCCTGGGGTCCATGGCTGGTCCCACAGTGGCCCTTGAGGGGTCCAATTCTGATTTTTCCGCTGGGCTTGGGGGCACTCCCTCTTCCAGTGTCCCTCTTGGCGGCAGATGGCGCACTGGTTGCGTCCCAGGCGGCCGTGCCCTCCTCCCCGGGCAGGTTCCCCTGTGCCGCTATTGCCAGCTTGCAAAGCCATGAGTTTCTTTGCCTGGTAGTTCTCTTTCTTCTTCTGGGCCACCTCATCTCTCTGGTTATACGTGGTTTGTGCCACCTCTAACATCCACTCCAGCCCATGGCCCATAAACCCTTCTGTTTTCTGAATTTTTCGGCGTATATCGGGAGCGGCTTGAGCCACGAAGGCTGCCTTCACGATCGGGGCATTGGCTACATCTTCCGGATCTAAAGGGGTATACTGCCAGTAAGCTTCCTTCAGACACTCCAAATAAACCCCTGCTGCCTCGTCTGACTTCTGGACCACTTCTGCCACCTTAGCCAAATTGGTGGGTTTCCTAGCTGCCCGCCTCATCCCTGTCAGTACATGTTGTCTGTAAGTTTCTAGAGTGGTCCGGACGTTCTGGTCTTGGTAGTCCCAATTTGGGGTGGCTCGGGGGTAGACATTATTCATGTGAGCCTCATCCAGACCTTGTTGTCTTAAATGAGCTCTTGCTTCACTATGGACTCTCCTAACCTCCTCAGTTGATAAGAGGGAATCTAGGAGGTACTGTACATCATCATAAGTGGGATCATAAGTTTTAAAGATCCCTTCAAAAAGTTTGATGATTTTGGCCAGGTTCTCCTCAAAGGAGGGGTTTTGATTGCGTCAATTGCATATATCAGCAGTTGAAAAAGGCACATGCTGGATTGTATAAGTGCGTGCTGCTGCTGCCCCACCCTCCCCCAGCGGTCCTGGCGGGTCATAGACTCTCCGGAGGGGCATTACGGGCGTAGCCCGATCCTTCCTGTCCTTCTCTGCCTGGTGATGGGTATGTGCCTGTATTGCTGCATCCATCCACCTTTTCTGTCTCTTTTTCCAATGTGTGTCTTTACACTCTGCCACTTTTAACACATGTGGCATGACATCCACTTGTCCTTTATAAGGATCTACGTATTGCCTTATCCAGTCTTCCTGCCTCTCAGACCATTTGTCTCCTTTACCAGCCTTTTCTTTTAACTTCCTTAACATCTCTGCTTCGTCCTCTTCCTCACTCTCACCCTCTTTATCGGGGACATCCTTCCCACCCGGGGCCCCACCATTTGGGTCGACGCCAGCCGGCTCTGGAGGATTATCCTGTGGGGGTGGATCATTCTGTGGTGGTGGGGCCGGTGCTGGGGGTGTATAAGGGGGTGGCCTTACAAGTAGCTCATCTTCCTCTGTGTCTTGGACAACAGGAGGTAATTTCTGCTGCCGGACGGCACAGACCTTTGCCCGTGGTGGAACAGTTCGGCAAGCCTTCAGCCAAGGGGGGTTTTTATCCACATTGGTTTTCCACGTGGAAATATAGGGAATTTGGTCTGGATGGTTTTCAATTATTCGCTGCCACAAGGGGTTGATTAACTGTCCATCAAAGGTGCCCTGGGACGGCCAGCCAGTCCCTTGGGTCGGCCAGTCCACTTCACAGAGGGTCCTAAGCCTCTCCTTCTTCAACTTGAATCCCCAATCATCATCCTTGGTGGCCAATTTCCAGTTGTTAAGGAAGCATTCCAAAGGGGTACATTTACTGCTTCCCGAGCCCATGGTTACTAGAATACTCCGCTCCTAGCCAAAATCAGCACCTTTCTCACTTCACACGCTTCAGACTGTGGCTTGGACGAGCTCGCGCTGCCAAGAACCGCACAGCCCTACGCACGCTTGGCCACGGAGACGCTAAGCCCCGGCCTCTCACACATTCATCCTTTCACTGGAGTATTCCCATACAACACACAGTTCACCACCACACCCACCACCCTTTCCTTTCCACACGCTGGCATCGGCCAGCTCTCCTGGGGGCACTTTACTGCCACAGCCAGGTGAGGTTGATCAAGCCTCAAGCCTATCACCTTCCCCAGGTGCTTACCTCTATTTCCAGAGTCACCCTTGTGCCCTTCCTCGGCCGATCCTTTTTCTCCCACGACCGGACGTCTCCACTCAGGAACGGGGTGATTGGTTCCTCCCACAACTGGCGGGTGCACGCTGGAGCCGTCAACGCCGATCCAAGCTGTTCGTCGCGGTCGAGCCTGGCCATCACGCTCTCCAGCGGGAGAGGGGTGGGTTCCCGGCCAACGCACCAGATATGTTGGGATATCTGATCCCAGGGGTCCGGGTCCAGTCACCTCGTACCCTCGCCAGGAGCGTGAAGGAGTCAAGCAGACACCAGGGTGTGATTCCACAGAGAAAAAGGTTTATTGCAAAATCTGCGCAGAGGCAGCCAGCGGAATAGCTTCCACAAACTGGCAGCACCCCCTCGTGTCTTACAAGTATTTTTATACCCATTTGCAAGCTGGTTTCCCCAATTGCTCCCCAATCAGCAGAGATACAATTCATTACCTTATTAGGTTGGCTAAGCTCCTTCCCCCTTTTCTATATATTACTTGCTTGCATCCTGTATGTTTGCATACCTAACATGGGCAGGAAACCACTGAAGCATGAAGCCACTGTTGGCCTAAACATAGCTAGCCTAAAGATAGTTGCAGCAACTGTGCAGCCATGACTTGAGCATGGCTGGCCTAAATAGGTGAAGGCCTAAATAGGTAAAACAACTGTTCACTGGGATGACTAGAATAGCTATTAGCGTGGGCCCCAGTACATGGAGGGGTTAACCCTTCCCTTTCCCTTCACAACTACTTGCAAGTTCAGAATGACACACACTACTACGTTCTTACCTTTTATTCCAGGTACTAGAAGACCACGCCCTCTAAGTTCTCCTGTGGGGAAAACCTGTACAGTATTTTTGATCAATAGCAGCGTGAGCCCTCTCCTCAATCAGAGGAGTGGCCATTTCATGGAGCACATCTTGCAACTTCTTGCAAGTTCAGACTGACACATTCTATTATGTTCTTATCTTTTCTTCCCTGTAGGTTCTCCTGCGGGGAAAACCTGTATTTTTGATAAATAGCAGCGTGAGCCCTCTCCTCAAACAGACGAGTGACCATGGTTTCACGGAGCACAGCTTGCAACTTCTACAAGTTCCTAGGGACACTGGTCTGCCTTTGTGTGTTTTTAAATGTTTTAACAGTGAAGTAATTTATTGTAGCGCTTTTAAATGTAATCAGGCAATCAGATAAGGCATTATCAGATAACCTGGGTGTTATGTATTGATGTTCTCACCCTGGCCACCAGGGGTATTGTGCATATAGTTTTCACTCAGGTCCACATAAGTTAATTTAGGCGGAAAACCCTGGGGTATTGTTGTTACAATGTGGACAGCCGGCGGCCCATAAAAGTAGGCCGGCTGAGCTGTTCAGTTCAGTTCAGTTCCAGCTTACTATAAAGAACCACTTGGAGAACTCTCTGTGTCAACTGCTATGTCCACCCACAACTTAATACTGGCAGACAGAAAAAACAACAACATTCAAATTTCTGTTGTAGACCACGTTTTCTGTGATGTAGGTATGATGTTTCTGGGGGGGTGGTCTTGGGTTACACCCCTTCTGTGATGTATGTATGATGTATGGAGGGGTGGTCTTGAGCTCCAGGGCAGGGAATTTAAAATGTCTATATAAGGGCAAGCACACCTTTGTTCGGGGTCCTCCTCCTTTCCTGCGTGTGAGGGGAGCACCCTGTTGTAACAGTTCAATAAAGATCAGGCTTACTAGCTGCTTTGCTTCTCAATATTCTCTGGTTGGCCTCTGTTATTTTCACCTACCAATAGGAACCCACGTAAGGACTCTATATGGGCTCTTGGATACCCCATAAGGGAAAAAGGGCAGATTTTGTTTACAACAGCCTCTACTCACCCGCCCCAAACTAACTCTTACATTCGCCTGACTTTAACTTCCATTCGTCACAGCTGCAAGTCTGCAACTAAACAGGCTTGCCAGTTTGGGGTTTTTATGCCGGCCTAAAAAGGCTTTCTGCTAAAGGATTCTGGGAATTGCAGTTCAGCAAGGCTGCTGAAAATTCTGAAGGTTTTTTTGCCTCCTTCCTTCCCTCCCAGAACTACAGGTCCCAGAATTGCGTGGGGAGTAAATTAAGTCAGTAATATAGGTTACAGGACAAGTTTAAGGTCTTGCTATTGGTAACATTGAGAATGTCCTAACTTGTACACACTGGTCTGGATGCTTTGATCCTTGGGAGGAGATGGACTCTCATTTGTACTGTATGCTCCTAAGGTTCACTGGATGTCTGCTAAGCCTTTAGTGTGAAGGCATTCATTGTGGATTTTAATTTTTTTTAATTGTCTTATGGTCATGGTTTTAAGCTGATTTCATTTTATATGAGTTATATCAGCCATAAACGAACAACAAATAAAAACAATGAATTCACTATTCAACTCAGTTCTGTTTTATTATGATACCAAAGGACAAGATTCTTAACAATGGACATGATTCTACATGAGAGGAGCAGGTAAAAGATGACACCAACCTCGTTTCAGAGGTAGCCACCCAGTGACCCAGGCCTGAGTTCTAACGCCGTTCCGACACCCAGCTCTCTTGTTTTCTGCTTCAGCGTGTGGGTGGCTGGGGCAGTCTCCCTGACACCCTTTTCTCTTCCTCCCCACCCAACAGCTTTCCAGCTTGCCAGCTCTGGTCTAAATGGATTGTTTGCAGAGAGCTTTTGGAACAAGCTCCAAGGAGACAGACCAGTCACTGCTGCAAGGAAGTGGTGGCTTCAGAAGGCTCCTGGCCCTTTGAAAGCATCTAGTTCCCACTCTCCTTGAAATCAATGGAACCCTGGAATCATAACCTGCTGTCTTCACAACTGATAGAGCTGGAGTCCATTAATGCATTCAGACTGACATTCCTCTCAGGAGCTCTTGCAGCCCAAGATGCAAATGTGCTTCGTGCACAACTCCAGCTGGGTATCCCGAGAGGAAACGCCCATCGTCTCCAGAAACCTAGGGGAAGGAAAGCAAGAGAGCAGAAACCAGGGTTCAGTTCCGGGATTCATTGAAATGAAAACAATTATTGGACGAAACACCTCGAAATGTCCAGAGCTAGCACCGCTCCATCTTTTCACAGTTCAAACAAGTTGTCTTTTGACGGCAGCCAGGCGCATAATGGCGAGATACTTGAAGAATTTGGGAGGCTGCCTCTTTGACAAACTGGTACAACAAAATGCGGCAAACAGAAGGTGTGGGGAAATGGGACTGAGGACATAAAGCTGGCATAAGGTTTGAAGCATGGCTTATGCACAGATTAAATGAATAGTTGGAATCTGGCAACACTCCTGACTTTGCCACTCACGTGCGTTAGCGGAGATTCGTGCATTGCAGGGGGTTGGACTAGATGGCCCTTAGGGGTCCCTTGCTTTTTAAAATAATTTTTAAATTTGATTTTGAAAAAGTATAAACATGTAACAAAAAAATCCAAATATTGAGATTACTCTGAATCTCCTGACTTCCTCCACTCATCCCTTGGCATGGCTGGGTCCATGCACCGCACTGTACAAAAGGGCCTGATCCACTCACCTCTGCTTCTCCTGAAAGGGCAAAGAATCAAAGATTTCTTGGTAATCATTCTCAACTAATTTGAAATCTAAAATCTCACTGTTCAAAGCATGCTGCATAAAAGAGGATGCTGAGCTGTTAAAGGTGCAGAAATCCGGAGTAGAAAAATGATCAGCATACAGATGCTCTCTATATGGAAAGACTAAAAGCAATGAGGGGAATGTGTGAGGTGTGGCAGCCTATAGAATAATGTATTTCAAGACTGTCACCCAGTATGTGCCCATTTGATGGCTGGGATCTGCGAAACTGGCCCTTTCACAAGTGTCACGTAACATTCATTCAGCACTTACAAGAAATCAATCTTTTATTGTGGCAGCACTTGGGAACTGCCTGCCCATTGACATATTTGGCTAAAAACTTTTTCATTCCCGCATGCCTACCTAGGTTTTAGTAGCTATAAGTGTTTGAAATGGTCAGTTTTATTTATTTTATGTAACAGGTTTTTTATGTTTTTTAAATTGATATTTCAAATTATAGTCAGACCTCAGTTCCCGAATGCCTCCGTTTTGGAACGTTTTGGCACCCAAACACCGAAAACCCGGAAGTAACTGGTTTGGTTTTCGAACGATTTTCAGAAGCCGAACATGCTACGCGGCTTCTGTTTTGAGTTTCCCTATTGTATTGAGGCTTCGGCTTTGTTTTCGGTTGTTGAATGTTCAGAAGTCGAATGGTCTTCTGGAACGGATTATGGTCAACAGCCGAGGTTTGACTGTAATATTTTAGACTGCCTTGTAAACCACTTGGAGCTCTTTTGTTTTATGTGGTGTGTGTGTATATATATGGAATATTTTAATTACTGAGTGGGGGTTGGTAAAAGTGTTGAAAGTCATGGTGCTTTGTAGAAACTGGCTTTATAAATATTGCTGTAATAAACTAACAGAAAATAGCCACACAGTCACAAATGTTTCTGCATAGGAAGGTCTTAAAACTTCTCCAAAAAACGTAAAGCAAGCTGACCATAAGAGCTTCTCATGGCAAAGATTTCAGAGGGTGGGATGAATTTTTCTTATCCCCTTCATGTCCTCGCCTGGACCCTGAAATGATATTCTTTTCCATAGTGCCAGTGTTTTGCAGGAGGGACTAAAATGCATCCAGGACTTGTAGGTTTGCTCAATTAACCTAGACTGAAGGACTCTTCTGTCCTTCTACAGGAAAGACACTTAAAAACAACAACAACCCCACAGACATTTGGGGCTAGAAAACTGGCAGGGATGGCCCTGAAATTTGCGGTCTGAGGGCAGACCTCAGGTCCGAGGCCTGTGCGATGGACTGACCTCTCTGAAGATCTCCGTTAACTCGTCTGTACAATCTTTGTAACACAACTGCATGTCCCAGTTGTAGGAGCTGAAGACCACACAGCCTGACGGCTTGAGAACTCGGTCCACTTCCCTCAGAAAGCGAGGCCCGTCAAACCAGTGGACGGCCGCAAACGCCGTGACCAGGTCCACAGAGCCGTCTTCGAAAGGGAGGTCTTCGGCAGGGCACACCCTGTGGGAGGAGATGGCAAGGTGATTGTTCGAAGCCTGCTGGAATAGTTGTTTGTTTATGGCTGATATAACTCATATAAAATGAAATCAGCTTAAAACCATGACCATAAGACAATTTAAAAAAATAAAAATCCACAATGAATGCCTTCACACTAAAGGCTTAGCAGACATCCAGTGAACCTTAGGAGCATACAGTACAAATGAGAGTCCATCTCCTCCCAAGGATCAAAGCATCCAGACCAGTGTGTACAAGTTAGGACATTCTCAATGTTACCAATAGCAAGACCTTAAACTTGTCCTGTAACCCATATTAATGACTTAATTTACTCCCCACGCAATTCTGGGACCTGTAGTTCTGGGAGGGAAGGAAGGAGGCAAAAAAACCTTCAGAATTTTCAGCAGCCTTGCTGAACTGCAATTCCCAGAATCCTTTAGCAGAAAGCCTTTTTAAGCCGACATAAAAACCCCAAACAGGCAAGCATGTTTAGTTGCAGGCTAGCAGCTGTGACAAATGGAAGTTAAAGTCAGGCGAATGTAAGAGTTAGTTTGGGGTGGGTGAGTAGAGGCTGTTGTAAACAAAATCTGCCCTTTTTCCCTGATGGGGTATCCAAGAGCCCATATAGAGTCCTTACGTGGGTTCCTATTGGTAGGTGAAAATAACAGAGGCCAACCAGAAAATATTGAGAAGCAAAGCAGCTAGTAAGCATGATCTTTATTAAAGCTGTGGCAACAGGGTGCTCCCCTCACACACAGGAAAGGAGGAGGACCCTGAACAAAGGTGTGCTTGCCCTTATATAGACATTTTGAATTCCCTGCCCTGGAGCTCAAGACCATCCCTCCATACATCATACATACATCACAGAAGGGGTGTAACCCAAGAACACCCCCCCAGAAACATCATACCTACATCACAGAAAACGTGGTCTACAACAGAAATTTGAATGTTGTTGTTTTTTCTGTCTGCCAGTATTAAGTTGTGGATGGACATAGCAGTTGACACAGAGATTTCTCCAAGTGGTTCTTTATAGTAAGCTGGAACTGAACTGAACTGAACAGCTCAGCCGGCCTACTTTTATAGGCAGCCGGCTGTCAACATTGTAACAACAAAACCCCAGGATTTTCCACCTAAATTAACTTATGTGGACCTGAGTGAAAACTATATACACAATACCCCTGGTGGCCAGGGTGAGAACATCAACACATAACACCCAGGTTATCTGATAATGCCTTATCTGATTGCCTGATTACATTTAAAAGTGCTACAATAAATTACCTCACTTTTAAAACATTTAAAAACACACAGAGGCAGACCAGTGTCCCTAGGAACGTTTTCTGTGAAAACTTCTAGCAGGCATAAGGCTAAGGGTAAACACATATTCATAACAAACAAACATTAGAATTCTAGCAAAAGGTCTTACACCTCTTGGTAGTGTGCCTAGGTAGTAACAAGGGGGTGGCAGTGATATAAAACGAAAATGGAGTTGGCTTTTACAGGCCAACTCCCCATCAAAGTATCCCTGAAGTCCATTACGGGTCAGAGAAGAACAAGTGAAGGCAGGAACCAACTGAATGAAGCAGTTTTCTGTTGCCACACAGTTACCATCACCCCACCGTGCAAGGAGGCGAGAGGGAACCCAGAACAAAGGTGTGTCACAACTTTACAAGTTGCCCAACTCCTTAGCCAAAGACCACCCCAAAAGCATCACAGATAAGTGACAAGTTGGGTTGTAAAAGTAAATCAGATCGTGTTCAGAGCTCAGGTTTCTGCAACCACCACTCCCCGGGCTCCGAATCTTCTTCCCTTGGGGGCTACCCAGCTGGTTCCGCCACCATTCTTCTGTGTCCAAGCAGCCCATGACATTTTGTGTTAATTCACGGCTGGTTTCACTGTGTTCGAGTGAAAACTGCTCATGTATCGGACCTAGATGGGTACAGTGGTACCTCGGGTTAAGAACTTAATTCGTTCCGGAGGTCCGTTCTTAACCTGAAACTGTTCTTAACCTGAAGCATCACTTTAGCTAATGGGGCCTCCTGCTGCCGCTGCGCTGCCGGAGCCCGATTTCTGTTCTTATCCTGAAGCAAAGTTCTTAACCTGAAGCACTATTTCTGGGTTAGTGGAGTCTGTAACCTGAAGCGACTCTGGGGTTGCGGCGCTCATCTCGCTTTATTGGCCGAGGGAGCCATTGCAGTACTTATTTATCTACTTGCACTTTGAGGTGCTAGCCTTGCTGACAATGACCTGGCGATGCATTTGTGAGATGTGTCGCTATCTTTTCTCAGAGAGTGAGCCCCGGGCAGCTGGCAGTCGACGTGGGTTGTGGCTCGGGCCAAAGCACTCGGATGCTGGCAAAACATTTTGAGAAGGTGGTCGGGACAGACATCAGTGAAGCTCAGATCGAGGAGGCCAGGAGAGCTCCACAACCGCCCAATGTCTCTTATCTGTAAGTAGGAGCTGATCTCGCACGTGGATAGCCGAGAAAAAGCAGGCAAGAAGAGGCTTTTCTCCCTCTCTCATCACACTAGAACTCTTGAAGCTGAATGTTGGAATATTCAGGACCAACGAAAGAAAACACAGCTTCATGCAGCGCATGTTTAAACTATGGAACTCCCTTCCACATGAGGCAGGGATGGCCACCAACTTGGAAGGCTTTAAACGAAGACTAGAGAAATTAAGGAAGAGGCCTATCAGTGGCTACTAGCCACGATGCCTCTGCTGGACCTACAAGGTGGGCAGAGTGAAGGCCAGTTTTTCTGACTACCGGAAGCCGCAGGAGGGAAGCCATTTTGCTCAAATCCTGCTTGTGGGCTTCCCCCAGGTATCTGGTAGGCCATTGTGAGAACAGGATGCTGGACTAGACGGGCCCAGGCCTGATCCAAAGGCTTTCCTTATGTTCTGATGTTTGTGCACACAGCCACTTCCAATTACTCCACAAATTAGATAATAAGTATTAAAATATGAAAGTATACTTAAAAAACCATTACATTATTCTATTTAACTTGTTCACACCATACATTTAAAGCGCTATCATACCACTTTAAATAGTCAAGGGTTCCCCCAGAGGATTCTGGGAGCCATCATTTGTTAAGGGTGGCTGAGAGTTGTGAAGACAGATCCCTATTTCACTCCCAGATATACCACTCCATACTGATCAAGTGTCCCTATTTCACTGGGACATTCACGGATTTACAGAAGGGAATGGCGTTCCCAGATCAATCCTTTTTCACAGGGTACTCTGGGAATTGTAGGTCTGTGAGGGGAATAGGGGTCTCCCCTAACAACTCAGCACCCTCAATAAACTTCAGCTCCCAGAATTCTTCGGGGGAAGCCATGACTGTTTAATGCGGTACCATTGCAAATGTATTGCGCAAATGAGGCCTGTGTTAAATGGCATCACCTGATGGTGGTTTTCTGTGGTTTGGTTTTCTATTTCTAATGCTTGTTATGTAATTTGTGGCTTTAATCGTTCTGATCTATAAACCATCTCTTTTGATGGAGGCCGGTTTAGAAATCTAAAATAAATCCATCCAGGTTGGTAAACGGCGTTTCCGTGCGCTGCTCTGGTTCGTCAGAAGCGGCTTAGTCATGCTGGCCACATGACCCAGAAGCTGTATGCCGGCTCTGTCGGCCAGTAAATCAAGATGAGCGCCGCAACCCCAGAGTCGGCCACGACTGGACCTAATGGTCAGGGGTCCCTTTACCTTTACCTTTTAGGGAACCTGTGATCCTGCACCCACACACCCCAATGTTGTTGAGACAGTACAGCCCCCTCTCCTCTGCAGACAGCATGGCCAGTAGTTAGCATGGATGGGAGTTGTAGTCAAAGGAACAACATCGTGAGGGACACGGCTTTCCCACTCCTGACTTACCCAAGGCCGTACAGTGGTACCTTGGGTTACATACGCTTCAGGTTACATACGCTTCAGGTTACAGACTCCGCTAACCCAGAAATAGTGCTTCAGGTTAAGAACTTTGCTTCAGGATAAGAACAGAAATCGGGCTCCGGCAGCGCAGCGGCAGCAGGAGGCCCCATTAGCTAAAGTGATGCTTCAGGTTAAGAACAGTTTCAGGTTAAGAACGGACCTCCGGAACGAATTAAGTTCTTAACCCGAGGTACCACTGTACCCATCTAGGTCCGATACATGAGCAGTTTTCACTCGAACACAGTGAAACCAGCCGTGAATTAACACAAAATGTCATGGGCTGCTTGGACGCAGAAAAATGGCAGGAGGAACTAGCTGGGTAAAAGCCAACTCCATTTTCTTCTTATATCACTGCCACCCCCTTGTTACTACCTAGGCACACTACCAAGGGGTCTAAGACCTTTTGCTAGATTTCTAATGTTTGCTTATTTTGAATATGTGTTTACCCTTAGCCTTATGCCTGCTAGAAGTTTTCACAGAAAAGGAATAACGAAAGATTGGTTTTTTACAAGAAATGAAAGAGACAGAATATTTACTTCGGGCAGCAAAGTGACACTGTAGAATCGTGGAGTTAGAAAGGACCAGAGGCGCAACAGGGCCTTGTTTTAGGCTGCTCAGCCTCCTCGTCTAGCAGCTGACGCAGGAGGTAGCGCCGCCTCTGCCGCCGCTTTTCCTCACAACCTCCATCCAGCCCCCAGAGCTTCAACTCCAGATATTTTGGACTGGATTGGAGAGAGAGGAGGAGAGCTGGAGGGGAAAGCAGGCATTCAGAGGTTTTTTTCAAGGGTGCTCCCCATGTTGCACATTTTCACTTATGTGTGTGGGGCCCCCAGAACACAACCCCCACATAAGGGGGGGGGAGTTTTGCAGTGCCTGTACTGTTATATACCAATGTTAGGTTATGGAAAGGGTCTTCTAGAGGAATCATTTACCATGCTAATTTTTTCCTCAAGTATTAAGAAGGCCAGGAAGCCTTCCAGGACATCTTCAGGATAAAGATTAGTATCAGACTCAAGAAAGTTCATAATGGAGCTCTCCTTTTATATAAAATTATGCCAACTGTACGAATGCAATGATCTACGCGTCCAAGTTCAGACACACACACTATTATGTTCTTACCTTTTCTTCCAGGTACGGGAAGATCACGCCCTGTAGATTCTCCTGCGGGGAAAGCCTGTATTTTCGATAAATAGCAGTGTGAGCCCTCTCCTCAAACAGACGAGTGGCCATGGTTTCACGGAGCACGGCCTGCAACTGTTGGGATATCTGATCCCAGGGGTCCGGGTCCAGTCACCTCGTACCCTCGCCAGGAGCGTGAAGGAGCCAGGAGCAGACACCAGGGTGTGATTCCACAGAGAAAAAGGTTTATTGCAAAATCTGCGCAGAGGCAGCCAGCGGAATAGCTTCCACAAACTGGCAGCACCCCCCTCGTGTCTTACAAGTATTTTTATACCCATTTGCAAGCTGGTTTCCCCAATTGCTCCCCAGTCAGCAGACAGAGATACAATTCATTACCTTATTAGGTTGGCTAAGCTCCTTCCCCCTTTTCTATATATTACTTGCTTGCATCCTGTATGTTTGCATACCTAACATGGGCAGGAAACCACTGAAGCATGAAGCCACTGTTGGCCTAAACATAGCTAGCCTAAAGATAGTTGCAGCAACTGTGCAGCCATGACTTGAGCATGGCTGGCCTAAATAGGTGAAGGCCTAAATAGGTAAAACAACTGTTCACTGGGATGACTAGAATAGCTATTAGCGTGGGCCCCAGTACATGGAGGGGTTAACCCTTCCCTTTCCCTTCACAACTACTTGCAAGTTCAGAATGACACACACTACTACGTTCTTACCTTTTATTCCAGGTACTAGAAGACCACGCCCTCTAAGTTCTCCTGTGGGGGAAACCTGTACGGTATTTTTGATAAATAGCAGCGTGAGCCCTGTCCTCAAACAGACGAGTGACCATGGTTTCACGGAGCACAGCTTGCAACTTCTACAAGTTCCTAGGGACACTGGTCTGCCTTTGTGTGTTTTTAAATGTTTTAACAGTGAAGTAATTTATTGTAGCGCTTTTAAATGTAATCAGGCAATCAGATAAGGCATTATCAGATAACCTGGGTGTTATGTATTGATGTTCTCACCCTGGCCACCAGGGGTATTGTGCCTATAGTTTTCAATCAGGTCCACATAAGTTAATTTAGGTGGAAAACCCGGGGGTATTGTTCTTACAATGTGGACAGCCGGCTGCCCATAAAAGTAGGCCGGCTGAGCTGTTCAGTTCAGTTCAGTTCCAGCTTACTATAAAGAACCACTTGGAGAAATCTCTGTGTCAACTGCTATGTCCACCCACAACTTAATACTGGCAGACAGAAAAAACAACAACATTCAAATTTCTGTTGTAGACCACGTTTTCTGTGATGTAGGTATGATGTTTGGGGGGGGGTGGTCTTTGGTTACACCCCTTCTGTGATGTATGTATGATGTATGGAGGGGTGGTCTTGAGCTCCAGGGCAGGGAATTCAAAATGTCTATATAAGGGCAGGCACACCTTTGTTCAGGGTCCTCCTCCTTTCCTGTGTGTGAGGGGAGCACCCTGTTGTAACAGTTCAATAAAGATCATGCTTACTAGCTGCTTTGCTTCTCAATATTCTCTGGTTGGCCTCTGTTATTTTCACCTACCAATAGGAACCCACGTAAGGACTCTATATGGGCTCTTGGATACCCCATAAGGGAAAAAGGGCAGATTTTGTTTACAACAGCCTCTACTCACCCGCCCCAAACTAACTCTTACATTCGCCTGACTTTAACTTCCATTCGTCACAGCTGCAAGTCTGCAACTAAACAGGCTTGCCAGTTTGGGGTTTTTATGCCGGCCTAAAAAGGCTTTCTGCTAAAGGATTCTGGGAATTGCAGTTCAGCAAGGCTGCTGAAAATTCTGAAGGTTTTTTTGCCTCCTTCCTTCCCTCCCAGAACTACAGGTCCCAGAATTCCATGGGGAGTAAATTAAGTCAGTAATATAGGTTACAGGACAAGTTTAAGGTCTTGCTATTGGTAACATTGAGAATGTCCTAACTTGTACACACTGGTCTGGATGCTTTGATCCTTGGGAGGAGATGGACTCTCATTTGTACTGTATGCTCCTAAGGTTCACTGGATGTCTGCTAAGCCTTTAGTGTGAAGGCATTCATTGTGGATTTTAATTTTTTTTAATTGTCTTATGGTCATGGTTTTAAGCTGATTTCATTTGATGTGAGTTATATCAGCCATAAACGAACAACAAATAAAAACAATGAATTCACTATTCAACTCAGTTCTGTTTTATTATGATACCAAAGGAAAAGATTCTTAACAATGGACATGATTCTACATGAGAGGAGCAGGTAAAAGATGACACCAACCTCGTTTCAGAGGTAGCCACCCAGTGACCCAGGCCTGAGTTCTAACGCCGTTCCGACACCCAGCTCTCTTGTTTTCTGCTTCAGCGTGTGGGTGGCTGGGGCAGTCTCCCTGACACCCTTTTCTCTTCCTCCCCACCCAACAGCTTTCCAGCTTGCCAGCTCTGGTCTAAATGGATTGTTTGCAGAGAGCTTTTGGAACAAGCTCCAAGGAGACAGACCAGTCACTGCTGCAAGGAAGTGGTGGCTTCAGAAGGCTCCTGGCCCTTTGAAAGCATCTAGTTCCCACTCTCCTTGAAATCAATGGAACCCTGGAATCATAACCTGCTGTCTTCACAACTGATAGAGCTGGAGTCCATTAATGCATTCAGACTGACATTCCTCTCAGGAGCTCTTGCAGCCCAAGATGCAAATGTGCTTCGTGCGCAACTCCAGCTGGGTATCCCGAGAAGAAACGCCCATCGTCTCCAGAAACCTAGGGAAGGAAAGCAAGAGAGCAGAAACCAGGGTTCAGTTCCGGGATTCATTGAAATGAAAACAATTACTGGACGAAACACCTCGAAATGTCCAGAGCTAGCACCGCTCCATTTTTTCACAGTTCAAACAAGTTGTCTTTTGACGGCAGCCAGGCGCATAATGGCGAGATACTTGAAGAATTTGGGAGGCTGCCTCTTTGACAAACTGGTACAACAAAATGCGGCAAAGAGGGGTGATGGAAGAAGACTGGAGAAAATTTAAAATATATCTTCAGAAACACTGTAATATAAAAGAATGTTAGAAAAAGGTTGGAAAAGAATATTAGGCCGTATTGGCAGACTTGGTATAATGGAATAAGTAAAAATGAAGCGTAAAATGAGGATAGAGGAGAATTAAATACTTTCGAATGTTAAAATGTAAAAGAAAAGAAGGTTAGAAGGATTTGCTGGAGATACGATTTAAACTAGAATACAAAGCAGGGAGGTGAGAGGAAGTCATGGAAATAAGTAAAAGGGAAAAAGGTTGTAAAGGTCTAATTTGATTTTTGTTATTTTTTACTGTGATTTTTTGTTTTTTCTTATCTCTTTTTTATTGTCTGTTTTTTCTGTAACATGTGTATGGTTTGTTTGTTTTTTTTGTAACTTTAAAACTGGAATAAATATTCTTTAAAAAAAAATGCGGCAAAGGGCGGGTGTGGGGAAATGGGACTGAGGACATAAAGCTGGCATAAGGTTTGAAGCATGGCTTATGCACAGATTAAATGAATAGTTGGAATCTGGCAACACTCCTGACTTTGCCACTCACGTGCGTTAGCGGAGATTCCTGCATTGCAGGGGGTTGGACTAGATGGCCCTTAGGGGTCCCTTGCTTTTTAAAATAATTTTTAAATTTGATTTTGAAAAAGTATAAACATGTAACAAAAAAATCCAAATATTGAGATTACTCTGAATCTCCTGACTTCCTCCACTCATCCCTTCCATGGGTCCTACTGATATTTACAACTGCATATCAATACTAATCCAAATTTTTATCCTTCTAAATTATCCATACTTACTGTTACTTTACAATTGTGATTAAAATCCTGCTAATGTTTTAACTTGCTTACAGTAGTCTCGTAGATAAATTATAAACTTTTCCCATTTTTTCTTAAAGTTCTTGTCTTCTTGATTTCTGAGCTTCCCAGTTAATTTTGTCACCAACTTGGTTTGCCATTCTTTTCTGGTCATGGTTATCTCTTCCTTCCATCCCTGGGCTAATTGGGGGAGGGGGGTCCCTTCCAACTCTACAATTTTGTTATTCTACATGGGAATTTTTTGAATTAAAAATTACAACGTGCATATTGGAGCTGAATATTCATAGCAGCAAAACATATGGAAATCCAAGCCCTTCCGCTTTGCTTTCATCTCGTACTGAGAACAGTTACTGGTAAATTCTACTGCATGCCATCTATGAAAAGACATGCAATATCACAGGCTAAAGACTTCAATGCGACTCTCCTAATAATAATAATAATTTTTATTTATACCCCGCTCTCCCCAGCCAAGGCCGGGATCAGGGCGGCTTACATGCAATAATAAAAACAAGTTGAATGATTACAACTTAAAAACAAAATTAAAATACAACATTAAAATATTGAAACATTAAAATATTAAAATGTAGCCTCATCGCAGGAGTAGAAGGAAAAGAAAAAAGAGAGGGAGGGAATCAAATTGGCTCCAAGCCAAAGGCCAGGTGGAATAACTCTGTCATACAGGCCCTGACTTAACCATGGTTCCTTGGCCCTTCCACATCTGGCTTACTCCAGCAAACAGATTTTGTCACCTTCGCTCTGTGTTTTGGAGAAGTGATTTCGCCTCCTCAGGCTGGGCTTCCAGATAAAGTCGGTACGGCGAGAGTGACTGGATATATCCTATTATGTCAGCAACGCTCAGGGGAATTTTATCGAAAATATCCGTCATCCTGGAAAGAAGCAGAAAGCTTTAGGAGAAGTGCGGGGCTGAGTTGAGAGTACGGAAATCTTTTGACTATGGAAGTGCTGTCAATCATATATATGTATGTTTGTTCAGAAGAGTGTGGCTGTTCAACTTAGTGACTTTGACCGTATTGTTCTGGACTTCCCAATTTGTATTTGTTTAGTTACAAAAATATTTGATGCTGCTGTGTCATAAAAATATATCAAAGCCGTTTACAGCAACAAAATCATACAACTTACAAATTCAGTAAGTTGGTAACAAAAAAAAAATTAAAAACAGGTATCATTTAACAACTGTGGATGCATTCTTTGCATAAGCTTGGTGGAACAGAAATGTTTTTAGCAGGAGATTGAAAAGATTGGCATGGCTGGGTCCATGCACCGCACTGTACAAAAGGGCCTGATCCACTCACCTCTGCTTCTCCTGAAAGGGCAAAGAATCAAAGATTTCTTGGTAATCATTCTCAACTAATTTGATCTTTTCATTTCTAAAGGTGAAAAGCTGGTCTTGGATCTGGAAGAGAGAGAGAGAGAGAGAGAGAGAGAGAGAGAGAGAGGTGTGGCAGCCTATAGAATAGGCTGTGTGTGAGGTGTGGCAGCCTATAGAATAATGTATTTCAAGACTGTCACCCAGTATGTGCCCATTTGATGGCTGGGATCTGTGAAACTGGTCCTTTCACAAGTGTCACGTAACATTCATTCAGCACTTACAAGAAATCACCGCAAACGCCGTGACCAGGTCCACAGAGCCGTCTTCGAAAGGGAGGTCTTCGGCAGGGCACACCCTGTGGGAGGAGATGGCAAGGTGATTGTTCGAAGCCTGCTGGAATAGTTGTTCGTTTATGGCTGATATAACTCATATAAAATGAAATCAGCTTAAAACCATGACCATAAGACAATTTAAAAAAATAAAAATCCACAATGAATGCCTTCACACTAAAGGCTTAGCAGACATCCAGTGAACCTTAGGAGCATACAGTACAAATGAGAGTCCATCTCCTCCCAAGGATCAAAGCATCCAGACCAGTGTGTACAAGTTAGGACATTCTCAATGTTACCAATAGCAAGACCTTAAACTTGTCCTGTAACCCATATTAATGACTTAATTTACTCCCCACGCAATTCTGGGACCTGTAGTTCTGGGAGGGAAGGAAGGAGGCAAAAAAACCTTTAGAATTTTCAGCAGCCTTGCTGAACTGCAATTCCCAGAATCCTTTAGCAGAAAGCCTTTTTAAGCCGACATAAAAACCCCAAACTGGCAAGCCTGTTTAGTTGCAGGCTAGCAGCTGTGACGAATGGAAGTTAAAGTCAGGCGAATGTAAGAGTTAGTTTGGGGCGGGTGAGTAGAGGCTGTTGTAAACAAAATCTGCCCTTTTTCCCTTATGGGGTATCCAAGAGCCCATATAGAGTCCTTACGTGGGTTCCTATTGGTAGGTGAAAATAACAGAGGCCAACCAGAGAATATTGAGAAGCAAAGCAGCTAGTAAGCCTGATCTTTATTGAACTGTTGCAACAGGGTGCTCCCCTCACACGCAGGAAAGGAGGAGGACCCCAAACAAAGGTGTGCCTGCCCTTATATAGACATTTTGAATTCCCTGCCCTGGAGCTCAAGACCACCCCTCCATACATCATACATACATCACAGAAAACGTGGTCTACAACAGAAATTTGAATGTTGTTGTTTTTTCTGTCTGCCAGTATTAAGTTGTGGATGGACATAGCAGTTGACACAGAGATTTCTCCAAGTGGTTCTTTATAGTAAGCTGGAACTGAACTGAACTGAACAGCTCAGCCGGCCTACTTTTATAGGCAGCCGGCTGTCAACATTGTAACAACAAAACCCCACGATTTTCCACCTAAATTAACTTATGTGGACCTGAGTGAAAACTATATACACAATACCCCTGGTGGCCAGGGTGAGAACATCAACACATAACACCCAGGTTATCTGATAATGCCTTATCTGATTGCCTGATTACATTTAAAAGCGCTACAATAAATTACCTCACTGTTAAAACATTTAAAAACACACAGAGGCAGACCAGTGTCCCTAAGAACTTGTAGAAGTTGCAAGCTGTGCTCCATGACACCATGGCCACTCGTCTGTTTGAGGACAGGGCTCACGCTGCTATTTATCAAAAATACAGGTTTTCCCCGCAGGAGAACCTACAGGGCGTGATCTTCTCATACCTGGAAGAAAAGCTAAGAAGATAATAGAATGTGTCAGTCTGAACTTGCACGAAGTTGCAAGATGTGCTCCATGAAACCATGGCCACTCCTCTGATTGAGGAGAGGGCTCACGCTGCTATTGATCAAAAATACAGGTTATCCCCACAGGAGAACCTACAGGGTGTGATCTTCTCGTACCTGGAAGAAAAGATAAGAACACAATAGTGTGTGTCAGTCTGAACTTGCAAGAAGTTGCAAGATGTGCTCCATGAAAGCACGGCCACTCCTCTGATTGAGGAGAGGGCTCACGCTGCTATTGATCAAAAATACAGGTTATCCCCACAGGAGAACCTACAGGGTGTGATCTTCTCATACCTGGAAGAAAAGATAAGAACACAATAGTGTGTGTCAGTCTGAACTTGCAAGAAGTTGCAAGATTTGCTCCATGAAAGCACGGCCACTCCTCTGATTGAGGACAGGGCTCACGCTGCTATTTATCGAAAATACAGGTTTTCCCCGCAGGAGAACCTACAGGGCATAATAGTGTGTGTCAGTCTGAACTTATACCCGTAGATCATTGCATTCGCACAGTTGGCATAATTTTATATATGAACTTTCCTGACTCTGATACTAATCTTTATCCTGAAGATGTCCTGGAAGGCTTCCTGGCCTTCTTAATACTTGAGGAAAAAATTAGCATGGTAAATGATTCCTCTAGAAGACCCTTTCCATAACCTAACATTGGTATATAACAGTACAGGCACTGCAAAACTCCCCCACCCTTATGTGGGGGTTGTGTTCTGGGGGCCCCACACACATAAGTGAAAATGTGCAAAGTGGGGAGCACCCTCTAAAAAACCTCTGAATGCCTGCTTTCCCCTCCAGCTCTCCTCCTCTCTCTCCAATCCAGACCAAAATATCTGGAGTTGAAGCTCTGGGGGCTGGATGGAGGTTGTGAGGAAAAGCGGCGGCAGAGGCAGCGCTACCTCCTGCGTCAGCTGCTAGACGAGGAGGCTGAGCAGCCTAAAACAAGGCCCTGTTGCGCCTCTGGTCCTTTCTAACTCCACGATTCTACAGTGTCACTTTGCTTCCCGAAGTAAATATTCTGTCTCTTTCATTTCTTGTAAACAACCAATCTTTCGTTATTCCTTTTCTGTGAAAACTTCTAGCAGGCATAAGGCTAAGGGTAAACACATATTCAAAATAAGCAAACATTAGAAATCTAGCAAAAGGTCTTAGACCCCTTGGTACTGTGCCTAGGTGGTAACAAGGGGGTGGCAGTGATATAAAAAGAAAATGGAGTTGGCTTTTACAGGCCAACTCCCCATCAAAGTATCCCTGAAGTCCATTACGGGTCAGAGAAGAACAAGTGAAGGCAGGAACCAACTGAATGAAGCAGTTTTCTGTTGCCACACAGTTACCATCCCCCCACCGTGCAAGGAGGCGAGAGGGAACCCAGAACAAAGGTGTGTCACAACTTTACAAGTTGCCCAACTCCTTAGCCAAAGACCACCCCAAAAGCATCACAGATAAGTGACGAGTTGGGTTGTAAAAGTAAATCAGATCGTGTTCAGAGCTCAGGTTTCTGCAACCACCACTCCCCGGGCTCCGAATCTTCTTCCCTTGGGGGCTACCCAGCTGGTTCCGCCACCATTCTTCTGTGTCCAAGCAGCCCATGACATTTTGTGTTAATTCACGGCTGGTTTCACTGTGTTCGAGTGAAAACTGCTCATGTATCGGACCTAGATGGGTACAGTGGTACCTCGGGTTAAGTGCTTAATTCGTTCCGGAGGTCCGTTCTTAACCTGAAACTGTTCTTAACCTGAAGCATCACTTTAGCTAATGGGGCCTCCTGCTGCTGCCGCGCCGCCGGAGCCCGATTTCTGTTCTTATCCTGAAGCAAAGTTCTTAACCTGAAGCACTATTTCTGGGTTAGCGGAGTCTGTAACCTGAAGCGTATGTAACCTGAAGCGTATGTAACCCGAGGTACCACTGTACGGCCTTGGGTAAGTCAGGAGTGGGAAAGCCGTGTCCCTCACGATGTTGTTCCTTTGACTACAACTCCCATCCATGCTAACTACTGGCTATGCTGTCTGCAGAGGAGAGGGGGCTGTACTGTCTCAACAACCCTAAAAGGTAAAGGTAAAGGGACCCCTGACCATTAGGTCCAGTCGTGGCCGACTCTGGGGTTGCGGCGCTCATCTCGCTTTACTGGCCGAGGGAGCCGGCGTACAGCTTCTGGGTCATGTGGCCAGCATGACTAAGCCACTTCTGGCGAACCAGAGCAGCGCACGGAAACGCCGTTTACCAACCTGGATGGATTTATTTTAGATTTCTAAACCGGCCTCCATCAAAAGAGATGGTTTATAGATCAGAACGATTAAAGCCACAAATTACATAACAAGCATTACAATAGAAAACCAAACCACAGAAAACCACCATCAGGTGATGCCATTTAACACAGGCCTCATTTGCGCAATACATTTGCAATGGTACCGCATTAAACAGTCATGGCTTCCCCCCAAGAATTCTGGGAGCTGTAGTTTATTGAGGGTGCTGAGTTGTTAGGGGAGACCCCTATTCCCCTCACAGACCTACAATTCCCAGAGTACCCTGTGAAAAAGGATTGATCTGGGAACGCCATTCCCTTCTGTAAATCCATGAATGTCCCAGTGAAACAGGGACACGTGATGGGTATGGAGTGGTATATCTGGGAGTGAAATAGGGATCTCTCTTCACAACTCTCAGCCACCCTTAACAAATGATGGTTCCCAGAATCCTCTGGGGGAACCCTTGACTATTTAAAGTGGTATGATAGCGCTTTAAATGTATGGTGTGAACAAGTTAAATAGAATAATGTAATGGTTTTTTAAATATACTTTCATATTTTAATACTTATTATCTAATTTGTGGAGTAAATTGGAAGTGGCTGTGTGCACAAACATCAGAACATAAGGAAAGCCTTTGGATCAGGCCTGGGCCCATCTAGTCCAGCATCCTGTTCTCACAATGGCCTACCAGATACCTGGGGGAAGCCCACAAGCAGGATTTGAGCAAAATGGCTTCCCTCCTGCGGCTTCCGGTAGTCAGAAAAACTGGCCTTCACTCTGCCCACCTTGTAGGTCCAGCAGAGGCATCGTGGCTAGTAGCCACTGATAGGCCTCTTCGATAATTTCTCTAGTCTTCGTTTAAAGCCTTCCAAGTTGGTGGCCATCCCTGCCTCATGTGGAAGGGAGTTCCATAGTTTAAACATGCGCTGCATGAAGCTGTGTTTTCTTTCGTTGGTCCTGAATATTCCAACATTCAGCTTCAAGAGTTCTAGTGTGATGAGAGAGGGAGAAAAGCCTCTTCCTGCCTGCTTTTTCTCAGCTATCCACGTGCGAGATCAGCTCCTACTTACAGATAAGAGACATTGGGCGGTTGTGGAGCTCTCCTGGCCTCCTCGATCTGAGCTTCACTGATGTCTGTCCCGACCACCTTCTCAAAATGTTTTGCCAGCATCCGAGTGCTTTGGCCCGAGCCACAACCCACGTCGACTGCCAGCTGCCCGGGGCTCATTCTCTGAGAAATGATAGCGACACATTGTAGCACCCTGCTTGTGGTTAACGCTTAGCTGGAATGAAATATTCAACGCAGCAATAGAGAAATTAAAATAATAATTTATTTGTCAGACAAATAAATGAGAGACACAGTGGTATATGGATACCAAAGCTCTGCCTACTCCAGCCCTGATGGCCAGCACTTATATTTCCTCAGCCCAGCCCCCTTGCTCCTCCTTTGGCTGCCTCTGTCCAATCAGCCTGGTTGAAATTCCTATTGGTTGTTTGCTAGAACCAATCATAAAAGATACACCCATTTCCTATTTCCTTTTATGGGAGACAAAAAGCTATATTTCCTTGTATCCATAAATGGCAGACAAGTAGCCATATATCTTACATTTACCTCGACCAGGCACCTCAATTACCAGATAACCTTTGGCCCCTGTTGCCCTATTCACCGCAAACCAGATGGCTAAAGCAGATGGTGCATGGTTTCCAATTTTTTTATCTTAAAGAGATCTTGAGTTCACCTTCTCACCCACCATAATAGGAATCTAACATAAGAATCTAACATTTCTTACTTTCTAAATCCTTTGCATAATTACATTTAAGCCAATATATTTCATACATAACATAGATAGATTTTTAGAAGGAAAGGCCTTTTCAAATTAAAGGAATTTAGTAAAAGCTAAGTTCCTAAGTTCTATAAAGAAACCTTTTTCCCTAACCAGCAGCTGTTTCTTCCATTTAACCTTTAACCTTATGGCTCGAGTCTTCTGTTAAACAATAAATTTCACTATTTACCAGTTCTTAATTGTGTTTTTACAGCTTGATTGTATTCTGGTCAGTGTGACCTTTTGCTCTCTGGCTCTAATTTCCTTTTACAACCTTGAAATACTTTTTACAACCCTGAAATACTGCTATTTATAGCAGTGGGGCCCCTTGAACAGCTGCCAGAGTATTCAGCTGGTCTTCTCCCTGGCAGGAGAATAATATATTTACAAATATAATTTTTTAAGCTCAAAGCAGATTTTGATCAGATGCCTCATTCCCCCCTTTCAAGCTCAAGGACCTTCATCCCAAGTGTCCTTGATAGCTTGACCTTCGTCATATTCCTGAGGTAAAGCTCTGTATAGGGCCATAATATGAGGTAAAGTTTCATTTGAAATCATCTTGCTAATTGTACTTCTAAAACATGAAATGATACATGGCACCGTACATAAAACCATTACTACTACCGTCAAGAAAAACAAGCAAGACAATAGTATCCCTTTGAGTCCCGCAACATTAGGTAACCAATTGGTGAGCCATCCCATATCCCATCCTTCCCATATTTGTACTGGGACATGTGCTATACTCTCCATCTTTGTGGCCAACACACGGATTGCCTCACCATTATCAGAAATGTTAAAGCAACAGGCATTCCCTGTCAAGTTTAAGACTCCACATAGGCCTCCCTGCCTGGCAAGTACATAATCCATTCCCATTTTCAGCTGCAAAATGGCGGCTCTACTTTCATCCAACTGTTGTGCAATAAGTCTCAAACTCTGGGCCGTTGCATTGGTTACAAGTTCCACTACTGCTTGCAATCGAATTATTCTGTTTAGATTATAAATAGGATCCCGTGCCCCTTGTATGAGCTCATCAGGATTCCAGGAGGCAGGCTCATAATAGGCTATAATGCGCTCTGGTGGCCAATCATCAGTATCACTCCAACTTTGGGTACTTCCTCCTGCTATATGAGAAATATCAGCATTTCTTCGTGTACGCTTTGCCGAACTAGTGGGCATAATCCACATTGGTGGTAATACCCATCCCAGGAAGCAAGTCCCACTCCATTTGGGAGGGAGTTGCTTGTATGCCCATTCTCCACATATCCACCACAACCATCGGGTCTGAGGTTTTTGGTACGTGGAGTGCATAAGGCGAAATATCAAAAGGGGCATAGAGTTCACAGTGCAGTATGTTAGATTGCCTTTTTCTGTCACAGTTATGTTCCACACCAGTTTCCATGCATGAATAAAAGGAGGTGCACAGGGCAAGGTATTCCGAGTTCGATAGGTAGTACCGTTTGCCCAGGTTTGACTATTCTTAATATAATCCCAAGTATAGTGGCAATGAGAAGAGCCTATCATGATAGAATCAGCTGCAGCTGATAATTTATGTACACAGAATTCCCCTTGCACAGGTATAACTCGTATTGGTTTAGTTGAGTTCCATCCGGGGAAATTCTGTACTTCTGTTTGGTGTGGCATTTCGCTTACCATACCAATGGCATTTAATGGTATCGGTAATAAGGGCATACCTCCCTCTGAATCATCTGGTCCAAGAGAGCAAACAAGGCAATTGGTCCTATTTGTAACATTGGCTACCATCTCAGCTAAGCCTACCCACATATTGTGGTCATGGCGGAATCCATATTTAGCAAATTTGGTCAGATTCAAGGACCCTTCCCCTTCCCAAGGGATCAGGATTAATAATAAAATCATGTTGATGTCTAGTATATGCATTTCTTCCACAAAAGATTACCTTATTGTGATAACAAACAAAGATTAGGCCCACTATANTTCCCCCAATGCCAGAAATGGGGAACCACCAAGACCGAAACTTATATCCCGAGGATCCCCAATGAGTAATATCCCTGATAATTGTTCCACAGGGGGGGGCAGTCAATCAATTGTATAAGAGAATCTTCCTGTTCACAATCGCTGGTTCAGACGCTCCTCAAGCTTCAGGCGTGCGCAGGTCAGCCAGCTTCCAGGTTGTGGCTGCAGCAGGCCGGTCGTCTAATGTTGCCCGTGACCTAGCCCGTTCCCCGTAGGGCTAGATACAGGGGTTTTTGGAGAGAGTCAGTTTAAAAGGATTAGAGGGGTCACCTTTGCACGTCCAACTGCCTTCGGACTTCTTCAAACGGGAGTGATGAATCCAGGGGGTCACCTCAGCTACCTTCACCGCTGTTGGAGTAGAGAGCAAGACGGTGTAAGGCCCACGCCACTTAGGTGCAAGTGGATCACGTTTCCACTCTTTCACCCATACGCTATCGCCAGCCTGGAACTGATGAATCGGCTCGGCAATGCTGCACGGCGTGCGCTCGAGGGCCCACCTGTTAAGAGAAACAAAAACACGGGAGAGAGATTGCACTTGTCCCTGTGTCACATGGTCTCCTATTTGTTTGAGGTCAGCTGGAATATCCTGAACAAAGGAGGGTGGCCTCCCATACAGGAGCTCAAAAGGTGACAACTTAAGTCTTTTTGTGGGTGCACACCGAACACGAAACAGTGTTATGGGTAACACATCTACCCATCCCAATCCTGTTTCCTGGGTTAATTTTGCCAATTGGGTTTTCAGAGTCCGATTCATTCTTTCAGTTTTTCCCGAACTTTGAGGCCTATATGCTGCATGCAGTCTCCATTTCACTTGTAGGACTCGACATACTTCTTGTACTACTTGATCAATGAACGCTGGCCCATTATCACTTCCAATGCATCTAGGTAATCCAAACCTCGGGATCAATTCAGTGAGGAGTCTCTTAGTTACCTCTCGTGCCTTTTCAGTCCTGGTGGGAAAAGCTTCAACCCATCCGGTAAGGGTATCTACAAACACAAGGAGGTACTTGAATCCCTTAGAAGGGACCAGCTCTGTGAAGTCCACAATTAGGCTTTCCATGGGGACGTATCCCACATGTTGGATTCCAGGAGGTTGTACCGGTCCCTGCCTGGGATTGTTTTTAGCACAAAGAACACATTTCTGTGAAATGCAAGTTGCTAATTGTGATAGGTTAATAATATACAACTTCCGACTGAGACTCTCTCTGGTTGCAGTACCGCCAAGGTGAGTAGATTCATGATAATTTCTTACAATTGTGCCTGCTAGGTGATGAGGTACATAAATCCTATTGTCCGGCAGGATCATCCAACCGTCCTTCACAACCGCTCCTTCCTGTTCAGCCCACTTCCTCTCTTCTGGGGTATAGTGAGGTTTAATTTCTTCTGGAACTACCTCTGGTATGAGGGCTGCTATAAATCCTCCCACAGGCTTCTGGGCTGCCTCTCGGGCTGCTTTGTCAGCAGCATGATTTCCTCTGGTTATTGGATCCCTTCCACGTCCATGACCTTTGCAGTGCATTACAGCAATCTGTTCTGGAGCCCATACTGCTTCCAACAGGATTTCTACTTCAGGTCCATATTTCAAGGCCTTCCCATGGGCTCCGATTAGACCTCTTTCTTTCCATAGAGCTCCATGTGCATGCAGGGTTAAGAAGGCATATTTAGAATCAGTATAGATGTTTGCCTTACATCCGGCTGCCAATTGCAGAGCTCTAGTTAAACCTATAAGTTCAGCCTTTTGTGCTGAGGTGCCAGCAGGCAAAGCTTCAGCTTCCACAACTTCCTCATTGGTGACCACAGCATATCCTGCCTCGTCTGGCACCTTCATGCAGGTAACTGCTACCATCAGTATAATATACAACATCTGGATTTTTCAATGGTTCATCTTTCAGATCGGGTCTACTGGAATACACTTCATCCATTATTTGGAGACAATCATGTGATTCTTCATCATCTACCTCTGGTAGGGGCAGCAAAGTTGCTGGATTGAGCATATTCACTACTCGTAGATGAATCCTGGGATTTTCACACAATAGGCCTTGGTATCTAGCCATCCTTGGATTCGTTAGCCAATAACTACCCTTATATTCCATGAGTGTCAGAACAGCATGAGGTACATTCACATACATCGTCTGGCCAAAGGTAAATTTATCAGCTTCTTTGACAAGGCTTGCAGTGGCCGCTACTGCCCTTAGGCATGGAGGCCATCCTTTGCTACTGAGTCCAATTGTTTTGACAAATAAGCTACTGGACGGTTCCAACTTCCTAATCTCTGGGTCAGGACTGCTGCTGCAATCCCATTCTGTTCATGTACATACAGCTGAAAGGGTTTTTCCGAATTAGGCAGTCCCAGGGCTGGGGCCTCCATAAGTCGTTGTTTGATAACTAAAAAGGCTTGTTGCTGCTCAGGTCCCCATACGAATGGGTCCTTTTCTGCACCTCGAGTGCTTTCATGTAAGGGCTTGGCCAGACTGCTGAAATCAGGTATCCATAGTCTACAAAACCCTGCTGTTCCCAGGAATCCTCTGAGTTGTTTCCTTGTGGTAGGTTCCTTGATAAGGCAAATAGCTTCTTTCCTCTCTGGTCTCAATGCTCGTTGTTGGTGTGAGATGTCAAAGCCCAAATATTTGACCTTTTCTAAACATAACTGTGCCTTTTTCTGGGAAACTCGGTAGCCAGCTTCCCAGAGCAAGTGGAGCAGTTCCTCTGTCCCTTCTTTACAGGTATCAAAATCCTTTGCCGCTAGTATAAGGTCATCTACATATTGCAGAACCACCTTTTTCCAGGTATTGAGGGGTAACTTGTTAGATCCTTCGCCAAGGCAGTGCCAAATAAAGTTGGGGAATTTTTGAATCCCTGGGGCAATCTTGTCCAGGTTAGCTGGCCTTTTGTTCCTGTCAAAGGGTCTTCCCACTGGAAGGCAAATATAGGTTGGCTCTGTGGTGCCAGCCGGCAACAGAAGAATGCATCTTTCAAGTCCAATACAGTAAAAATGTTGCTTCTGGTGGGATCAAACTCAGCAAGGTATATGGGTTTGGTACATTTGGGTGCAAGGTCTCGATAGCCTGGTTTACGAGCCTCAAGTCCTGTACTGGCCTGTATTCATCTGTCCCAGGCTTCCGAACAGGCAAAAGGGGTGTGTTCCATTCTGATTGGCAGGGCTTAAGCAGACCATATTTTAATAGGCGGTCCAAATGTTTCTGGATGCCCTCTGCTGCTCGCCGGGGTAAAGGATATTGCTTTACAGATACAGGGGTAGCCATAGGTTTTAGGGTTACTACAATTGGAGCTATATTCTTAGCCATTCCTGGTGGGCTATTTTCGGCCCATACTCCTGGTGGCACTTGTAGGGTTCGGAGGAGCTTGTTTAATTCTGTATCCAATGTGGGTTGGACTTGCAGGGCTGACATTAGGCGCCATGATTGTTCCTTAGGTACTGAGAGGGAAATTATTCCTGCTGCCTTTGATGGCAGTTTCATTTCTGGACCTCGAGGAGTGAAGGTGATTTGGGCCTGCAATTTGGACAGCATATCTCTACCTAAGAGAGGCATTGGACACTCAGGTATATACAAAAACTGATGGGTTAAATGATGTCCCCCAATCTGGCATTCTAAAGGTTGGAGGAAAGACCTCTTAGCTGACTGACCAGTGGCACTTTTAATGACTACACTTTTGGATGCCTTTTTCTGCAATAGTTCTGGGAGTACTGAGTATTCAGCGCCAGTATCTATCATAAAGTCTATTAAATGGCTCCCTAATTGAATTTTGACCGTGGGCTCCTGGAAGCCTAACTTTATGGAGTCCGGTCGTTCCTAGTCTTGGGTAAAATCCTCCTCTGCCAGTCCAATGAAATTGTCTCTACTCCGTCCTTGTCCAGGTCTCTGATATCTTCCATCTCGGATCATTCCCCGTCCCCGTCCCTGGTTTCTTGGGCCGGAGCCTGGGCCTGGGCCTGGGCGTACTTCTTCCAACCTCAGGGGTTCAGGACACTCCCGCTTCCAATGACCCTCCTTCTTGCAATTCGCACATTGATTCCTTCCCAGTGGTGGATTCCTTCCCCGCCCTCTCCCTCCATTTAAAGGGCGGTAGTCTTGCTTCACTGCTGTGGCTAGCATCACCATCTTTTCCTTCTGCCACTTCTTCTTCTCTTGTTTCTCAGCCTCATCCCTATTCCGATAAACTCGGCGTGCAATGGCCATAATTTGGCTCATCAGCATCCCTTCCCAGCCTTCTGACTTCTGAATTTTCTTACGAATGTCAGAAGCGCACTGAGCCACAAAAGTAGCAGTAATCATTCTGCTGTTTGCAGGGGCTTCAGGGTCAAAAGGAGTCCATATACGATAGGCTTCCTGCAGCCTCTCTAAAGTCTCCCGGACTCTCATTCGGTTTCTGTTCTACTTCTGAGACTTTAGTCATATTAGTGGGCTTCTGGCATGCCCTGCGGATACCTTGCACAAGCGTCTGGCGGTAGGTGGTAAGCCTGGCCAGGTGAATTGCATTGTTTGGATCCCAATTAGGATCCTCCAAGGGAAAATTGTCCTGGAGATGACGGTCAACATTAAGAATATTTCCCACTCTGGCCTGCTCACGCAAATATATCTGTGCCTTTTCAATTATGTCTCTTCTTTCCTCAGTGGTGAACAGAGTATTCAGGAGCTGGCGGCAATCTGTCCAAGTAGGACTATGAGTATTTACTATTGAAGTCACCAAGTCCATCATAGCCTGAGGTTTTTCTGCGAAAGACGGGGTGTGTGTTTTCCAATTCATCAGATCCGTAGTTGTGAATGGAATGTACTGGAGGGTCGAAGTTCGAGGTGGCCGTGGTCCGAGTTGCCCGTTAACCAGCACAGGCTCCTCAAGTGCATCAAATACTCTTCTGAGAGGGGCTACTACGTGACCTTTCTCTTCGCTTTGCTTTAGGGGCCTCAAATCATAGGGGATAGTATTTGTCCCAAGGCGTTCTTTTAACAGCTTTATACGCCTGGCTGTATTGCTTACTGACCGATCAAAGTCTCCCTGTAACTCCTGTAATAGTTCTCTAGGACTTGGATGTACAGGGGTTTGGGGTGGGCAATCAGTTGTTCCACTAAAGGAGACTGTAGATGGAGTTCTACTGGGACTCACAGGTGGAATAACCACTTCTGCTTGGGCTTTATTATAGGACTCCAATGCCTCCTGAAGATATTTATCATAATCTATCAAGGAATCAAGCTCTGTGACTCCAGCCCCATTATTCCTTCCACTTTCTTGCCTTGGGGTTACAACTGGTGGAGTGTTTGGATTAGGCTCCCTCGATGTGGAGCATAGGGTGGAGGTGGAAGCACCTCTTCCTCTGGTCCCTCAAAAATGGGTTTGAGTTTATTTGGCAAGATTCCTTTCCTAGCTTCGGCTTTTACTGCCAATAATTTGCATTGTTGGACTTTGCATTCCCTTATCCATGGAGGATTATTATTTAATGTGCTCAGCCAAGAATCTATATATGAAAATTGTTCTGGGCACCCTCCAGTTTCTTTGGTGATGTTAGACCAAAGTTTGCTTGCTAAATTTATATCAAAACTTCCCTGAGGTGGCCATCCAGTATTTTGTTTTGGCCAGTCTAATTCACATAACGTTCTCAAGCGCTCTGGCGTCATTTTGACTCCATATGCTCCTGAGAAGGCTTTCTTAAAATTATTTAACATACATTCAAGAGGTGTATTTTCCCCTTTGAACCTCCAACTCCCATTGTATGGCCCTGTGAAGTATCCACTCAGTCACTCACACACGCGCTTCGTGAGGTTCCTTGCCCGGATGAAGTCGCCTTACCGGGAACCGAAGTACTACCCACTCCACACTCAGGTCAGCTACAAATTGTACTTTCTCACACATACAATGCGCTGGATACTTCACCACACTCTACCTCCCAATCTTTCCCTTTTCCCTCCACCAGACCACCATCTGATGTACCCAACCACCTAGCGTACTCAGTTCCCCCTTACTGAGACGCAGAAGTTTGATCAAGACTTCTCTTCCTCCCAATTAATTGGAGGGCCACAACCCCTTTGTGCACTTACCCTTAGCTGGTTCCCTGTTTATTTCTCTGGTTACCCCCGGTCCGTCGCCGCCAGTGAGCAGGGTATCAGACAGACGAGACTTCTGCGTTCCCCTGGAAAAATGTTCCAGTGCGCGCTGGGTAAGCGGTCAGTGGTCCTCCCTCTTGTACCCTGCCCGCTAGGGCGAAGGGGCTGCGTTCCAGCAGACCACTTATCCGAGTCACAGAGGCACCATAAAATGTAGCACCCTGCTTGTGGTTAACGCTTAGCTGGAATGAAATATTCAACGCAGCAATAGAGAAATTAAAATAATAATTTATTTGTCAGACAAATAAATGAGAGACACAGTGGTATATGGATACCAAAGCTCTGCCTACTCCAGCCCTGATGGCCAGCACTTATATTTCCTCAGCCCAGCCCCCTTGCTCCTCCTTTGGCTGCCTCTGTCCAATCAGCCTGGTTGAAATTCCTATTGGTTGTTTGCTAGAACCAATCATAAAAGATACACCCATTTCCTATTTCCTTTTATGGGAGACAAAAGCTATATTTCCTTGTATCCATAAATGGCAGACAAGTAGCCATATATCTTACATTTACCTCGACCAGGCACCTCAATTACCAGATAACCTTTGGCCCCTGTTGCCCTATTCACCGCAAACCAGATGGCTAAAGCAGATGGTGCATGGTTTCTAATTTTTTTTATCTTAAAGAGATCTTGAGTTCACCTTCTCACCCACCATAATAGGAATCTAACATAAGAATCTAACATTTCTTACTTTCTAAATCCTTTGCATAATTACATTTAAGCCAATATATTTCATACATAACATAGATAGATTTTTAGAAGGAAAGGCCTTTTCAAATTAAAGGAATTTAGTAAAAGCTAAGTTCCTAAGTTCTATAAAGAAACCTTTTTCCCTAACCAGCAGCTGTTTCTTCCATTTAACCTTTAACCTTATGGCTCGAGTCTTCTGTTAAACAATAAATTTCACTATTTACCAGTTCTTAATTGTGTTTTTACAGCTTGATTGTATTCTGGTCAGTGTGACCTTTTGCTCTCTGGCTCTAATTTCCTTTTACAACCTTGAAATACTTTTTACAACCCTGAAATACTGCTATTTATAGCAGTGGGGCCCCTTGAACAGCTGCCAGAGTATTCAGCTGGTCTCTCCCTGGCAGAGAGATATAAATATTTACAAATATATTTTTTTTAAGCTCAAAGCAGATTTTGATCAGATGCCTCAACATCTCACAAATGCATCGCCAAGTCATTTTCAGCAAGGCTAGCACCTCAAAGTGCAAGTAGATAAATAAGTACTGCAATGGCTCCCTCGGCCAATAAAGCGAGATGAGCGCCGCAACCCCAGAGTCGGCCACGACTGGACCTAATGGTCAGGGGTCCCTTTACCTTTACCTTTTAGGGAACCTGTGGATCCTGCACCCACCCACCCCAATGTTGTTGAGACAGTACAGCCCCCTCTCCTCTGCAGACAGCATGGCCAGTAGTTAGCATGGATGGGAGTTGTAGTCAAAGGAACAACATCGTGAGGGACACGGCTTTCCCACTCCTGACTTACCCAAGGCTGTACAGTGGTACCTCGGGTTACATACACTTCAGGTTACATACGCGTCAGGTTACAGACTCCGCTAACCCAGAAATAGTGCTTCAGGTTAAGAACAGAAATCGGGCTCCGGCAGCACAGCGGCAGCAGGAGGCCCCATTAGCTAAAGTGATGCTTCAGGTTAAGAACAGTTTCAGGTTAAGAACGGACCTCCGGAATGAATTAAGTTCTTAACCCGAGGTACCACTGTACCCATCTAGGTCCGATACATGAGCAGTTTTCACTCGAACACAGTGAAACCAGCCGTGAATTAACACAAAATGTCATGGGCTGCTTGGACGCGGAAAAATGGCGGGAGGAACTAGCTGGGTAAAAGCCAACTCCATTTTCTTCTTATATCACTGCCACCCCCTTGTTACTACCTAGGCACACTACCAAGGGGTCTAAGACCTTTTGCTAGAGTTCTAATGTTTGTTTGTTATGAATATGTGTTTACCCTTAGCCTTATGCCTGCTAGAAGTTTTCACAGAAAAGGAATAACGAAAGATTGGTTTTTTACAAGAAATGAAAGAGACAGAATATTTACTTCGGGCAGCAAAGTGACTCGTGGAGTTAGAAAGGACCAGAGGCGCAACAGGGCCTTGTTTTAGGCTGCTCAGCCTCCTCGTCTAGCAGCTGACGCAGGAGGTAGCGCTGCCTCTGCCGCCGCTTTTCCTCACAACCTCCATCCAGCCCCCAGAGCTTCAACTCCAGATATTTTGGACTGGATTGGAGAGAGAGGAGGAGAGCTGGAGGGGAAAGCAGGCATTCAGAGGTTTTTTTTCAAGGGTGCTCCCCATGTTGCACATTTTCACTTATGTGTGTGGGGGCCTCAGAACACAACCCCCACATAAGGGGGGGGGGAGTTTTTCAGTGCCTGTACTGTTATATACCAATGTTAGGTTATGGTAAGGGTCTTCTAGAGGAATCATTTACCATGCTAATTTTTTCCTCAAGTATTAAGAAGGCCAGGAAGCCTTCCAGGACATCTTCAGGATAAAGATTAGTATCAGAGTCAGGAAAGTTCATAATGGAGCTCTCCTTTTATATAAAATATGCCAACTCTACGAATGCAATGATCTACGGGTATAAGTTCAGACTGACACACACTATTATGTTCTTACCTTTTCTTCCAGGTACGAGAAGATCACGCCCTGTAGGTTCTCCTGCGGGGAAAACCTGTATTTTTGATAAATAGCAGCATGAGCCCTGTCCTCAAACAGACGAGTGGCCATGGTTTCACGGAGCACAGCTTGCAACTTCTGCAAGTTCCTAGGGACACTGGTCTGCCTTTGTGTGTTTTTAAATGTTTTAACAGTGAAGTAATTTATTGTAGCGCTTTTAAATGTTTAACAGATGTTTTCCTGTAGCGTAGTGAACTTTGGCACCAGAAAGAAGCCTGCCTCTTTCAGAATGCTGACTGTGCAATGCTAATTATTTTTCAGACTTGCTTTTTTGCAGCCAAGAAGCAAAGGATTCAGCTCTGAAATCCCTCTAGGGCAGCCTTGTAATAAAAAAATTAAGGTCATATATATATAATAAATGTTCATAAATGTACCAACCAAGCACATACATAGATATGTGGACCACATGTCTGGAGGAGCACAGGAAGACCGTCCTGAAACCATTTTGACTCCCAAACTGAGGAAGTGTTTTCTCTGCGAGGAGGGAGGGGGTGAGGGAACCTTCCCTTTGTCTCAGGAATTGGGAAACCACCATCTCAAAGGAATGGGCAGACTACCAGAAAAGGCAATCAGATAAGGCATTATCAGATACCCTGGGTGTTATGTATTGATATTCTCACTCTGGCCACCAGGGGTATTGTGTATATAGTTTTCACTCAGGTCCACATAAGTTAATTTAGGCAGAAAACTCTGGGGTATTGTTGTTACAATGTGGACAGCCGGCGGCCCATAAAAGTAGGCCGGCTGTGCTGTTCAGTTCAGTTCAGTTCCAGCTTACTATAAAGAATCACTTAGGGAAATCTCTGTGTCAACTGCTATGTCCATCCACAACTTAATACTGGCAGACAGAAAAAACAACAACATTCAAATTTCTGTTGTAGACCACGTTTTCTGTGATGTAGATATGATGTTTGTGGGCGGTGGTCCGGGGTTACACCCCTTCTGTGATGTACGGTATGTATGATGTATGGAGCGGTGGTCTTGAGCTCCAGGGCAGGGAATTTAAAATGTCTATACAGTATAAGGGCAGGCACACCTTTGTTCTGGGTCCTCCTCCGTCCTCCTGCGTGTGAGGGGAGCACCCTGTTGCAATAGCTTTAATGGTTTTATTAGATTTTAGATCAAAGCAATAATTTACTGTGGGAACTGATTGCCCTTATAAAATTAACAAATGATAAAGTGATTCAAGTTCACACACACACACACACACACACACACACAATACTGAGTCTCTCTGGCCAGAAACAGCATTCCTCCTTAATCCCATCTCCACTGTCATAATTAAAAATACATGGTTTTAATACGTTTGTATCGCTGATAAGAAGAAGCAGTAGGGCCAACTTCTGTATTTGGTTACCTAGCAAGATAATGTTTAATAGATACATTTATGCTTGTGATATAGCCACATATAATGCTTTTAACTAGACAGCATCCTAAAAAGCAGAGACACCACCTTGCCAACAAAGGTCCATATAGTTAAAGCTATGGTTTTCCCAGTAGATGTATGGAAGTGAAAGCTGGACCGTAAAGAAGGCTGATCGCCGAAGAATTGATGCTTTTGAATTATGGTGCTGGAGGAGACTCTTGAGAGTCTCATGGACTGCAAGAAGATCAAACCTATCTATTCTTAAGGAAATCAGCCCTGAGTGCTCACTGGAAGGACAGATCCTGAAGCTGAGGCTCCAATACTTTGGCCACCTCATGAGAAGAGAAGACTCCCTGGAAAGACCCTGATGTTGGGAAAGATTGAGGGCACAGGGAGAAGCGGACGATAGAGGACGAGATGGTTGGACAGTGTTCTCGAAGCTACCAGCATGAGTTTGACCAAACTGTGGGAGGCAGTGGAAGACAGGAGTGCCTGGTGTGCTCTGGTCCATGGGGTCACGAAGAGTCGGACACGACTAAATGACTAAACTGTTGGGAATCAAGCCTTTATCAGGCACCCGGCTTGATCTCCTGTTGACCTCCCTGTCTGCATTCCCACAGGATCCAGGCAGAGGTCGCGATAGGTGATCCTTCTCAGAGTGAGAAGAACACACCCCCTCTTTCCTGCCCCCCCAGGCAGGGGAAAGAGATAGACAGAAACGTATTTACATTCCTTTATTTCTGTCTTTGCAGCGTTACAAAAATCATGACTGCTCTCTTCAAACTCCTGCAGTCGAGAGACAAACTCCTCCTGTACTTCCTGTACAGCTCATATTACACTCTGAGCTAATTCCGGTGCCCTCTGCACTGTGAACTGACTGTCCCTCTGTTTCCCACGGAACAGTCCCAACATTCCCATTATGTTTTGCTTTCAAGCTACCAGCTCGCGGCCGCATTGCTTCTATATCGTAACATAAACAACAACAACGCTTTTAAAAACATGGATCAAAACTCTTTATCCTTTAACAATTTAAGTAAAGTCATGTTTATAACCCAGTTAGATTGACCTGGTGGTCAAATTGCTAGCACATTTGCAAAGCTTAAGCAGGGTCTGGCATGGTTTCAAACTGGATGGGGAACTGTGTGCCAAAAGTCCTGCATAGCAGGGGGATGGACTAGATGACTCTTAGGGCCCCTTCTATGACCAATAGCTTTGATCAGCTTTGGCAAACTTGCCCTGTAACACCCACCCCACCCCCTGGGTCAGTCCGTTACTGAAGTTAGAAAATGTTAGAAATGGTCAAATAAAACAAGATTCGGGCACGGCTGAGCAGTGCCCCAAGCGGTGAGGCGCATCATTGCAGCTTCTCAGTAAAGCGTCGGGAGCTGGCGGACCACTGCCCCATGTGGCCAGCAGTGTCACTACAGCTTCTCAGGGAAGAACCTTCCCCGCTGGCTGGCTCTCCCATGCTGGCCATTGGCTCCTCCTGGGCTGGGAGGGAGATAAAAAGGGTTCTCCTGCCACCTAGGATTCTACTTGAGCAGCAAGGCATAAGGGAGCTCTAGTGCTGGAGCAACGGGAGGCACTGTGGGGGGGGGGTAGGTAGGTTTCTAAATCTTACTGCGTGAACAAAGCAATAGAGGGCTAACTCAGGGCGGGGTTTACAGTCACTGAGTAAGCCTGGGAAAGAGACAAGTACTACTAAGCTGACTTTGAGAGTACAGGAACAGAGATTACTATGAGTAAAGACATAGCAACGCCATTCATAGTGTCATGTATATTCTTGCATTGGGCGTTTGGTATTTAGGTTTTAAGCTGGAATGGATTTTTAAGGTTTTGTACGAATGTAAGATCAAAATGACAAACACAACAAAACACAATCAAGTTTATGAAACATAACAGAAGCAGTAGAAAGGTTGCATTTTTCAGATAGAGAGCAGATAACGTAGACAAATAAAAGCAGCAAGAGAAATTCAAGAGTCATTGTGGATTTTTATTTTTTTTAATTGTCTTATGGCCATGGTTTTAAGCTGATTTCATTTTATGTGAGTTATATCAGCCATAAACGAACAACAAACAAAAACAATGAATTCTCTATTAAACTCGGTTCTGTTTTATTATGATACCAAATGAAAAGATTCTTAACACGATAAACTTCAATGCACATGATTCTACATGAGAGGAGCAGGTAAAAGATGACACCGACCTCCAGTTTCAGAAGTAGCCACCCAGTAACCTTCAATAGACAAATGGGGATTTGAACTCCGGCCTAACGCTGTTCCGACACCCAGCTCTCTTGTTTTCTGCTTCAACACATGGGTGGCAGGGGGAGTCTCCCTGACACCCTTTTCTCTTCCTCCCCACCCAACAGCTTGCCAGCTTTTATCAGTGGGCTAAATGGATTGTTTGCAGAGAGCTTTTGGAACAGGGTCCAAGGAGACAGACCAGTCACTGCTGCAAGGAAGTGGTGGCTTCAGAAGGCTCCTGGCCCTTTGAAAGCATCTAGTTCCCACTCTCCTTGAAATCAATGGAACCCTGGAATCATAACCTGCTGTCTTCACAACTGATAGAGCTGGGGTCCGAATCTGGCTTTCCTACTCATGCACCCTGCCCTGTGCATTTAGACTGACATTCCTCTCAGGAGCTCTTGCAGCCCAAGATGCAAATGTGCTTCGTGCGCAACTCCAGCTGGGTATCCCGAGAAGATACGCCCATCGTCTCCAGAAACCTAGGGGAAGGAAAGCAAGAGAGCAGAAACCAGGGTTCAGTTCCGGGATTCATTGAAATGAAAACAATTACTGGACGAAACACCTCGAAATGTCCAGAGCTAGCACCGCTCCATCTTTTCACAGTTCAAACAAGTTGTCTTTTGATGGCAGCCAGGCGCATAATGGCGAGATACTTGAAGAATTTGGGAGGCTGCCTCTTTGACAAACTGGTACAATAAAATGCGGCAAACAGAAGGTGTGGGGAAATGGGACTGAGGACATAAAGCTGGCATAAGGTTTGAAGCATGGCTTATGCACAGATTAAATGAATAGTTGGAATCTGGCAACACTTCTGACTTCGCCACTCACGTGCGTTAGCGGAGATTCCTGCATTGCAGGGGGTTGGACTAGATGGCCCTTAGGGGTCCTTTCCCTTTTAAAATAATTTTTAATTTGATTTTTAAAAAGTATAAACACGTAACAAAAAACCCCAAATATTGAGATTACTCTGAATCTCCTGACTTCCCCCACTCATCCCTTCTATGGGTCCTACTGATATATACAACTGCATATCAATACTACCGTAATCCAAATTTTTATCCTTCTAAATTATCCACACTTAACTGTTTCTTTACAATTGTGATTAAAATCCTGCTAATGTTTTAACTTGCTTACAGTAGTCTCGTAGATAAATTATAAACTTTCCCCATTTTTTCTTAAAGTTCTTGTCTTCTTGATTTCTGAGCTTCCCAGTTAATTTTGTCACCAACTTGGTTTGCCATTCTTTTCTGGTCATGGTTATCTCTTCCCTCCATCCCTGGGCTAATTGGGGGAGGGGGGTCCCTTCCATCTCTACAATTTTGTTATTTTACATGGGAATTTTTTGAATTAAAAATTACAATGTGCATATTGGAGCTGAATTTTCATTGCAGGAAAAAATATGGAAATCCAAGCCCTTCCACTTTGCTGGCATCTCGTACTGAGAACAGTTTCCGGTAAATTCTACTGCATGCCATCTATGAAAAGACATGCAATATCACAGGCTAAAGACTTCAATGCGACTCTCCTAGTGCACTTAACCATAGTGCCTTGGCCCTTCCACATCTGGCTTACTCCAGCAAACAGATTTTGTCACCTTCGCTCTGTGTTTTGGAGAAGTGATTTCGCCTCCTCAGGCTGGGTTTCCAGATAACGTCGGTACGGCGAGAGTGACTGGATATATCCTATTACGTCAGCAACGCTCAGGGGAATTTTATCGAAAATATCCGTCATCCTGGAAAGAAGCAGAAAACTTTAGGAGAAGTGCGGGGCTGAGTTGAGAGTACAGAAATCTTTTGACTATGGAAGTGGTGTCAATCATATGTATGTTTGCTCAGGAGAGTGTGGCTGTTCAACTTAGTGACTTTGACAGCATTGTTCCGGACTTCCCAATTTGCATTTGTTTAGTTACAAAAACATTTGATGTTGCTGTGTCATAAAAATATATCAAAGCCATTTACAGCAACAAAACCATACAACTTACAAATTCAGTAAGTTGGTAACAACAAAAAAAGTTAAAAACAGGTATCATTTAACAACTGTGGATGCATTCTTAATAGTTTGCATAAGCTTGGTGGAACAGAAATGTTTTTAGCAGGAGATTGAAGAGATTGGCATGGCTGGGTCCATGTACCGCACTGTACAAAAGGGCCTGATCCACTCACCTCTGCTTCTCCTGAAAGGGCAAAGAATCAAAGATTTCTTGGTAATCATTCTCAAGTGATTTGATCTTTGCATTTTTTAAGGTGAGAAGCTGGTCTTGGATCTGGAAAGGAGAGAGAGAGAAAGAGAGAGAAAGGGGGTGGGTGGGAAGCCACAGTCATTTCTTTTATGCTTGCAAAAATCTCGCTGTTCAGAGCATGCTGGATAAAAGAGGATGCTGAGCTGTTAAAGGTGCAGAAATCCGGAGTAGACAAATGGTCAACATGCAGATACTCCCTATATGGAAAGACTAAAAGCATTGAGGGAAATGTGTGAGGTGTGGCAGCCTATAGAATAACGTATTTCAAGACTGTCACCCAGTATGTGCCCATTTGATGGCTGGCATCTGTGAAACTGGTCCTTTCACAAGTGTCACGTAACATTCATTCAGCACTTATAAGAAATCAATCTTTTATTGTGGCAGCACTTGGGAACTGCCTGCCCATTGACATATCTGGCTAAAAACCTTTTCATTCCCGCATGCCTACCTAGGTTTTAGTAGCTATAAGTGTTCGAAATGGTCAGTTTTATTTATTTTATGTAATACGTTTTTAATGTGTGTTTTTTTAAATAATTTTTATTAACAGGCCAATCAAATCACATTATTTCCAAATCACATTAATTCCAAATTATACAGCCAGATTTTAAAATTTTGTTGGGAGTACCCATACATCAAGCTCCGAACGGGGGTCCAAGCATCACTTATATTGCTGCTTTAACTAAACAGTTCTATCCAGATAGTCTCTTTATTACTTTCTTCATCTTCTTGTTGTTATCATATATTCCTTTCTTTGCGATCTCTGATAATCTTCACAAGCGGGTTGGAAACAGACATCCTCTGTGTGGGTTTTACACTCTACAAAGATCATATCACTTAGGGACAGCCATTCCACACTTCCATAAAAAAATTATCTTTGGTCTGTCCTTTAATTTTCTCAGGCTTGCCAAGTATATCAGGAGGGCTCTGTCAGGTTAGGATCACATTCCAATCATCATACACATTCTGATGATCCTGATCCTCCTCCCCCCGTCTTTCTTAGACAAGCCTGTCTTAGCGAGACGCCATTTAAAGCTGCGTCATAAAATTTTCCTCCGTTCTCCGTTGTTTACCAGTCATCTCTTTAATCTATAATCCACTCCACACAGTTCTTGAATTCCTGCTTGTGATTAGTAAAATGCAACGATCTTCTTTCTCTGGGGTGCAGGGTTATTAATATTCACATACGGCAAAGAAAAGAAAAGTTTTTTCCTCCACCCCCCTTCTTTCACTCCAAACATACCAGTCTCTTAATGGTGGTTCATCACTTGATTTATTTGTCCCATCTGTCGCTCCGGTCACAGAGATCCATTAATCAGCAGTCTTATCTCCCGAACTTTGCTTGATGTATGTGCTTTAGCTTCTTTCCAATTATATGTTTCCAATTATATTTTTGAGCTAAAGCGAACCAGCACGCGCTAATTGGAGACAGCGTCAGGAAGAGCCGACCTCGCCGAGGGCTTGTGCCAAGTGACCGGCACCCCCTTCTTTCGAATCCGGGGGTGCGTTATGGACACCGCTGGCAAGGCAGTCCCCCCCATCTCCTTGGGGGGGCGGGAAGGCTGCATACTTCCCATAGCAGCCTCTTAATTACCTCGTGTGGGTCGGAGAGATGTTATTGTCGGCCATCTTCCAATGCGCCACCTGGTGGCCCCCGTTTTTAATGTTTTTTAAATTGGTATTTCAAATTATAGTCAGACCTCGGTTCCTGAATGCCTCCGTTTTGGAACATTTTGGCACCCAAACACCGAAAACCCGGAAGTAAATGCTCTGGTTTTTGAACGATTTTCAGAAGCCGAACATGCTACCCGGCTTCTGTTTTGAGTTTCCCTATTGTAATGAGGCTTTCACTTTGTTTTCGGTTGTTGAATGTTTCAGAAGTCAAATGGTCTTTTGGAACGGATTATGGTCGACAGCCGAGGTTTGACTGTAATATTTTAGACTGCCTTGTAAACAACTTGGAGGTTTTGAAAGTCATGGTGCTTTGTAGAAACAGGCTTTATAAATATTACTGCAATAAACTAACAGAAAATAGCCACACAGTCACAAATCTTTCTGCATAGGAAGGTCTTAAAACTTCTCCAAAAAATGTAAAGCAAGCTGACCATAAGAGCTTCTCATGGCAAAGATTTCAGAGGGCGGGATGAATTTTTCTTATGCCCTTCATGTCCTCGCCTGGGCCCTGAAATGATATTCTTTTCCATAGTGCCAGTGTTTTGCAGGAGGGACTAAAATGCATCCAGGACTTGTAGGTTTGCTCAATTAACCTAGACTGAAGGACTCTTCTGTCCTTCTACAGGAAAGTCACTTAAAAACAACAACAACCCCACAGACATTTGGGGCTAGAAAACTGGCAGGGATGGCCCTGAAATATGTGGTCTGAGGGCAGACCTCAGGTCCGAGGCCTGTGCGATGGACTAACCTCTCTGAAGATCTCCGTTAACTCGTCTGTACAATCTTTGTAACACAACTGCATGTGCCGGTTGTAGGAGCTGAAGACCACACAGCCTGACGGCTTGAGAACTCGGTCCACTTCCCTCAGAAAGCGAGGCCCGTCAAACCAGTGGACGGCCGCAAACGCCGTGACCAGGTCCACAGAGCCATCTTCGAAAGGGAGGTCTTCGGCAGGGCACACCCTGTAGGAGGAGATGGGAAGGTGATTGTTCGAAGCCTGCTGGATCAGGCCCAAGGCCCATCTGGCTAAGCATCCTGTTCTCACAGTAGCCAGCCAGATGCCCCATTGGGAAACCCACAAACAAAACCTGGGTGTGTTGTAAACAAAAATTGCCCTTTTCCCTTATGGGGTATCCAAGAGCCCATATAGAGTCCTTACATAGGTTCCTTATTGGTAGGAGAAGATAACAGAGGCCAACCAGAGAATATTGAGAAGCAAAGCAGCTAGTAAGCTTGATCTTTACTGATCTGTTGCAACAGGGTGCTCCCCTCACCGGCAGGAGAGCAGGAGGAACCCGAAACAGTGGCGCGCAAGGCCTTATAAAGACTTTTGAAATTGCCACCCTGTAGATCAAGACCACCCCCAGAAACATCATACATACATCACAGAAGGGGTGTAACCTAAGACCACCCCTCAGATACATAATACCTACATCACAAAAAAGGCGGTCTAAAACAGAAATTTTGAATGTTGTTTTTCTCCTGTCGTCGTTTTTCTCCTGTCTGGCAGGTTACTTGATTGGATTTCCTGGGGAGCCTGGGTAGTCTTTTGTAATGATAAATACTTACCGTATTTTTCGCCCCATAGGACGCACCGGCCCATAGGACGCACCTAGTTTTTTGGGGGGGAAATAAAGGGGAAAAAAATTATTTTCCCCCCAGGTGCGCTGCGCTAATCCCGAAGGTTGGGGCATGCGGAGCTCAGCGCGCCCCAAGCTTCTGGGTGCCGGCAAGGTCTCCGCTAGCCGTGGGAGAGCACTCGGCTCTCCCACGGCTAGAGGAGCGCTGCGCTAATCCCGAAGCTTGGGGCGTGCGGAAATATCTTTCTATATGCCACGATGGCAGCAAGAACTATGCTAGCCCAGAATTGGAAAACGGATGTAATACCTACTATAATGGAATGGCAGGTTAAAATGGTTAATTACGCAGAACTGGCCAGAATATCAGGAAAATTAAGAGACCAGGGTGAACAGAAGTTTCAAGAAAACTGGAGTAAATACTTGATGTATATAAAAGACAACTGTAAAGCTTTAAAGACACTGGCAGGGTTAGAATAACTCTAACAGCGTACGGTAGACAAAGTAAAATACACAAAATACGAGATGCTAGAAATTTTATGATACTTACCAAAGGAATGGAGGGGAGTCCAAGGCTCGGCGGAGCTTAAGATAAATATGTGACTCATTTGTATAATATATGTATGTATGTTGGTGTGTTTAATGGAAAATCAAAAAAAAAATATGTAAAAAATAATAATTAAAAAAATACATTTGCGATAATACCGCATTAAACAGTCATGGCTTCCCCCAAAGAATCCTGGGAGCTGTAGTTCGTTGAGGGTGCTGAGTTGTTAGGAGAGACCCCTATTCACCTCACAATTCCCAGAGTACCCTGTGAAAAAGGATTGATCTAGGAACGCCATTCCCTTCTGTAAATCTGTGAATGTCCCAATAAAATAGGGACACTTGACGGGTATGGAGTGGTAGCTCTGGGAGTGAGAGAGGGATCTCTCTTCACAACTCTCAGCCACCCTGGCCTTCACTCTGCCCACCTTGTAGGTCCAGCAGAGGCATCGTGGCTACTAGCCACTGATAGGCCTCTTCCTTAATTTCTCTAGTCTTTGTTTAAAGCCATCCAAGTTGGTGGCCGTCCCTGCTTCATGGGGGAGGGAGTTCCATAGTTTAAACATGCGCTGCATGAAGCAGTGTTTTCTTTCATCGGTCCTGAATCTTCCAACATTCAGCTTTGAGAGTTCTAGTGTGATGAGAGAGGGAGAAAAGCCTCTTCCTGCCCGCTTTCTCTCGGCCACACACGTGCGAGATCAGCTCCTACTTACAGATAAGAGACATTGGGCGGTTGTGGAGCTCTCCTGGCCTCCTCGATCTGAGCTTCACTGATGTCTGTCCCGACCACCTTCTCAAAATGTTTTGCCAGCATCCGAGTGCTTTGGCCCGAGCCACAACCCACGTCGACTGCCAGCTGCCCGGGGCTCACTCTCTGAGAAAAGATAGCGACACATCTCACAAATGCATCGCCAGGTCATTGTCAGCAAGCCTAGCACCTCAAAGTGCAAGTAGATAAATAAGTACCACAATGGCGGGAAGGTAAATGGCATTTCCGTGTGCTGCTCTGGTTTGCGAGTAGCTGCTTAGTCATGCTGGCCACATGACCCGGAAGCTGTCTGCCAGCTCCCTCAGCCAATAAATCGAGATGAGCGCCACAACCCCAAAGTCGACTGGACCTAATGGTCAGGGGTCCCTTTACCTTTACCTTTTAGGGAACCTGTGATCCTGCACCCACCCACCCCAATGCTGTTGGGAGTGTACAGCCCCCTCTCCTCCGCAGCCAGCATGGCCGATAGTTAGCATAGATGGGAGTTGTAGTCAAAGGAACAGCATCGTGAGGGACACGGCTTTCCCACTCCTGCCTTACCCAAGGCCATACCCATCTAGGTCCGAGACATGAGCAGTTTTCACTTGAATGCAGTGAAACCAGCTGTTAATTAACCCAAAATGTCATGGGCTGGTTGGACGCAGAAAAATGGCAGGAGGAACCAGCTGGATAGCACCCAAGGGACCTATGTTCTGGGTCGCCTCTCGCCTCCTTCACAGTGGGGTGATGGTAACTGTGTCGTAAGAGAAAACTGCTTCTTTCAGTTGGTTCCTGCCTTCACTTGTTCTTCTCTGACCCGTAATGGACTTCAGGGATACTGGGTCCCTTTGATGGGGAGTTGGCCTGTAAAAGTCAACTCCATTTTCTTCTTATATCACTGCCACCCCCTTGTTACTACCAAGGCACAGTACCAAGTGGTGTAAGACCTTTTGCTAGAGTTCTAATGTTTGTTTGTTATGAATATGTATTTACCCTTAGTCTTATGCCTGCTAGACGTTTTCACAGAAAAGGAACAACGATTGGTTGTTTACAAGAAATGAAAGAGACAGAATATTTCCTTCGGGCAGCAAAGCAACACTGTAGAATCGTAGAGTTGGAAAGAACCAGAGGCTGAGCAGGACCTTGTTTTAAGCTGCTCAGCCTCCCCGTCTAGCAGCTGACGCAGGAGGAGTCATTGACCATGCTAATTTTTTTCAGAAGTATTAATACGGCCAGGAAGGCTTCCAGGACATCTTCAGGATAAAGACTAGTATCAGAGTCAAGAAAGTTCATAATGGAGCTCTCATTTTATAGAAAATTATGCCAACTCTACGAATGCAATGATCTACGGGTATAAGTTCAGACTGACACACACTATTAGGTTCTTACCTTTTCTTCCAGGTACGAGAAGATCACGCTCTGTAGGTTCTCCTGCGGGGAAAACCTGTATTTTTGATAAATAGCAGCGTGAGCCCTGTCCTCAAACAGACGAGTGGCCATGGTTTCACGGAGCACAGCTTGCAACTTCTGCAAGTTCCTAGGGACACTGGTCTGCCTTTGTGTGTTTTTAAATGTTTTAACAGTGAAGTAATTTATTGTAGCGCTTTTAAATGTTTAACAGAGAAGGAATGTCCCCGTTTTCCTGTAGCGTAGTGAACTTTGGCACCGGAAAGAAGCCTGCCTCTTTCAGAATGCTGACTGCACAATGCTAATTATTTATCAGACTTGCTTTTCTGCAGCCAAGAAGCAAAGGATTCAGCTCTGAAATCCCTCTAGGTCAGCCTTCTAATAAAAAAATTAAGGTCTTATATATATAATAAATGTTCATAAATGTACCAACCAAGCACATACATAGATATGTGGACCACATGTCTGGAGGAGCACAGGAAGACCGTCCTGAAACCATTTTGACTCCCAAACTGAGGAAATGTTTTCTCTGCGAGGAGGGAGGGGGTGAGGGAACCTTCCCTTTGTCTCAGGAATTGGGAAATCACCATCTCAAAGGAATGGGCAGACTACCAGGAAAGGCAATCAGATAAGGCATTATCAGATAACCTGGGTGTTATGTATTGATGTTCTCACCCTGGCCACCAGGGGTATTGTTTATATAGTTTTCACTCAGGTCCACCTAAGTTAATTTAGGCGGAAAACTCTGGGGTATTGTTGAGGCTTTCGGGTTGGCGCCTCTGGCAATGGCGGATTTCCTCCGATCGGGAGGAACCTGCTCCGCGAAAAACAGGGTCTGAACCGCCACGGAAAGGCGGAGACCCATTAAAAACCACAGGCGGGAGAAGCCTGTGGACGTGGGATTCGGCTGGCACCTTTGCGCCTCCCCTACTCGCGGGGAAACCCTGTTTTGGGGATCCGGAGCGACGTGGGGTGAGTGGCGCGGTGCTTTGAATCGACTGCTTTTTTCACGGAGTGAAGCCGCATTGCTGTTGCCGGAGAGCGCTGACTTTTTCCTGTGGACAATTGGATTTCAAACAACTACTCGTGAGTAAATTGGAAAATTGGATTTTTAAATACTTTAATTCGGCACTGAAGCGGGAGGGCACAAACAGGAAGTCCGCCTTCCGTTTTTGTAAATAGACTGAAGCAAAGACGTTACAAGTAAAGCCTTTGGAAGCTTTTGGTAAAGGATTAAATTTCCACCGGTTTAAAGTTACAAAACCCCCTTGGGACGCAGGAGAAGAGGGGGAAATTTTGGATCTAGTGAGCCTGCAGGAGAGAGTGAAAAAATCAGATTACCACTGCTCTGAACCTGGGAACGGGCTGCCAGATGACGTTTGAAGAGAGTGCTTTTGACAGAACGGATTTGACAGCTAGCTAAACAAGAGTAAGATACTGTTTCCATTGTCCCTTTCTGCGTTTAAAAAAAAAAAGAAAGAGGAAAAGTAACTGAAATCTTATCTTTAATGTTTGAAATTGCGCTTGAAAGACCTGATACAAGTGGAGACTGTTTCCCTCTAGAGGGAGCTTTTGAAACTGTAACAGGACTGTAACTGGGGAATCTCCAGCTGCAGAAAAGGAGTTTGGGAACCAGAGAGTGACCTTGGGCTATTTAAAAATGTTGATAGGACAGGCCATTGTGACTGTTTTATGTAAGATAAGCTGTTCGCTGGGACAGCTTCACAAGAAGATGGATGATATGACTCTCAAAGTTGATAATTTGGAACAGAAAGTGACCAACTTGAGTCAAAAAGCGAACACTAACACAGAAATAATTCAGGACTTGGTACAGGAACCCATTTTGGCAGGACAAATGGTGGAGGAGAAGGAGGAGAAGGAGAAGGAGAATGCAGCTGTTGTTCAACATAAAATAATACAAGTGAGATCTGTGGATTTACAGAAGCAAATTGGAGATTATAAATTGAGGCCTTCTATGATTGAATCAGGAAAAGCCAGACTCCGAGGAATGGATCCCGGTTTGGATTAAAGAAGGAAAGCTGGAAAGAGCCCTCTATGCAGGGATTAACTGACTTTTGGGACATGGACTCGGGCCTGGAGGAGATTGAAGTTTTGGGGGCCTTTGGAATTGGAGGAATTTTGAAATATACCCGGAAATACTTTATGGACTGTGGTTTTAACTATGGAAACTCAGCTGATTTGTTCAGAAGGAAGAAAAGGATTGACAGGTTGGAATTTCCCGAGATTGGCTCCTTAGCATTAAAGAAAATGAAGAAGACCTGCAGAAGGGACTTGGAAAGAGTTAAGAGCCTCGGACATGAGATCACCAGGTTGATGGACTTTATGGAATTGACGGAAAGGACTGGCAGAATCCGAAACCTGGGAGAAGAGATGGTGGAAGAAGATTGGAAAATTTAAAGTTTTTATATAGACTTATGGTAAAATTAATGAGTGATAGAAAAATGGTGGAATGATTTTTTATTTTTTATGGGCTTAATAGAAATGTTATAAGGAGTTAAGCACATATAAGTAATTTAGTTTTAATGGAAAATAAGGTTAAAATAATACGTTATTTACAATATCACAGAAAATGGAGAAAGATGGAAAGGATTTGCTGAAACAATTAATAGAAGCGGAACACAAAAAGGGAGGTGTGAGGAGGTCGAGGAAACAAGGGAACGAAAGATAGAGTATGGAAAAGAGAGGATGTATGTTTTTTAATTTGTTTTTGTTTTGGGGAGTGGGGTTTGTTTAGTTTAGCTTAATGTGTTTAGTTTTGAGTTTAGGTTGTGTTCTGTATTGTTTATATATTGTATTGTATGGTGTTTGTTTGTTTGTTTTTCTCTCTGTTTTTTCTTCTGTTTTTTCTTTTTTGCTTTTTTTCCTCTCTTTTTGTAATTTATAAAAGTAATAAATATTATTTATAAAAAAAAAGAAAAAAGGAAAACTCTGGGGTATTGTTGTTACAATGTTGACAGCCGGCTGCCTATAAAAGTAGGCCGGCTGTGCTGTTCAGTTCAGTTCAGTTCCAGCTTACTATAAAGAATCACTTAGGGAAATCTCTGTGTCAACTGCTATGTCCACCCACAACTTAATACTGGCAGACAGGAAAAGCAACAACATTCACATTTCTGTTGTAGACCACCTTTTCTGTGATATAGGTATGATGTTTGGGGGGGTGTTCTTGGGTTACACCCCTTCTGTGATGTATGTATGATGTATGGAGGGGTGGTCTTGAGCTCCAGGGCAGGGAATTTAAAATGTCTATATAAGGGCAGGCACACCTTTGTTTGGGGTCCTCCTCCTTTCCTGTGTGTGAGGGGAGCACCCTGTTGCAACAACTTTAATAAAGATCAGGTTTACTAGCTGCTTTGCTTCTCAATATTCTCTGGTTGGCCTCTGTTATTTTCACCTACCAATAGGAACCCACGTAAGGACTCTATATGGGCTCTTGGATACCCCATAAGGGAAAAAGGGCTGATCTATGTTCGTGCTTGGTTGGTACAGTTATGAACATTACCATATATCTAAGACCGTAAAATTCCTATCACAGAACTAATTGCCCATATAAAATTAACAAATGATAAAGTGATTCAAGTTCACACACACACATACAAAATCCTGAGTCTCTCTGGCCAGAAACAGCATTCCTCCTTACTCCCATCTCCACTGTCATAATTAAAAATACATGGTTTTAATAAGTTTGTACCCCTAATAAGAAGAAGCAGTAGGGCCAACTTCTGTATTTGGTAACCTAGCAAGGTAATGTTTATTAGATACATTTATGCCTATGATATAGCCACATATAATGCTTTTAAAAACATGGATCAAAACTCTTTATCCTTTAACAATTTAAGTAAAGTCATGTTTATAACCCAGTTAGATTGACCTGGTGGTCAAATTGCTAGTACATTTGCAAAGCTTAAGCAGGGTCTGGCTTGGTTTCAAACTGGATGGGGAACTGCGTGCCAAAAGTCCTGCATAGCAGGGGGATGGACTAGATGACTCATAGGGTCCCTTCTATGACCAATAGCTTTGATCATCTTTGGCAAACCTGTAACACACACCCCACCCCCTGGGTCAGTCAGTTACTGAGGTTAGAAAATGCGAGGAGAAAAATGTTAGGAATGGTTAAATAAAACAAGTTTCGGGAAAGGCTGAGCAGTGCCCCAAGCGGTGAGGCGCACCATTGCAGCTTCTCAGTAAAGCGTCGGGAGCTGGCGGACCACTGCCCCATGTGGCCAGCAGTGTCACTACAGCTTCTCAGGGAAGAACCTTCCCCGCTGGCTGGCTCTCCCATGCTGGCCATTGGCTCCTCCTGGGCTGGGAGGGAGATAAAAAGGGTTCTCCTGCCACCTAGGATTCTACTTGAGCAGCAAGGCGTAAGGGAGCTCTAGTGCTGGAGCAACGGGAGGCAGAGGTCATGCCATCAGCTCTGCCAAAAGACCACGTCCCCCAGGCACCTCTGAACTGTGTCAACTGGTCATTTTAAGAACTGCTGGCCAAGTTTGATTTCCACCCTATTATTCTATCCCCCTTTTTCTTGTGGACTTTTGTTTTGTAAGCCTGTCTGACAGGGGCTGTGTGGTTTTCAACGGACTGTAGTAAGCCACTCTGGGAGTCTTTTTGGATGGGCAGTGGCATTACCAGATGCTCCATATACCGTATTTTTCGCTCTATAAGACGCACCAGACCACAAGACGCACCTTGTTTTTGGAGGAGGAAAACAAGAGAAAAAAAATTTTGAATCTCAGAAGCCAGAACAGCAAGAGGGATCACTGCGCAGTGAAAGCAGCAATCCCTCTTGCTGTTCTGGCTTTTGGGATAGCTGCGCAGCTGGCATTCGCTCCATAAGACGCACACACATTTCCCCTTGCTTTTTAGGAGGGAAAAAGTGAGTCTTATAGACCAAAGATACAGTAAGTAACATCTGTGGTCTTGCTCTTTGGTCCTGCTTGTTCTCTGACTCTGGCAGCCTTTGGGTTGTGCTTTGCACCCTTCTTGAGTCCTTTTGCCTGGCTGGAATGAGTCCTTGAAATGTGACACGGAATCGTTTGCCTGGCTGGATAGAGGATTTCAGAATCCTTGTGTAACAGTTAAGAGGGGCAGGATAGAACCTGGGAGAGACCAGGGTTCAAATCCATTACTTGGCCATAAGCTGGCTGAGTGACCTTGGGGGCCAGTCACTGCCCCTCAGCCTGACCTACCTCGCAGGGTTGTTGTGGGGACTAAAATGAGGTGGAGAACGATGTATGTTAACTTGACCTTGGAGAAAAAGGTGGGCTATAAATGCGATTAATAATAATAATCAAAGAGGCATGTGTGTAGAAACTAGCCTATTGTACAAATGCAAAATTTGCATATGCTTCTCCCACTTTTGCTTTTGGTTCCGCCCTGAATGCATAGCTGTCAACGTTTCCCTTTTTTAAAGGGAAATTCCCTTATTCCGAATAGGATTCCTCGCAAGAAAAGGGAAAAGTTGACAGCTATGCCTGAATGGAATGTGGCCCTCTTAAGGGAATGTGGCACTCAGGCCCAAAATGGCTGGCCACTCCTGGTGCAGACAATACTGAGCTAGATAGACTAATTCTCTGACTTGGTACGTATAAGGTTGCTTCCTATGTTTTTAATAAATATCCCTATTATAGCATAGAGGCTGGATTTACGACACTGCCGTAAAGCGACACCAGGGGGCCGTTCCCATTCTGTATTTACTGTAATTCTGGGCGGCGCCACAACATTCCGAACCATAGAGGCTACGGTTCCTTCACCTCCCTAGAAGGGCTGCGTGCACGACGCTGCCGCCAAGCCGACAACCCATCTCCTTATTGGGCGACGCTGCCGCAAACCGAGCCCTTCTGAACGCGCGCTAGGGTCCTCGGCGCTGCTTTGCGGCCGAGTGACGCAAAACGGCCGCTAGGCGAGCGGGGGTTTGCGACGCCGCCTTGGCGGAAGTTCGGCGGCCTGAGGGAAGCCGCGGGGACGAGCTGAAGGAGGAGCGGCCGGCAGAAGGAGGCCGGGCTCGGGCGCTCCATGGGGAACGTGGGCAGCCACAGCGAGGGCGAGGAAGAAGAGGAGGAAACGGCGCCCTGCGCCGCCGCCGCCGCCGCAGGAGGCGCCCGGAATAGCGGCAGCGCCGCCAGGGAGGCCTCCTCGCCGGGCGCCATGGAGACGGCGGCGGCCTCCTCGTCCTCTTCCTCGCCGGCCGCCGCCCGGCCTTCGGCGCCTCCGTCGGCGGCCCCCCTGCCGTCCTCGTCCCCGTCCCCGCTGCTGCCGGCGGCGTCGGTGCTGCTCGGCCAGGCCCGCCTGAGGGAGGAGGCCGCGGCCCGTTTGCGCGAGGCACCCTCGGCGGAACCGCTGCTGTCCCGCCACCACGCCGCCCTGGTGCGCTGGCTGGAGGAGCGCCTGGGCCGCGGGGAGCACGCCGTCAGCCTCGAGCAGCTCTGCGAGGCCCTCGAGGCGCGCGCCGGGCCGACGCCAGGAGGAGGAGGAGGCGGCGGCGGCGGAGCAGCGGGAGCATCCGTCGCCGCCGGGGCAGCCGCCACGGGAGGAGGCGGGAGTGGAGGGGAAGCCGCTGCCGCCGCCGCCGAGGAGCGAGCCAGGAGCGAGGAGGTGAGCGGTAGCCCACCCCCCACCATGAGGAAAGGGGTGGCAGCTCAGTGCGTGGAGCAGGTGCTTCGGAGGCCCGACTTTCCGCCCTTGGCATCTCCAGGCAGGGCTGCTGGGAGGGGGAGACTTCCTCCAGGGGGACCCCGGAGGTCTACCTTGGTATAAGACAGCTTCCTAGGTTCCTGTTTGAAGCAGCCTATGTTGAAACCACGAGGACTAGAGTCTTGCTTTATTTTTAGGGCAAAGTGCACAGGGCAGTGGTGGAGCATTATGTTTGCATGCAGGAGGTCCCACGCTCGGTCTCCTGCATATCCGGGCAGGGCTGGGGAAAGGCTCCCTGCCTGAAACCTTGGAGAGCCGCTACAAATAGTTGTAAAGGTAAAGGTACCCCTGACCGTTAGATCCAGTCGTGGACGACTCTGGGGTTGTGAGAATACAAAGCCAGATGAACCACTATGGGCTTAGTATAAGGCAGCTTGTTATGTTGTTATTTAAACTAGACCTTTATTTAGAATAATGAGGACTAGAATCCCTAAAAATGGTAGAGCAACCTGATAGTGCTATACAGAAGTCATGTTTATCACCACCACTCACAAGTAAGGCATTTCCTTCTTGACATGCCACACAACCCCTTAAGCTGTTTAAGGAGAAAACTTTTCTGAATCTAGCTATCTAAGATCCTGGTCCAAACTGCACTTAAACCTGAAGCGCTGTTAGAGTACCTGCTTTGCATGCAGAAGGTCCAAGATTCAATCGCTGGCATCTCTAGATATGGCTGGAGAAAGACTTCTGCCTGAAATGCTGGAGAGCAGCTGCTAGTCAGTGTCAAGAATACTGAGCTGGATGGACCAACTGTCAGTATAGGGCAGCTTCGTACATTCCTCTTTAAGCTCTTTGTTCAGAAAAATGAGGACTAGAATCTTGTTTTCTTTTAAGCAAAGGATCACCTTTCCGTGGCAGAGTACCTGTTCCTAAATTCAGTCCCCAATGGTATCTCCAGATAGAGCTGGGAAAGAGACCCTCCCCCGTCTGAAATCCAGGAGAGCCATTGCTCATCATTGTGGAAAATACTGAACCAAATGGGCCAGTGATTTGATTCAACATGGCAGCTTCCTCTGTTTGAGGGGATTGCATCTACATGTGTTTGAGCAGCATAGCCTATGCACCCAAACGGAAGGGTGGAGGGCCAGTCTCTGCTCGGTAGGGTTTGCTGCCCCAGGCAAAGGTGCCCAAGGGCAGCAGCTTTGCAGTGCACGCTTATGTAATACTTGCTGTGTTTGGTTCTGGCGCTTCCTCTTATGCAAAGTAGAGAGGGCAGCCTTGCAATGCACTCTTCTGTGGTGTTTACTCCCCAGTAAGTGTTCTTGTGTTTACTCTTAGGAAGCATGCAAAGTAGGATGGCAGGCTTGCAGTGCAGGCCTCTCTATGCTGTTAGAGTTTATATCTGTGCCATCTTTCTGTCAAAAAAAGGTCTCCAAAGCAGCTCAGAGAGATTCACAAACAAATTCAAGTTTTAAAAAATGCAACTTTGAAAAATTGAAGATACAAAGTTGTTGTTGTTTTTTTTAAATCCTCTATCACTTATCCCTCTTCTCATGCGTTCTACCTCTTAATATATTGTGGCTGGGTTCCATTTGTTTATTTGCATGTATACTTGGAACTGAACCACTCTGTGTTTCTGGGGCCTTAACTCCCCAGGGAAGGGTGCTCAGGGATGGCAGCTGCGGCCTTGCAATGCACTCCTGTGTCAAGTATTTACTCACCTGTAAGCTCCAATGTGCTCAGTTTAGGGTTTCTCCTTTGGGAAATGCACAAGGCAGGACAGCAACCTCCTCCTGCAGAGTGGGCTCTACAGCAAACGCTATTATGTTCACTTCAGGGCTTCCTCTTAGGAAACGTACAGCAATGTAGGATTGTAGCCTTGCGATTCAGCTCTATGGAAATTTGGGAGTGAGCTCCTGTGTGTTTATTGAGTCTTGCACAGGAATGGATTTGAGATGGAAGTATTGCTATTAACAGTTTTGTATAGCGGTTTTGTGGCTTGGTGAAATGCTTTATATTACTTTATCTGTGTTGTCTACTCAACAACCATCTTCTGTGGTGGGCTGCTGCATTTTCAGATATGCATCTTAGGGTTAGAGTATGACTTGTGAACCCTGAGCTGAGGGTGGACAGGTGTGAACCTGAGTCTCCTTCCCGCAGCAGTGGCTCTGTGTGGCCTATAGAAGCAGATTTAAAATGCTGTTGTTGGCAGGGGCCACAGAGAATTTGGCCCAGAGTTCTGAGGCTCCCCAGCGATGGTTTAGAACAGGCATAGGCAAACTTGGCCCTCCAGATGTTTTGAGACTGCAACTTCCATCATCCCTGACCACTGGTCCTGTTAGCTAGGGATGATGGGAGTTGTAGTCCCAAAACATCTGGAGAGCCGAGTTTGCCTATGCCTGATTTAGAAGTTACCAAGATGAGAATCAGAATTTACAAATGCTTCAAATTATTGAAGTAGCATAATGGAATCTGTGGTAGGTTAGCATAAGTATGGGGTTGAGAGGAGGGAATAAAATGATAAGGGTAGTGCATTGGTTGAATGTGTTTTGGAGACTTGCAATACTGACGCTACACGTTTTGGTCCAGTACTAAGTTTTGTTTCCAAGCAACCTTTTCCCCATATGACCCATGGCCGTAAATAACCTGCAGTTCTGTTGAAAGCATGACCCAGAGGATATATTTTCCCATGCTGTTAAATGTAGTGCCCTCTTCCAATCCAAAGGAGTGTCTGTGGTTTTGAAGCATATATGCTGGAGCTTTTAACTCCTTAAAAGGCACCCTGCAATCTCTCTCAGAAGCTGCTGCTCATGAAAGGAAGTTAGAAGTTACAGTATGTTATACTGGTAGTTAGGGGAGTTTCTAAAGTGAGATTATTATTGCATAAAAACCCAGATTGAATTTTGTGTTTCTCCTCTGCTGTTTAGGACTTCACAAGCATGTGATTGTCAAACGGGGTAATGCCTTTAGAATGGGACATTGGTTTCACAAACAGTTAATTATGGGAAGTATTAAATAATCCTTCTCCTTTCATTTTAACAGGGTTCTTGACAATGTTTGCCTACAAGGGAGAACAGATGCTGGTTGTTTTTCATAAGTGATGCTAGGAGTTATTTTAGTTTGGAATATCTGTTTCCTCAGTGTGTTTTATATGAGGCAGAAAATGGAAGAGAATTGATTTAAAATTAATACACATCCAAGCAGTTGTTGTGGAAAATGCAAAAAGCAGTTTAAGTGGTGTTTGAAAAATGCCTGCTTTGAGCCTGCAAACTCCTGCATTGCCTTTAGAGTGGGTGTGGACAGTTTCACCTTTATGTAACATGTAATCGTGATAGTATGAAGGGAAAGAGAACACTTCAGGGCAAAGGTTCAGGGGACAACACCCTGTTAAGAAACATGACCTGATGCTCAGGCAGGGAAGCTGTTTGATTTTGCTGGCCCTTAGGCTTTAGCAATGCACAGAGCTCTCTGCCTTTTTGCAACACTTCCTTGTTCACTTGCAAATATGCTCCTGAGGACCACAAACAGCCTTCCAGGCCTCTCTATTCAACCCTCAGAACTCTCTGCAGGTCAAGCCTCATACGCAGGACACACTCCTCACTGCCCCTGCTCTGCACCCTCCTGAAGTGCTTTTGCCTGGCTGGGCCCTTGAACTGTGATTCCTCCTGCTTAAGTGAATAGAAAAAGGGGGGTGTTGGCTCTGAATCTCGGCCACTTGTAAGCCTGGGTCAAAGCTCCACTTGTTGTTGTTTTTGTCCCAGATGATTTGCTTGTGCATTTCAGATATTTATTTGAAATCTTGAGCACAAGTAATATATGCGGAGATTTATTTTTTAAAGAAGAAAAAGCTTCCCTTCTCAGGAACCCATGTTACTTTAGCTGAGTCTGTAAACCTGTATGTGGTTGATGAGCACCACTTCGGAGCTTGAGCCTCAGGATGCTTCCAGCTCTCCGTACAGCATTCTGTATACTTTGAGTCTCTGGCACTTGTCCATTCCCATGAGTTGGAGTGTGTCATTTGACAATCTGGGTGGGCTGATTGGGGATGGCTTGACTAGCCAACTCCGAGGATCAATGGAGAAGTTTGGGGTGTTCCCACATGGCATCACAGATCCACCATCCCAGACACTGTGGAGAAAACATCTCTCTTCCTTTTCCCTCAGACCTTTCGTTCCGTGCACCTCTCCTGAGCCCATCTGCTTCCTCTTCCAACTCTTGTTTATTTATTGTCTACTGAAAAATTATTTGGAACTTTTCTGCCACGTAAGAGCTCCTAATATGGTCCACGCAGTATTAAGATGAATATAGTATTGACAGGGACGCGGGTGGCGCTGTGGGTAAAACCTCAGTGCCTAGGACTTGCCGATCGCATGGTCGGTGGTTCGAATCCCCGCAGCGGGGTGAGCTCCCATCATTCGGTCCCAGCTCCTGCCCACCTAGCAGTTCGAAAGCACAATTAAGTGCAAGTAGATAAATAGGTACTGCTTTCTAGCGGGAAGGTAAACGGCGTTCCGTGTGCTGCTCTGGTGCCGGTTCGCCAGAGCAGCTTCGTCACGCTGGCCACGTGACCCGGAAGTGTCTGCGGACAGCGCTGGCTCCCGGCCTCTAGAGTGAGATGAGCGCACAACCCTAGAGTCTGTCAGGGGTACCTTTACCTTTTATAGTATTGACAGCGGGCATCAACTTTTTTCAGGCCTGTGAGCACATTTAGAATTTTTTATCAAATGCCATGGCTGCCAGCTCCTCTGCTCACCTCTTGCCTCCCTCCCCCTGGATCAACCCACACCCCACAGAGACAGTAGAGGAGAGCACATGCACATGGATGTTGCTTTTTCAAGGGATTTGTGTAAACAGACGTATACAAGTGTACTCAAAAATATTTGTGCATATCAGAAATAATTTGGTGTCAGGTTTATTCAGGGGGCATTTCCTCCCTTGTTATTGGTGTTGTCAGGCAATAGACACACTGAAGAGCTCCGAGGCGAGTGAGGCTGAGCAGCCAGACTTTGCTCAGCCCATAATGCTGCCAAGGTGGCATGATGTAAACTCCTAACCAACATGAAAGCGTAAGGTTTGCACAACCTTGCTCTCTATCCATTCAAACAACCAGTGGAAGCCTTCCCGACATCGTACAACACCTTTACCAATCAACCACTCAGGCCCATAACACTTTTGCCTGACTTCTGATTGTTCTGTATAGGGGCACAATCTGAGGCCGACGGTGAGAATTGAAATACTACAATCTAACCTACTTTTATCATTTATCATTTTATTACATAAAATTCAGAATTAAAAACAGTTAAAACGGACTACATTCACTGGAATAGGGTGGGTCCTGCAACTCATCTCTCAGGCATCAAAGGTCGGGGGGGGGGGGGAAGCTGCATATTCAGCATTTACCAAAAGCTGTATACTGAATAAGCTGGACACAGTTCTGCGCAGAAGGAATTGCACAGTTTAGGGCCTTCCAGCAGAGAATGACCTCTCCTGGGCCACCGCTCCGCTCAAAAAACCTTCTGAGGGTGGTGGAACTTCCAAGGGGACCCTTCTACTGAGCTTGACATCCAGGCAGGTCTGTAGGGAAGGATGAGGTCTTTCAGATATTTGGGACCTAAATTGTTTAGGGTTTAGAACACTTAATGTGAGCACCTTGAATTGGGCATGGAAACAAACTGTCAACCAATGTAGGACAGTAATTGGAAGATGCATTCACCATGTTAAAATAAAACACCTGTCACTTCTGAGGTCTTTGGCACCCCAGAAATCAGCCAGCAAATCCACCCACACATGGCTTCAGCTCAGCAAATTTATATCAAGAGGGAGTATTGTGGCTGAACTGAAGGGACAGGTGAAAACACTTACTTCCCCTAGCAACTGTTCCCTGCCTTTCACCAAGAGAGTACATGTTCAGATAAGGTTATAGCCCAATTGCAGAGAGCTAAATGGCACTGACTTCCCTGTCTCTGCAGTTACAGCTAGCTACAAATCACAATAATTTTTCATGCAAACTAGGATTGGATGTACTTGTTGACAGTAGTACACAGCAAACAAAGCACCTGGCCAGCTTTGTTTAAATGGTGCTACTTGGGAGGTCACTTAGCCAAACACCACTCTGGTTGCCAACACATAGTCTGTCCTCCCATGCTGTGGTTAAGCATGTGACAAGCGTTTTCACTGCTGACCTTTGAATTGAGGATAATCCATATCCATTTACAAGCAGCATGTTCAGCAATGATGCACACGCAACAGTGTGTAGAACAAGTTACAGTCAGTTGTACAAAATGGGCTGGCATGCAAAGAAAGTATTTTGCCCTTTTTTCAAATGGCTGTTTTGGCTCAAACAAGTAGGCCTTGAGCCCTTATGCTGATGCCATGTGTATATCTAACCTTTGGCCATCATGGATTAGTTAAAGGACCAGAAGGGAGACTAGCTTTAGTTGGTGAAAGCAAACAACCTTGTTGCTTACATAAGACACTTCAGGTATGTTTACAGACTGCCCTATCCTGTGTTGCATTACAACAATTTCAGTTGTGTCGATCACACTCCCTAAAAGGGGCTCGCAATCTAGTCTGGGTTACATCTTGAGGGAAACTTAAAGTAGAACAAGCTAAAATTGATACCTTAAAAAAGTATGTCCTTTCTAAGGACATAAAAATAGCCTGCTGGATCAGTGGCTCATTCAGTCCAGCATCCTGTTCTCAGAGCGGCCAACCAGATGCCTGTAATAAACCCCAAAGCAGGACCTTAGTGCAGTAGCAGCTTGGGAGAAAACTGGTTTATTACTACTTTTAATAGGTTTGCAGGAGTGTACTGACAATCCATCTGACTCAAGAAAACAGAACATCATGTCCAGTCTAAGATTTTGTTAAAGCAATAACTGTGATAAACAACCAGTGAGATTCTTTTACTAGTTTTGGGAATCATTTCAAATCTCTGCTGAAACCATGGTCTTGGAGGGCATCTCTGAACTACTTGCTGTTTCTGTGACTCAGCTACAGCTCCTATAGCCAATGGTCAAAAAGGCAATGCAAGTTAAAACAAGTTGTGTGCGTGTGCGTGCGTTCACCCCCTTCAAAAGTCGATTATATATATAAACAGTTGAATACTGTATTCATAAAATCAATCCCACAGATACCAACAGAGCTAAAGGTCTCTGTTTAGATGCCAAAAAGACAATAACGAAAGTGCCTGAGATATAACGGAAGGGAGTTCAAAGGGTAAAGTGTCACCACACTAAAGGCCAGCTGCATCTAGAGAGTATCAGATGAGTATTCACTGCAGGTGATTGATTACCTTCTAAATCAAGTTGTACCCAGTGCGCTATAACTTTGTGCCAATGGAGAAAATTGCTTTTTCCATTTGAGATAGTTAAAGACCGTTGACAGTGGGCACGATAAAATGGGGATCTCCCCTCTCTGCTCATCTAACTGCTGATCTTCTTTTTCTTCCCCTTCAGGCTTTTGCTCAGTTTGATCCTGAGGGTGATGGCACAGTGGATGTGGAGAACATGCTGGAGGCTCTCAAGAACTCCAGCGGAGCCAATCTTCAAGGGGAGCTTAGTCACGTGATCAGGCAGCTGCAGGCTTGTTCGCTTGTCCCAGGTAAGAAATGGGAAGGAAGAAGGGAGATGGCTTCTGTGGATTTATCTTAATGCAATGGGCCACGGACTTAAGATAGCATGACAGTAACCCCCTGGGAAGGTGCCTGGTGTTAGAACAAATGGAGAAGGGCCATAGCTCATTGGTAGAGCAAGCTGAAGGTCCCAAGTTCAACCTTGCTTCTCCAGGTAGGGTTGGGAGAGACTTTACATTGGGACTTTCTTCCTAGGATGATTCTTCTGCCACTGTAAGGCAGCTTCACATTCTCCAGTTGATATATAGCTATGTGAGTTGCAGTCGAAAACATCTGGATAAGACCAGGTTGGTGAAAACTAACGCATCCAATAGCAGAAGGAATCATTGATTGGGCATCTCACTTAGCTCAAGTGTGCAATTCTATCACCATTGCTATCTTCACCCTGAACCATTCAAGGGGTTCATTTTTATTCACTTGTTTACTCAGGAGCTGTCATGTTAACTTGCTCTTGTTTTCCTGAGAGGTGCATGGTCATGACTCATGAGGCAGTGCCAAACCTTTGCAAGGTTTCTAGTAGCATTGTTTGGGCACACCCAAAATAAACAGTCAGGTTATAAAAGTACTCATAGCTAATAATAATGCTTGTTTTTCAAATATTCATAGTGCTTTCACAGTCTTGCTAAGGTAAGGCCAGTATTGACCCCATATTACAGATGGGAGATCAATGTAGATAGAGGGAGATTGACGTTTACTGAAGATCCACACTGAGTTTCTATAAGAGGCAAGATTCAGAGTAGCAACTGTCTGCTTCGTAGCTCAAGCTTCTTAGCCACTGCACCACATCAGTGTCTAAAATATATGAAAACTGTTAAATCTGGGGGGGAAACCTCAGACACCCTGCGAGAGGGCTATGAGTTCTGTGCTAGGAAAAGGTCTGAGAAGAGAACAGTATTTGCGGGTCTCTCTCTCTCTCTCTCTTTTGCATCGTGTTTCACTAGTTTGTTTGCATTATTTGAGCCCCATAGTTGAGTTGAAGCAGGTCTTAGCAGTCTTTCACAGCTAGAAGAGGTTAAGGATATGGTTCAAGGTACCAAGTAAGGAACAGATAGTCATATAGAGTGTGGCTACTCCCAGTTTCTGAACACTGGAGATTTTGGGAGATTCTGCACCCATGTTCATAAACATATCCTCCAAACCTAGGAATGGACTAGGATTTTTAAACAAGGGCCATGTCATATTTCCATAAACTTCTAGGATCAGACAACATGGAAAAATGCTGCTACCAGCTCCTACCATTCTGTAGGGATTATATCAAAACAGTTTCAGTAGTTTAGGATACAGTGATTACTTGGTTCACACACAGTTAAGCCATCAGCCTGTTCCTTGGGGCCAAATGTGCTTCCTCACTTGCTCACACTGATTGAATATGCTTCTCCTCACACTCTGGTTTTAATTATCAGTAGCTTCATATCGTTTCTTAGGGGCACTGCTGCTGCTTTTCCCCCTTCCACTAGCATAGTTTGGAAGCACCTAAGTGGTGACTTGAGTGGGGTTTATTTATGTTTAGCCCAGGGATTGGGAGCCTGTGGCCCGGTAGATGTTGTTGGACTACAATTCCCATCATGATGGGAGTTGTAGACCAACATCTGGAGGGGCAACAGATTCCTCTGTTCCTGTTCTAGCCAGTTGAGTGATAGAATTAAGTTCCACTTAATTAACTGAAGCAGGAAATGTTCTGTCTCTACCAAAATATGTATGCACTTTATTAAGTGCCTTTCCCTTTCCTTCACAAGGTTTTGTAGACATATTTTCAGAGTTGAATGAGCGCCTTAGTCTCCATGCTTTCATGATCCTGAGGTTCCTGCACCGGCACCGTATCGCCAGCACAGTCATCCCATATCCAGTCTTGGAGTACTTCAACAATATTTGCACCATGCGATCTTCTGTACTGAAGGATTCTTTAGACCGGCTCCTCCTAAAAGAAAAAGGTATTGGAAGTTGATTTGTCCTCTTCTCACCTAAAATGTTTATAATCAGGGCCAGCCACTGAGGTGCAATTATAATCTTAATTGTGTTTCCTCTCAATCTTCTGAATATCCATGTCAGGATAATTTCTTGAGCAGTTCAGTATCAATACATCCTTGGAGGCAAAGCTCCTCTGCAGGTGGAGATGCCGATCTATGCCTCTCTTATTTGAACCATGTTTAAATTCTGATTTCACTAACGTGTGGCATTTTTGTCACTATGGGTGCCATCCCCCCTTTTTTTGTCTTCTCCAGATCACCCTTCACTGTAATTGTTCTGCATAGGTTGTGATGTGGGTCATTCAGTCACTCAGAATACAAAGGCGTAGCAGAATTATCTACCTTCAGAGGAGGCTGCCTGTTGCATTGCTGTATGAGTATCTGCTCTGGGCATCCCCCCATCCAATCATTCAGGTGTGCCCAGATTAGCAATTCATGTGGGAACTCAGAGTGGGCTTTCCTAAGGGTTGGCAGCCCTATAAGTCCTTTAATAGTGAACCTGGGCAACTGAGCTCCTGACAAGAGAGGGGAAAGGACCTAAAGAAACCATAAGCCAGATCCACACAGTCTGCTTAACAGTTAAGTCTGTGGATGATACTTGTACTATTTGGATGACAGTTCAATACCTGCCCTTAAAAAAAAGAGAGAAAAGGAAACACTAGGCGAGAGAGGTTACTTTCCTTTCCTCTAGGCAAATTCTCAATGAATGTGTTGCAAGGAAATGAAAGAGAATCACTTCCTCAAAGGTCTTGTAGATTGCCATGAAGGTAGGGGGACGGAGGAAGAGGTAAGCAGAAGTCAGTATGTTGGTATGAATGTTTTTACTTAACCTGTCTTTGCCGCTTCTTCCAATCTCTTTACAGAATGTCCGAGTGATTTAAATGGAAACCAGGAATTAGACAAGCTCAAATCAGTTTCAAAGTGCTACACTCACATAGAAACTTCCTCCAATTCAGCAGACATTGACAAAATGACAAATGGAGAGACCTCCTCCTTCTGGCAGTCTGATGGGAGTGCTCGGTCACACTGGATACGGTGAGTGACAGGCTGGATTTCATTATTAACAAGGCTTCTGGGATTTCCAGAGCAGAACGTTCCTCTTCTTTGTTTGACTTGGATGGAAACTGGTTAACATAAGACTCTCAAGCTTGTAGAAGAGAGGTATTGTGGTTCTGTCCAGATGTTGGACTCCAACCACTATCCCTGGCTTGGACTTAATTCTGAGCCCAGGAACTGTGGTTTGTTTCATTTATTCATAAAATTCCTTAGCTGCCCTTCACCATAAGGTCCCCAGGATGGGTTACAGCTATATAAACATATGGTTACAAAACCAAGTAAAACCTTTTCAACCAAAACAGAAGCTTCTCTTGAACAGAAGGGGTGGGTCCCATAAAACAAAATACCTTAACTGTCAAAAGCTAGTATTGCTCCCACTAGGCTCACGGCATGGATAAACAACAGTGATGTGAAAAACTTCGTGCAGGAGGTTTTTCTACCACTATGTTTTCCTATGATTCTTCCCCGTGTTTACTTATTTATAACAATATTTCTGTACCGCTAATACATAAAGAAAATATCAAAGTGTTTCACAACAAGTACATATGAAACCATACAATAAAAAGCATATTAAAAAGTTAAAATCAGATAACTGTTGTGGAAAGATGTATTCTTAATTGCCTGCATAAGCTTGAAGGAATAAAAAAGTTTTCAGCAGGCGTTTAAAAGTTGAAACAGATGGTGTCTGCTGTATCTTTAGTGACAGAGGGTTCCACAGAGCTGGGCAGATTACACAAAAGGCTTGGTTCCTTGTTGTCTCAAATGAACCTTGCCAACTTGGGGAATGACCAGCGACCGTCATGCAGGTGATCTCAGTGACCAACCTGGGATATTAAGCTTCTGGCAGTTCCTGAAGTACTCTGGGCCGAAGTTGCTCAGGGCTTTATAAATTAAGACGTGATCCTGGCCTGATAATAGATGAACAGCCAGTGTCAACTTGCTTGGGATTTTAACTGTTGATAAAGTTTTTAATGTGCTGCTTGTTTTATTACTAGGTTTATGGTGATTTGGGTGAAGTTCTGCCCAGAAGACCTAATAGGCATGACTAATGCTGGATGCAAGCCTTTGCCTTTAATTCTCTCATGATTGCTTTTTTAATTGTAAGCTGCCTTGAGTTTGATCTTTATCATGGACTGGTGCGATATGTATGGCCCAATGGATACATAAGCCTGGCATCCTTTTATAAATGTGTTCTTTACTGAATAAGTGCAAGTCGGGCAAGCTCAGTTGGGTACCACAAAATCTTCTGTTCTCACCCCCCGCATTCCCAATGAAACCTCTTTGCCTTCCAGTTTAAAGATGAAACCGGACGTCATTCTGAGGCACCTCTCGATTGCAGTCGCAGCCAATGACCAGAGTTACATGCCGCAGCAGGTTACGGTAGCTGTTGGAAGGACGGCCAGCAATCTCCAGGAGGTCCGCGATGTTCACATTCCCAGCAATGTTACCGGATATGTGACATTGTTGGAAAACGCTAACATTAGTCAGATGTGTGAGTCAATAACAATACAATTGGTGTTTCTTCTCTCTCTCTTTTTTTAATAAAACAAAATATATTTTAACTGACTGGCTTGAAAGGTAAAAGGGGGGTGGGGAAGCAGTTCCTTAGGGATGGGAAGTTTGGGTTACCCAGGTCAGCCCAAAGTCGCTTTATCTCGTCCAGGTTAACCCAAAGCGACTCACAATCAGCCCACCAAACAGACAAGAAACCCCACACAGACACTTTTGCCTGCATCCCTAGATGTTGAGCTCTCAATATTTGTGGATGCCCATGCTCAGAGACAGTTTTCATGTGTTCTGGGGCCAAGCCTTTGAATCTGAGTGCAGGTTCTGGGGTTCAGCTAGAAAACCTATTTAAAAGAGGGTTGGAGTTCAGACTGACAGGTTTCAATGCCCCAAGTGTGCATAACTTTATAACTGTGCCACTAGAAACGTGAAGCTTAATACTTGGAAACCACTGAAATCGAATGTCTTGTGAATATCTTCAGGCAAGATTCGGGGTCTGTATTATCCTCATTTCCATGCAAACCCGTGAATGTCATGGTTGGCTTAAAATGCACAATGCACCTCAGCAAGATACCTGTGGTTCACTCGGATATTTGACAGCCCCCTGCCCCCATTATTGTGGTTTGCATGATTGCTGGTTTGTTCATTATCTAGAATTGAATCTGGAATTCTGACTCGCTCAGGGAATTGGAACGTTGTTGTTTTTAAAGCTCATTAATTTCTGTTGAAGTAGTCTTGGGGGCCTATAACCCGTACAAAAATACCAGCATTAAGAAAAATGTTGTAGTTCTCAGAGAAGTCTTGTCTGCCTGGGACTGTGGCTTACTCTGTTGCCAGAACTACCCTCATATATAATACAGATCACACACTTAAGCTAGTTGAGTGTCAATCAGTTTTAATTATTGATTTATTACATTTATATCCCGCCTTCCCCATTTTATCCTCACAACGACCCTGTGAGGTAGGCTGGGCAAAGAGACAGTGACTGGCCCAAGATCGCCCAGTGAGCTTCATACCAGGTGGCAATTTGAAGCCTTGTCTCTCCCAGGCCCTAGTCCAGCACTCAGAACCACTACACCACACTGGCTACCATTTTGGAAGGGAGATGGGGCCAGCTAAAAATAGGAGTGGCTTCTGGATATTTGTGGGACTCCCTAATACAGAAGTTTGTCTCTTTTTGTGGGGCAAGGGGAGAAATAAACAGAAAAGAAACGTGGCCTGATCCACAGACTTTTGAAGTTCCAGGATAAACAACATGTGGATAATTACATGCCAGTATTGTGCAATAGGGACACGGGTGGCACTGTGAGTTAAACCACAGAGCCTAGGACTTGCAGATCAGAAGGTTGGCGGTTCGAATCCCCACGATGGGGTAAGCTCCCGTTGCTCGGTCCCTGCTCCTGCCAACCTAGCAGTTCGAAAGCATGTCAAAGTGCAAGTAGATAAATAGGTACCGCTCCAGCGGGAAGGTAAACGGCGTTTCCGTGCGCTGCTCTGGTTCGCCAGAAGTGGCTTAGTCATGCTGGCCACATGACCCGGAAACTGTACGCCGGCTCCCTCGGCCTATAGAGCGAGATGAGCGCCGCAACCCCAGAGTCTGTCACGACTGGGCCTAATGGTCAGGGGTCCCTTTACCTTTACTATTGTGCAATAGGGCAGGGGGCGGGAAGGAAAATGGAGAGAGAAGTGCCCTAGCAACTTTGCAGTTAAGTTTCCTAGGTGAAAGCACTCCCACCAGGCATTATAAAGGGCTATTTCAGGAAGAAAGGAAACCTCGGTTCTCAAACGCAATCTGTTCCGGAAGACAGTTGGAATTCCGAAACGTTCGAAAACCAAGGCACAAAGGGTTGGCTGCAAATGCAGTTGAGAAAATTGAAAAACATGCAGTGTAGGCTGTTCGACTTTGAAAATGGAAGCATTTACTTTCAGGTTCTGAAATATTTGACAACGGAGACGTTTGAGAACCGAGGTACCACTGTAGTTAAAAGATACACTGGTTTGATGCATCAGATGAAGACTAGGGTAAAATAAAAAATACGACCTCTGTGGGGGGATTTAGACATAAGGATTCCCCACATGTCTGCCTTTTTTTTTGCTAAATAATTTTTATTTCATTTTATAATGTATATAAAACCAAGACAACAACAGATGGGGAAAAAATATCCAGATAGGCACATAGAGTAAGTACAGATACATATGGGTTAAGTAACAAAGTCAGGAAAGAAAAAATGAGAGTAAAAATTGCCTTTACGTAGAAGAAAGAATATTTGTGTTAACTGATCTTCACATATAGTTCCAGATTTGCCAAGCACGTGATGAGGGTTGTTTTGAAAATAATGCTTCTGCTGTATATGTAATAAAGGGATGCCAAATCATATTTAAAATATCTGGAAGTGCTAGACCTTGTTGAAATCTCAAATTATGCATAACTACATGTCTGTTTTGACTCTTGAGTCTGGCATATGATTCCCAGACAATAATTTAAGCCTGCCTGCCACTAGGTCCGCCTTCATTTTTGTGGCTTGGCAGTTGGCTATGCTTGGTTTACAGCTGCCCTGCTCTGGAGAACCCAAAAGAAGGTGCAGGAATTTTTCAGGCCTGGCATAGGAAGCTTGTTTGTGTCGTTCTCCACTCCCCAGTAAATAAACTTGGTTGGGCAGCAACATCCTCCATGATGAGCCTTCTTCCCCTCACTTCATATTTTCCTTTAATAGCTTGTAGAATCTACCAATTACCTAAACCTAGGAGTTTATTGATTCATGGTATTGTACTCTGAATAAGCAGTCATGTTCTAGGCTGCAGGAGAGAATGCTTTTGGAATATAACTCAAAGGGGTTGAGGTGGTAATGTACAGCGAAGGATGTTCCGCTACACCCGGCATAGGCAAACTCGGCCCTCCAGATGTTTTGGGACTACAATTCCCACCATCTCTGACCACTGGTGCTATTAGCTAGGGATCATGGGAGTTGTAGTCCAAAAACATCTGGAGAGCCAAGTTTGTCCATGCCTGCTATACACGTATATCATGTTTTGTGATGTTAGCTGTTCTTAAACGTTATTGGACAATCAGCAGCTTCCCTTTGAGCTGTAGAACTTCATTAAAAACAAAAAACAAAATTGGCCCATGGCTGGAAGAAATTATTTGTTTGATGCTTTTGACAGATGTACAGATAAATATCAAGCGCTGCCTTAGTGATGGGTGCGACACCAGAATCCACGGGCTCAGGGCTATCGGCTACCAAAGAGTGAAGAAGGGAGGTGTCTCGGTCTGCGATGCTTCGGCGATCTGGTACTGGTCCCTTTTGACCTCTCTGATCACAGCGTCCATGGACACCAACCCTGCGATTGTTCATGCCATCCTGCAAAATACTCAGTGAGTAGTTCTCCTTTTTCTACTTAGCTACATTACCCTCTGCATTTTTCCTTCTTATGAGTGTACACCAGTGCTTATATCTGGCCAGGGTGGGTTACTAAAATTTTAAAATTCAGAATTAAAAACAGCTAAACTACTCCTCCATTTTGTTGTATTTTTGTTTGTAAGAGTCTCTTATGCACGGTTTTAGAAACAGCAGCTTAAAAGTTGTTGTAAAACTAGGTACATATCCTCCCTGCCCCCACTCCCATCTAGAGGAAGCCTTCTAGATTTTCCACAGGCAGAGCTCTGACAAGGGCAGGACTATTAAGGTATAGTCATTGATTTTATTTATATGTTTAGAATTCTGCATTGCTTTTCCTCTATCCAAGAGCCCATAACAACAGTGGGCCATTGCTTTAAAAATGTAACATGTAACTGAACCACATAGAGGTGTAGCTGGGCTGCTCACGTTGGCATCTTGTTCTCCGTGATGTGCTGTGTTGCAACCTTGTCCACACTGGACTTCCAGCAGCGCTTCCTTCTTGCCATTGTTTCTGATGGGAAGCTCTCTTCCTTTTTCTTCCTCCAGGAAGGCCCTGCAGCATATGCCGCCGCTTTCTTTGTCACCAGGCTCCATAGACTTCTCAAGCTTCCTATCTCCCAACGTTTTGGAAGAAGTGGACAGTTTTCTTCTGGGAATTACCAGGTACAGTCATAATAGAGCATTGCAGTGGTACCTCTGGTTAAGAACTTAATTCTTTCTGGAGGTCCGTTCTTAACCTGAAACTGTTCTTAACCTGAGGTACCACTTTAGCTAATGGGGCCTCCCACTGCCGCTGCGCAATTTCTGTTCTCATCCTGAAGCGAAGTTCTTAACCCAAGGTACTATTTCTGGGTTAACGGAGTCTGTAACCTGAAGCGTCTGTAACCTGAAGTGTCTGTGACCCGAGGTACCACTGTAATACAGCAAATAAGTGTTACACCATGAGCAAATATCCATTCTTCAGCCTCATTCCTTCTGGAAGCTTGCATGCTAGTGGTGGGTTGGGTTAGAGGCAAAAGTGGGCGGGCAACCCATGCAAATTTCACTTGTCTACATGGCAGCACCTTGTCACGTATGGCTGCCAAGCTCATGCTTCAACAGAAATCAAGTCCGTGTTAAATCCCTAGACTAGAGCATGGGTGAGGAACTTTGGCCAGCCTGAGGGCCGCATTGCCTTCTGGGGGCCACATCCCTGTCGTGGGCAGGACTAGAGGCAAAAGAGTGCAAAGCAACAAATGTAAATTTTACTTCTGTAGGCTGGTTTCTACACACATTGGCACACCCCTCTCTGTCCTTCATCCTTGCAAGCAAGAGGCATCGTCACAATTCAAACGCACTTTCTAGCCAGGCAAAATCACTGGTCGGGTGGGAGATGCAGTGGGCATGACCTGGAGAGAGTCCCAAGGGCCAGATGGAGAGGCTTGAAGGGCCACATTAACCTCCATGGCCTAGTTTCCCCCACCGTGTTGTGACACAATGGAAACCACAGCTTTTTAGTTCAGACAAGAAAGCACAGGACTAAGGGGAAATGTTTTAGAAGCTGATACAATTCTGAGTAGCCTGGGAATTTTTCCTCCAGTCTCCTTATGTAGCTTGTTCTTCCTCCATATCCTGCATTACAGCATGTCGTGGTGGTTAGAAAACAATAGTCCAAGGCTACTTGTCTAATCCCTGTTTTCCGTCCATTTGTTCCCAGTCGTTGTGCCTCCCCAGAAGTAGAGCTTACCCTGCTGGCATTTTCCCTGGCCAGGGGCAGCATTGGCAAAGTGCTGAGTTCGCTTTGCACGATCGCCGACCACCTGGAAACGCCTTACAAGGCTGCCTCACTCATCGTCTCCATGGCCACGGTCAGGCAAAACTTGCTGTACAAATACGGTAAATAATGGCTGGGGAATGTTCATATAGTTGTTTCTAAACCTATGCATGGCATTGAAAAAGTGGTTACAGAAAAGTTATAAACTCAAGACAGGTAAAAGAAGGTACTTCTTCACACAGCACATAGCTAAACTCAGGAACTCACTCCCACAAGAGGCGGGGATGGCCACTAACTTGGATGACTTTCAAAGAGAATTGGACAAATTCATGAAGAATAAGGCTGTCTATAACGACTAGCCATGTCTGCTATTTTCCGCCTCATATGTTGGAGGCAGTAATGCTTCTGAATATTGACTGCTGGAAGCCCCAGGATGGGAGAGGGCTCTTATGTTCTGGTCCAGCTTGTAGGTTTCCTATATGTAGCTATTTTGCCACTGTGAGAACAGGATGTTGGACCATTGACCTGATCCAGCAGACCCTTCTTAGGTTCTTAGGCTTGGGTAGACACAGGTTTGGTAACTGTTTCAGACTTCTAGCAGTTGTCCTCTGCTTTTCTTTGAAGCTAAGAAAACAAGAAACTGGGAATGTTTGCATCCTTGAACTGAAACACGGTGAAGATTTTGTGTTTTAAAAGAATCACCTTTGTGGGGTTATTGGTGCATTCCTTCTTTAAACTGTTTATTCACAGAGGAGCACTATGTTTCCTAATCCCATCCTCAAATTGAAAAGTATAGGGGATGCCGTGAGTGGGGTGCTTCTCTGTGTTGTTGACAGACTTGTCTATTGCCGTCTCCAGGAACTCCCCTGAGGCTGACGCTGCAGGCCTGTGATGTCAAAGGAAAGGAAGACAAATCAGGTCCTGAAAATCTCCTTATAGAGCCATGGACAGGGGATGGTAAGGGCTCGCGTTGATTCCAATCACGTATTTCTTACATTTTATCTTGCTTTTTGTATCTTCCCTTTCTTCCTCAAATGGAGGTATGGAAGGTAGCTTACATAAGAAACTAGGCAGTAACAATTTAAAACAAACTAACTTATGCATAGCAGGAGATAACACATAGTATAAAGCAGCCTGGCAGCAGGGAATTGGGCAGAAAAGCAGATGCACAGCAGCTGAAGGGGGAGCAGGGCAACATGTTTTACACTCTAGGTGCAAGAATATAGAAAACTCTTATAGCAAGTCATTTGCCAGTTGAATTCCTGATGGCGACGGGATTTACAACAGGGCGTCTCGTGAGAACAGACAGGCTTGTGGTAGGACCTGTTCCTTTTTAGGCATCCCACGCCATTTGGGACATTAATTGAGCCTGGAAATAAGCTGGAGGTCATTGCAGCAAGTAGAAAAGAGAAATCACCTGCTGCAAATCCCTGGGCCCAGTAAGCAGTCTCACCATGGAGTTCTGAATGAGTGGAAGTAATCCAGTCTCAGTGTAATTGGGGCATGTGTAATCATGACCAGATGTGGCCCCTCCTGAAGTGTGTCCAACTGACACACTGGGCAAAGGCATAGCTGCTACCTGGGCATTGAGGGATAAAACTGGGTCCGGGAGCTCACTTAAAATCCTCAGTTGGATAGTGAAGCAGGTACATGCAGGTTCTGTGAGCCTGTTTGAAAACCTTCATCCAGCGTGTGACATGATGAATTGGTAGAGACAGGTATCAACGGGGATAGCCACCTCTACTTCTGGTAGGGGGATGGTTGGGCAGAAAGATGCTTCCAGACACATGCCTTGTTGTAACCAAACAGTGCATCAGTGTTAGGCCTCCTCCCCTGGTTGGCCCAATCCAGAGCCCAAACATGCATCGTCCTGAACATTCTCGATAAATTTCAAGTCTTCTTGTTTTGTTCAAAGGTTTCCTTACTGAGACTGGAAAGAGGCAGGCCAGTGTCATTCTTTCGACCGGAACTGAATCAGCCTTTCAGGTCACACAAATCAGAATAAAGGTAAGGGTTCTTCTGTTCAGCTTTCCGGGTATGAATGAAATTGCTTTCTCTGTACATGGTTAGAGCTTCATTATTCTCCTAGGTGCGGAGGGGAGCGATTGGGGCCCGGTGTGGGTTGGTGTTTGCTTACAACTCCGCTTCAGAGAAATTTCACGCAGAGGAGCACTTCAAGAGATTCGAGAGCTATGACAGATGGAAGCTAGAAGATTTCCGACACTTCTTAAAAGCCAGGTAAATGCAACCTCTCAGCTGCCACCTGATTCTTTTAACTGACAGTGCAGATGGTTGAACCTGAATTTTTCTGTGTATGCTCCGATATTGGTCTATTACCCTACCTTGAAACTCAAACCACAGCAGCTTTCTTTGGCTTGATAATGCTCAGGATCCGAACCCACAACCCCAGTGGCCTGTTTCTTTTTAAATTCTTTTTATAAATTTTCCAAATTATTACAAATTAATTTAATACAATTTTGTTACACACACACACAGTGGTACCTCGGTTTCCGAATGTCTCTGTTGATGAACGTTTCGGAACTCAATTGCCAAAAACCAAGAAGCAGATGCTTCCGTTTTCAAATGCGCCTTGGAAGTTGAACTTCTGAGCTGGCTTCCTGTTTGAGTTTTCTGTGTGTTTTGAGGCTTTCGTATTGAGTCTTCAGTTTTTGAACGTTTCGGAAGTTGAACGGTCTTCTGGAATGGATGACATTTGAAAACCAAGGTACCACTGTATATATGTATGTAAAAAAATCAAATTAAACACTTGTAGGAGCAGCACTCCACGAGACGAACTGGGAGAGGAAGATCCCGTTGGCTGGTTTGAAATGGAAGAGGAATGGGATGAAATGGAAGTCAAAATGCAGCAGTGCAGAATTTCCAAGGTAAAACTTCAGCCCAGTTCCTCCAGCCATGACCATATAGCGGGGGGGGGACCTTTTCCAGCCCTCGCAGGCCGCACTCCCTCATGGCTAGTCTTCTGGTGGGCAGGGGGTGGAGTGAGCCCATGCCGGTATGTCTGACTCTGCATAATGGCAGCTGTCTACATTCATCTTGCAGTCCCAACTTTTGTATCTTTTGACTTCGGACACAAGGTGCATAGTCGCCAGGGCTGGCACTTTTAATTAAAAAAATAAAATGATTTGGTCATGATGTCCCTTCCCTGTTTTCAGTATCTGATGGTGAAGTTCTTGTGCACAAGGCAAGACAAAGCCGAGAGGCTCGGGGTGCAAGGCTTGAGCGTCTTCGGCTACCTTCGGTCCATGTCTTCAGAGCCCAACAGAAGCAAGTGCTGCCTGGAGTGTGGCAAGCCCAGCGGTGACATCGTTTGTGGGATGACACTCCTGCTGAAGACTCTGTGCTTCATCCAGCAGCTTGCACAGGATTTGGTAGGTTTTACGCTGCCTGCTGCTGCCTCTTCTCTCCATAGGCTGGACCGTATTCTAAAGGCTAAATTAGGTTATTCTCTAGGGCAGGCGTGGCCAGCAGTGCTCATATAGATGTCTGCCATGATGCCTGCAAGCAGTCTCCTTCCCCCACCAGATATGTGAAAAGCGAGGAAAATACGGAGAACATTTGGGAATCTCCTCTTGAAGCATTTCCAATTCCCACCCCCCAGGCCTTCAAATTTCTATTCCCTCCCTCTGAAATTAGGCTTGAGAGAAGTGTTCTCTCATAGTCAGTAGAATAGGCGTGTGTCTACACATGCTGACCACAGCAGCCTCTCCAAGTTGCACTTGTGCTTGTTTGCCTCCCAAAATTGGGGATCTTTAGGGCATCAGAAAGATACCTGATGCAAACTGAAAATTATCCTGCTTTTTCCCCCCAAGAAAGCTAATCCAGTGCAGATTTTTTTGGGAGGAAATTCACATTGTTGTTCCTTATCCTCCATGAATTTATTTCTTTTTCCAGCTTTAAAAAATATAATTATTTTATTTCTAGGTTCAGAAGAAGGCAAGCGGTCTGCGCTACAGGTCATACCTTGACTTTGCGGGCCTGGATTTAAAGCTTTTCTGGAATTTCTATAGTAAACTTCACCAAAAGTAAGTCCCTCTCCCATCATTTACAACTAGTTGAAACTAAATGAAGCTGGCTGAATGCTGAGTCTTTGGTGCTGTGGCGTGTATTGGTGATGGGCAGAAGTTTCGGTCATTGCCTGCCTGTGTGGCTTGTACAAACAAACTCATTATTCCAGGCCCTGGTGCTTAGCATTAGGTCTCACCAGATGCATCCATATAGACACTAGCAGGCATATTGCTAGTTATGGTGAAGGAACAGAGTACGGTGGTGCCCCGCAAGATGAATGCCTCGCAAGACGAAAAACTCACTAGACGAAAGAGTTTTCCGTTTTTTGAGTCGTTCCGCAAGACGAATTTCCCTATGGGCTTGCTTCGCAAGACGAAACGTCTTGCGAGTTCTGGCGAGTTTGTTTCCTTTTTCTTAAAGCCGCTAAGCCGTTAATAGCCGCTAAGCCGCTAAGCCGCTAATAGCCGTGCTTTGCAAGACAAAAAAACCGCAAGACGAAGAGACTCGCGGAACGGATTAATTTCGTCTTGCGAGGCACCACTGTAATAGAGAGTAATAAGTTACCAACAGACTCAATGCTGCTGTTAAATAGAAGCCTTGTATGTACTGTAGTTTACACTGTACACATGTACTGATATGAGTCTTATGGAAACTGGCCAGTTCTGGGCACCGCAGCTGGAGTGTGTGCAGAGGAAGGAAGACCAAGATGATAAAGGGTCTGAAAATTGGGCCTTATGTGGAACAGTTGAGGGAGTTGTTTAGCCTGGAGAATTGGGGACTTGAAAGATGATGTGAGAGCCATCTTTAAATACCTGAGAGGTTTTCACATGGAAGATGGAGCAAGCTTGTTTTCTCCTGCTCCAGAGGGGAAGACCTGAACCAATGGGTTCAAATGACAAGGAAGGGGATTCCAACTAAACATTTGGAGGAACTTTCGTAGAATCGTAGAATTGTGGAGCTGGAAGGAACTTCCTTGACAGTAAGAGCTGCTTGACAGAAAGTGGCACACTCTCTGTCGTTGGAGGTTTTTAAATAAATAAATATAAAAAAATAAACCTCCCCGGCTGAGTCTGGGCTCAGGGCAGGTAACATCAAATATACAGTAAAGGTGAAGGGACCCCTGACCATTAGGTCCAGTCGTGGCCAACTCTGGGGTTGCAGTGCTCCTCTCGCTTTATTGGCCGAGGGAGCCAGCATACAGCTTCTGGGTCATGTGGCCAGCATGACTAAGCCGCTTCTGGCGAACCAGAGCAGCACACGGAAACACCGTTTATCTTCCTGCCGGAGTGGTACCTATTTATCTACTTGCACTTTGATGTGCTTTTGAACTGCTAGGTTGGCAGGAGCTGGGACCGAGCAACGGGAGCTCACCCCGTCACGGGGATTTGAACCGCCAACCTTCTGATCGGCAAGTCCTAGGCTCTGTGGTTTAACCCACAGCACCACCCGCGTCCCTTAACATCAAATATATAGCATTGGTATAAAATCAAACAATAATTAAATTACCTCCTAAAAACAAGTCAGGCTCAAGCAGAGTTTGGATGGCCACCTGTAAGGGATTCTTTAGCTGTGGCTCCTGCATAGCAGAGGTTTGGATTAGATGGCCCTTGGGGTCCCATCCAACTTTGCAGTTCTAGGATTCTATGTATTGAGTGCAGGTGGGGAGCCTTTTGGTAGTCTTCTTTCATCAAAGGATTTAGTGATAACACCTTCTGGAGGCATTTGACTCTCTTAGCTATGCAATATGGAGGCATTTGTTCAGCTTTAAACATCTTGATGGACTCTTGGGAGAAGCTGTCCACAGTGAGAGTCCAAGCCGTGACTTTGCTGTCTGGGGGCTGATGGGAGTCGTTCAAAACATCTGAGACACGTCCACCCCAGCCTGGTTGGTGAAGTTTAGCGTAGAGCTTTCTTCTGCAATCATACCTCGGATTACAGCCACTTCAGGTTACTTTTTTTCGGGCGGGTTGCGGACCGCCGAAACCCGGAAGTACCGGAACGGGTTACCTCCTGGTTTCGGCAGTCGTGCATGCACAGAAGCGCTAAATCGCATTTTGCTCATGCGTAGAAGCGCTGAATCGCAACTCGCGCGTGCGCAGATGCAGGTTGCGAATGCTGTGGGTTGTGAACGTGCATCCTGCACGGATCACGTTCGCAACCCGAGCGTCTACTGTACCTTTCTTGCTCCTGCATTGAAACCCACTTGTAGGATGGGACGAGAATCACATTATTTTGCCTGCCTCCAATTGGTCGTTCATGACAGTGTTGCACACGGGGTTATGAATGGATTTTTACTACATCAGGGTTGTGACCTTTCCTCCCACCCTAGCTCAAGAGAAGAGTGCATTGATGCCCAAGCCATGTTGCTGCGGCTTCTCCAGAGCTGCTTTTCAGTGCTCACATCGGATAACAAAGCTGCAAAGACTCAGGAAGCTGCTCAGAGCAAAACGTCTGACAGCGCAGAAGCAGCAGAAGAACTCTACAAGCATCTGTGTGAAGGTGATCTCCTCACTTCAGCCCGCCACCCCGTTGCCTCAAAACCCATCTTTTCCATTAATAAAGGGGGGGGGGTTAGCATAGCCTGGTGGTAGAGCCCAGCCACTGTAAAGTGCTGTGTGGCATTGGAATTTCATGCAAAAGCTTAGGAATGCAGGTAAGGAAATGAGATTCAGGTTGCTCTTAGTTAAGCAGAAATCTCTCTTTGCATTTTTTTACGAGCAGTTGTAGACAGCGACAGCGAGTCCCCATCACTGAAGACCTTGAAGCAGGAAGTGAATAACACATTGCTGAACGGAGCAGCCGTCTTTTTCCCCCACAGACACACCCGGCGGGAGCAGCTTTTTGCAATGTTGGTATGTTGTGGACATAGAAATCTTAGTACAGACCCTTAACTTTTGCTTCCTCTCTGCAAAACCCCTGTGGGCCACCTCTAGCAAGCTGACTACATTTTTATCCTCTCCACCCTGCAAGGAACTTAGTACATCACCTCCCCATTACTTTATATCCACACAACAATCTTGTGAGGTAGGCTAGGCCCAGAGTGCAGCACCGCCATTCAGAGCTCTGTCACCTGCATAATCTGCTAAGAAGTAAGTCCTGCAGGGTTTAGTGGCACTTGTTTCAGTGTTGTGCATATAGAAATGTAGCCTTGGAGAGCATCATAGTTGGTTAGCATTTGAACTCAGATCTTCTCAGTTTACGTTGAACTCTCCGATCACTTTCTGATACAGGCTATCAAAATGTCATGCTGCCACAAACCTTGCCCCACCCTTAACATATTTTACATGAGGGGGAAATGTGTGAGCTTTTTTTTTTAAAATCAAGCTTTTTCTTTTTTCCAGAAAAACATAACAGAGCAGGAACACAAGGCATCTGTCCATCTTACTTTCAAATCCCTCTGTGCATATTTCAGGTAAGCAACTTTGGCTGCAATCTGATACGCGCTTACCTGGGAGTAAGTCCCACTCAGGTCTTTAGAATCAATCAACGCTTCAGAGATTATTGTAAAGTAACAGACAAAAAACCCCTTAGAATTGAGACCAAATGGCATGGGATAAATTGAGAATTTTGCCAGTACAGTGGTACCTTGGTTCCCGAATGGCTCAGTGGTCGAACAAATCGGATCCCGAACACTGCAAACCCAGAAGTAAGTGTTTCAGTATGCGAACGTTTTCCGGAAGCTGAACGTCCAACGCGGCTTCCACTTGAGTGCAGGAAGCTCCTACAGCCAATCGGAAGCCGTGCTTTGGTTTTTGAACAGTTTCAGCAGTCGGAACGGGCTCCCGGAACGGATTAAGTTCGAGAACCAAGGTACCACTGTACTCGTATTAGCCAACAGAGTTATTTGATTTTAAGAAAACCAGCTTAATAGTTGCAGGATAGGGAAAAAAGAGACTGGGTGATATCCAGTATCATACTCAGAGGAGACTCACTGAAATCAGTGGTTAAGTAACTGAAGTGAATTTACTTATTTTAGTACATCAACTCTGAATACCCCCGCCCCCAATAGTTGTATTTTATTTTGAAATTTCAAATTCCACTGGTTAGAGTGTCAGATTATACGACCTGAGAGACCCAGGTCCAAGTCCCCCACCTGGCCATGAAGCTCTCTGGGTGTGACCTTGGAGGACATTCCCTGCCTCTCAGCCTAGCCTACCTCACAGGGTTGTTGTTGGGATTAAATGAGTGGAAGAACCATGTACACCCCCTTGAGCTTCTTTTAAAAAAGGTGGGGAACAAGTTTAACAAATGAATAATCAAACAATATAAGCAGTGTCCATTTTAAAGATCTGTTTCCTTGAGTAGTTTCTGGAGAAACAAGTTAGTTTTACTAATACTGCAATGTTCCAGTTTTCTTTTTAAAGAAGGAGAGTGGAAGCAGTTAACTTAAGGGGCACTAATTGCGGTGGATCTGTAGTGAGGAGAAGTTAGAAGGGTACGACCCCGATATCTGCAACCATAAGGAGTGGGGGGTAGGGAGATGACATTTGCTCTGCTTGAAGGTTGGGATATTGAAGCGGATGGATTCTGCAGTCTGGAATGGTTGCGTCTGGGGTGCCTTTAAGACCCATGCTGTGAAAATGTCTGTTCTTTGACAGTGACCAGGATCCAGGTGGGCTCCTCTTGTTGCCAGACAAAGGACCTTCTGCAGATGTTGATGTGGATAAAGTGCTTGCGGTGACAGAAACGCTCCTGGCAGTGACATCGAGAGAGGTAGTGCTTCTGGTTGGTCTTTGGGGTAGTTCTTGCATGTGGAACGGCTAAACTTTTATTTATCAGCAAAGTCCTCAGGACTGGATAAAGTACAGCCAAGGGTCGTAGCTGAGCGGTAGAGCACCTGCCTTGCATGCAGAACATCCCTGATTCATTCCCCAGCATCTCCAGGCAGAGTTGGGAATCTCCCTTGCTAGTCATTCTTGACAGTACAGTGGTACCTCAGGTTACATACGCTTCAGATTACAGACTCTTCTAACCCAGAAATAATGCTTCAGGTTAAGAACTTTGCTTCAGGATAAGAACAGAAATCGTTCTCCAGCAGCGCGGCAGCAGCAGGAGGCCCCATTAGCTAAAGTGGTGCTTCAGGTTAAGGACAGTTTCAGGTTAAGAACGGACCTCCGGAACGAATTAAGTACTTAACCCGAGGTACCACTGTACTGAGTGAGATGGATCAATTTAGTATTGAATTGAAATACTTTATTGTCACTTGTACAACTTGTATACAGTGAGATTACATGAGCACCCCCCACTCAGCTCTCCTAGTCTTAATTCCCCTCGTTTACTGACGCACACCCACCAAACCCGAAAGTCAGTTGCCCTGTTGTTATCTTTTCATTCAGCAGCCTAACAGCCCATGAATAGAAGCTGTTCTTTACCCTGTTGGTGCGACTAATCATGCTTCTATATCTTCTGTCTGAGGGCAGGAGATAAAGAAAGTGCCGGCCAGGGTGTGAATCATCCCTGAGAATTTTCCTCACTCTCCTGAGGCAACGTTCTTCCGCTATTTCATCTATTTACTATTTCATCTATTCATCTATTTCAACTATTTACCCAAGTTATTGTTTGGGATGCGGGTGGCGCTGTGGGTTAAACCTCAGTGCCTAGGACTTGCCGATCGCATGGTCGGCAGTTCGAATCCCCGCGGCGGGGTGAGCTCCCGCCGTTCGGTCCCAGCTCCTGCCCACCTAGCAGTTCGAAAGCACCCTTAAGTGCAAGTAGATAAATAGGTACCGCTTTATAGCGGGAAGGTAAACGGCGTTCCGTGTGCTGCTCTGGTGCCAGTTCGCCAGAGCAGCTTCGTCATGCTGGCCACGTGACCCGGAAGTGTCTGCGGACAGCGCTGGCTCCCGGCCTCTAGAGTGAGATGAGTGCACAACCCTAGAGTCTGTCAAGACTGGCCCGTACTGTCAGGGGTACCTTTACCTTTTTACCCAAGTTATTGGGTAACTTCTTAAGTCTGTGAATATGTGGCTTTGCATAAGCTGCACCTTGACACTTACAGCCTAAACAGCTGTTAATGTTTTATTAAGATCATTCCTCACGTGTTAATTTATTTTTTTTCTTATCTGCGCCCCCACCCCGGCCATATCCAGTGTCTTCCTTTTGGTTTCTACCTATTATGGCAATACACCACTGCTGTTCTTTTTCTTTATAGACTGCCTTTCCCCAGCCATAACAGCTACCAGGGCAGTTTGCTGACCACCCCTCGCCCCCAGTTTACAACAGTTTGGGCAAGCCCAAGTCTTAAAAGAAAAGAAATCCAAAAACCAACAGGCAAACACCTAAGCAAATAATAGAAAAGCAGGGTAATTAAAACAGTGTTTTAGAGAAGTGGGAAACCTTGGACCCGGGGACCAAAATGCACCCTTCTCCCTGTCCCTGGCCACCAAGCCTCCTTATCTAGCCTTTGGGACACTTCCCAAGGTCCACCACCTGCCTTGAGTGTTTGTGCCTGGCTGAAATATGTCTTTGAACTCTGAGAATGCCTCTTGTTTGCCTGGTTGGAGGATAGAGAGCATTGAGGACAGAGACTTCTGTGTGTGTGGAAACCAGCCTACTGTGCAAAGGTAAAAATGGTGTGGGTTGCTCTTACCCACCACTGACATATGCCCCCCCCAAAGGCTGCCCAGTCTGCAAAAGCTTAACCACCCTATTTTAAGTCGCTCAAGGCCAGCATTTCTGACAACGTGAAACTTTTTGCATTCCGCAGTGCGAAATGTTGATGATGGGCGTTGCCCAGCAAGACACGGGTCCTGTGCTCTCGTCCTTATTCTGGTCTGTCCAGGGCAGCCTCCTTTCCTGGTGCTACTTGCAACTTAAGGGCAGTGATCCAGCACCCAAGAGCCTTGCCGTAGAAATCCTTACAAAATGTAAGTATCCGACCAGGAGCGGCCTCTTAACTTACCTTTTCTGTAAAAAATCCCAAATGTGCTGACGGGAATTGTACTTCAAAACACCCGGAGAGCAACACGCTGGGGAAGGATACTCCGCATCGTTTAGTAAGCCATCTTTTGCTCTTTCCTGTCTAGATGTGCAGCAGTTCCTGCGGAGCGTCAGGACAATTTTAGAGTCGCTCCTGTCCCAACACAGTGGGAGAACAATAGTGGAAAAACTGAGCAACTCGGTCTTTTCCATGGTAGCCCGCCAGCTGGTGAGTGAACTTATGGGATGCTTACGACAGCTGTGGGTGGGTTTTCTTGATATATTTTAAAAAACAACCTGTAATTCTAACAGGGCACCTTTTGTCCTTCCCCAGATGACCTTCCTGCAGGACTTCTGCACTTTAGACATTCCTCATCGTACCCTCCTGCAGGATGTCAGCATTTTGACAAAGCTACTGAATGACCTGTCTGCAGAGCCAGGAGATGGCCCAAATAAGGTAGCCTCGGGAAAGGTGCTGATGCTTTCAGTGCACAATATGAACTCTGCTGTTAACCACGTCAAGTGCATTTTCTGTGTAAAGTAGGATAAGAATGAAATGAAAATTAACTCTTCCTCTGTTAAGTCATGCGAAAGATGGGTGTTGAGAAAGGGGCCCAAGTTTGAGTAATGCAAACACTTCTGTAGAGTCCTGGCGCATGCAGATACCATGCCTAGAAATATCTATCTAGGTAGGCCTTCCTAGTGCTACCAAGGGATCCAGTCGTTCAGTGTTTTTCTTTTCTTTTCTTAATTGACATTATTAACAGCCCCAAACTGCAGTAGGTAGAGTATTAGATCATGCCATATACAAAGCAAACAAGCAGTGAACAATGAGAAAGGGAAGTGGTAACACACCAGTACAAACCAAGACATCCATATTTCCCAAGCCGGCGTGGGTAGTGAATCTTGAGAAATAAAACCCCATGAGATGGCATAGTAATATTTTGGATCCTCCTTCCCCCAGGAAACTCTTCAGTTTATGTGCGTAATTTTCCATAGTTTCTTACACCCCACAGGCAAATGCAGATTATTTTCAGTGTTCTTCCTTTCTAGGCTATTGAAATCCTAGCCAACATCCATGTCAAAAATGCTTTAGAGAGACCAGTTTTCATGTTGTCTGTTTACCTCTGGATTAAGCTTCCAGATGTGCACCAGACACCTGGTTATTTCAGGACTTCCTTTTCCTGGATTGGCATCTGGGGAGCCGAATCACCCTTGGCTCCTTTTATAATGGTTTATTATTATTATTATTATTATTATTATTATTATTATTGTCATTATTATTATTTGTGCCAGGTGGGCATGGAGAGTTGGCAGCAGGAGCAGCCGGTGGTGCTGCGGACATGGGCTGCAGAATCCCCACATAACTACGAAAACAACTGCCACGACGTCACCGTCTTCCTTTGTCCGGGGGCAACTTACTTCGAGGTGGAGTTTGACGAAAGATGTGAAACAGAGCGGAGGTAACCTTGCAGCAGTTTTCATCTTGGGTGTGACTTCCATGTTAGCACCTCTCTTTTGGCCCCATTGCTGAAGGCTCACTCATACATCTGTTAGCCCAGCCCCTTGCATTCCTGGGAAGGTCTAGCTAGGCAGGGGCACTCCCTCAATGCCACACCTTCAGGATTATTCTGCACGTCTCTTCAGTGCCTAGCTGTGCATCTGAGCTGTCCCAGTTAGGCCCCCAAAGCTTGCCAGAACTCACCAGTTAGAGAAATTCTGTTCTTTTAATGCTGCACAAACACATCTTCATAGGTACGATTACCTGGAATTTACTGACGCCAAAGGTGGAAAAACTCGCTACGATACCAAAGTTGGCACAGACAAGTGGCCCAAGGTGAGTGGCTTCCAAATACTGAGAGCGAGCAAGACTTCTGTGTCACGCAAAAACCCACCGCGGTGGCACCACATTCAGTTGTTCCTGGCTTTTCTTGCAACTGCACTGGGAGGTTCTTTATGGAGAACCACATACCTTGTTATTTAAGAGAGATGAAGAACATTGCCTTTTGGGGACAGCATTAAATCTTGCTTCACAACATGCTCCTAAAGCAGGGGTGGCCAATGTGTGACCCAACTAGATCAGCAATTGCCAAATTCTTCTTTTTTTGTCAACCCCGACTTGGTTCCATAAACTCATCCCTTGTGCAACCCACCCCCACATCGGTTTGCATGATAATAACACAATCAAATTCAACAGAGTAACAAGTACTTGCACATTTATTCAAACTATTTAGTTTAATTAAGTCAACAAAATGGATGAACTTGAGCCAGAGAAACTAGCTTTTCAAAGACTGATAGCTATTTGCACCTGCACCACCATCCTGCCACCTTCTTGCCTCTTAGCGCGCCCCCCCCGGCAATCCCCCCCCTTGGCTAGGATACCACCACTGCTCTAAATGTTGCTGGACTGCAACTCCCATCAGCTCCCGCCAGCATTGTCAGTGAATGATAGGAATTGTAGTCCTCCAATGTCAGGAGAGCCACAAGTTGGTCATCCCTGTACTGAAGACTTGTATGAACTCACAATTGCAAGAAAGTATTTCCTATCGCTTGAAGGGGGTTAAAGCCTTCATTCCAGCTGGGCAGTGTCATTTTCCTGACAGGCAGGGCTACACAGGTTTCTGAACTGAAGTTTCACTATCCGATGGTATTTGCTTTATCCATTCCTTAGAATCAAACACACTGCCAGGCTTTTTGCAAAACTCTTGAAATAGGAAGTTTTGCATTGCATCCTTCCGTCAAAACTTCCCAAGGTTTCTTTCACCTAATAAAAAGACGCTGCATTTCATTTGGCTGGGGAGGTGTGTTGTGTGTGGGTGTGTGTAAGAGCTGCGAGCACGATGGAGGAATGTTGGGTTATCATTCATAGCCCTGCTGTGACTTCCTGTCATGTGACACTTGGCAAAAACCTCACCTGTTTTGTTGCTCTGTAGAAAGTGACCTTTAAGGCTGGCCCTCGGCTGCAGTTTCTCTTTCACTCCGACAGCAGTAATAACGAGTGGGGCTACAAATTCTCCGTCACTGCATATGGCTTGCCAGATGTGGAAGTTTCGTGGGGCCTGGACCTGCATCTTCTTGTGGCCAGGCTCATGGGGCGCCTGGCTTCTCAGAGCATGGTGCTGAAATCCCAACGAGGTGCGTTGAGTTCAAGCATTACTTGAAATGTGTTCAGGGTGTGGAGCTGTGGCGAGGATCCTTTATGAGTTGCAAGGAAGGGGAAGGAGGGGTTTGTTTTGCTGTAAACTGAGTCAACATAGTTGTCTTCAGTCTCCAATGCTTTCCTGGTGATTTATTTGTTCATTAGGTTTACGTACGTACCATTCTTAACTTCAAAAAGCTCAGAGCAATTCACAGTTGTTCTTCCTCTAGCCACCGCACTGAGTAGCATGTGAAACTTTGATATTGGAACCCCAGGTTTAGATGACTTTTGACTGAATCGCTTTAGCCAATTTTACTTTCCTTCGTCTGGCTACCTGCACAGTAAAATAAATAAGTGTGTACCCTGTTTCTCCCCTTCCCCTAATAATTGAAGGTGACATTTAAAAACGTGTGATCTAAAACAACCAAAAGCAAGAACATTATATGCATATTTTGAGCCCTAGAAAGAGTGCCTACATCATATTGTAAAATCCACAAGGCTGGCTTCTGTATTTTATTTCCTTTTCACTTTCCATTGATTTAAAGGTTATGAGGCTAGAAATTTAAGATGCTTAATATAACAGATGTATAGCCTTTACTTTTCTAATATCACTGCCTTTCTTTTTTCCTTCCCCAGAGGCAGGAAATGAAATAGAATTGTCTCCTGCAAAAGTGGTGTCTGTTCTTAACTCTCCTCTGTGGAAGCCGGTCTTCAGGCATCAGATGCGTTCTGAGCAAAAGCTGGGAGCTAGAGAGCGTAGCCAAACGCCGCAGGAAGATAAAGAGGTATTTCAGCCAACTTCCTAAATCTAGTCGCACTAATGCATGGAACACTTCAGCCCTTCTGCTTCTCTTCAATGCTTCCTCAGCTGATATTGTACAGTAGTCAGATGACCGCCTCCAGGTGTTACCCCAACACAGGTAGCTATGACCAGAGATCACAGTGGAAGAGTGACCAGGGCTAAGGATGGGATGGGGCAGAAACATGATGAGGATATATTTCATTTGATCTCTGGTCACCAAGCAGGTTTTTTGCTGGCACAACGGTTGTTGGGCTACTGTGTGGTAACTGCAGGAGATTTTAGTGTAGCTGTAGAGGAGGGCATCTTGAGTAGCCTGCTCCTTTTTTTATCTTATTCTATTTATTTAACAATTTATTTCCTGTTTGCATATAATAAAACCTCTAAGTGGTATGCACCAAATATTAATATTAACAGTAAAGACAAATCAAACATACTGAAATAATTATAATTAACAGGGTTGGTATTTTTTTTTAAAGATTAAAACATATCAACAATCTACATGTCTGGGTACGCTTGCCTAAACTAAAATGTTTTCAGCAGGTACCAAAAAGAGTACAGTGAAGGCACCTGCCTGATGTCCATAGGCAGAGAGTTCCGAAGTGTGGGTGTTGCCACAATAAAAGATCGATTTCTCACCACTGTGAAATGAGTTTTGGCACCTTTAACAGTGCCACTTCCACAGATCAAAGTGATTGGTTAAGCATACATGGTGTGAGTAAAATGGTCCCAAGCCGTTAAGGGCTTTATATACCAATAGTAACATCTCGAAAGTGGCCCAATAAGAAATCAGGAACCAGTACAGACCTCTGAGCTGAGGAGTTGCATGCTGACAGGGTCCTGCTCCTATAATCAACTGTGCTGCAGCATTCTACATCAACTGCAGTTTCCAGGTCATACAAGGGAAGCTGCACAATAGAGTACTTTGCAGGAATCCAGTCTTGAAGCTACCAGTGCCTGAACTACCATGGTCAAGCCCTCCTGGCGCAGGAATGGTAAAAGCTGTTGTACCGAGTACAGCTAGTAAAAGGTGCTTCAAGCCACTGAGACTCCCTGGGCCTCCAGCGACAAAGCTGGATCCAGAAGCAACTGATTGCACACCTGATCCTTTAGGGATCTGTTTCTTTCGATTAAAGCGGAAAGCTAAATCATAGTTTGGCATTACTGAGAGCAGCCCTAGCTTTTCTCCAGGCTCACATCTTATCTTGCTTCTCCTCTAGTCCAACTGTGACGACTTTAGTGTGGGGGAAGTCAGGAGATTCCCTTACTGTGGGTCAATAATAAAAAGATGAAGAATTCAATAACGTTTATTGATTGCACGTGCAAGGTAGAACCCCCTATGTGGAAGTCTCTACCAAGGAATTAAACACAGTGTACACATAGGTATAGAAGTGTAAAACAATCAAACCCTTCCCTTCATTACATTAGTTTATTTGGTCATAAAGCATCATTAAAGCAACACTATTTGACATGTGCAGTTAGACCCCTTTGTTGTCGCCTTATTTCACACCATCAGCTTTGCTGCACAACTGCTTAATCTTCATTTCTCTTTGAAGCTCCTACAGCATGATTTGTTGCATTTTCCAAGATTCTCGATGTCTCCAAATGTTTTCTTACCTGTAACATAGCTTGATTACTCCCTTCCAGTCACATCAAATATGGCCTTCCTTTCTTTCTACTTAGCAGTTTCTCTTCAGTACAACTTAACTGAACGATTTAACTACACCCGGAAGCTTCTGATTAACCACAACTTGTTTTGTCATCAATCCCAGACAAAATGTGGTTAATCTTAACTATGGTTAGTAGAAGCAAAGCCACCTTCAAACAGTTTAATCAAAGTTGGGTTGTTCTCACTAATCACAGTTTAGGGTTCAGATGACACACTAAACTATGGTTAATATAAAATGGAAGCAGAAAATTCTTGTCCCTTTGTGACTATGTCAGAGAGGAAAGGGAGAAAGTGTGTGAGCCCAGGGACAGGGCAGACAAGGCTCATTCTTGTAACACTAAACCAGAGTGTACTGTTACCAGCTAAATCTCTTCTAATCTTCTTTTCAGGCCACAAACTCTCATGCCAACAACTGTCATAGTTTTCTCCTTGACTTCGCAAAGTCAGACTCTGCCCAGGAGTTCTGTGGGCCAAATTCTGAGCTTTTCAAAGGACTCGTACAGGCATGTAAAAAACAGGCCCCAAAGACTGATATAGTTGCTGGTTCCACTATTGATCAAGCTGTCCAGTCTACATTTGCTGCTCTGGTCTATCTCTCTCCAGATTTGTATGGGAAGCTTCAGAAATATGGTAACTCCTACCTTAGTGAACATACATTCACAGTGAAGACGACTGCTCATATTTACATGATTCAGTTGTAAAAGTGTGGCTTGTCCATTCTTTCTAAATAATATTTACAACTTTGCTAGCATCAATTTTATGTACATGTGAAAAACCTACAGCCCCTTAGTTTGAACAACACACATGGAAAAAATCAGGGCGAGTTGAGTTTCCCTTTGTGTGTTCCAGAGGCCTGACTGACCTCCGCTGAAAGTTGGGCATTTAGTGTCACTGGCCCCGTGATGTGGGGCAGGCACCCTTGCTTTTGACTTTCAGGCATCTCTCAGAGATCTCTTTATCCTGCCAGGCCTTTGCAGCTGTTTAAATTGATTAGCCAGTCAATTGAATAATCATTTGTATTGCCCTAAATGGTGTTTTAGTTGTACACCACCCTGATATTTTATGACATTGTCTCTATGGAAGTATTTTTATACAAAAGTGAGCCTAGAGTGCCATTTTATACAAGCAGCAGAAACAAGTGGCAAACCACTCCATGCTATATGGTAGGTGGGGACCAATGTCCCCTGTGTATAGAGAAATGTTTCAGAGAGCTATTCTCTTTGTCAAAGTTTCTGTGAGCTGGGCAGATTGTTTCCCACTCCACCCTTACCCTCTGCAGCTATGCAGTCATCAAACATTTGATCTTCCACCTGCAGGCTGAAGTTGATCCAGTCCAGGGAGATTTTTGGCCCTCAGTTCCATTGTTCGTATAAACTGGCCCTAAGACAACCACGTTTCTTTTATTGATTTGAGGTGGTGGCAGAGGTCCACTGTGGCCTCCGCAGTTCTTTTGTTACACCTTCAAGATGGCTTAGAAGTCTCTTCTTTTCTTCCTTTCACTACAGTCAACAGTGGAGGCAAAACTCCTTTGGGCGAAGAGTTTGCACAAGTATATTCCCTGGCCGACGGGATCAGAATATGGATGGTAAGATTTCCTCTCTTTACCCTGGGGCCCAGAAAATGGCTGCTATACAATTTCCCCCATTTGTTCCTCATTTCCTGAGTCAATCTCAGCATTTCTGTGCAGAGAAATTCCTCTAAAAGATTATTTTAAGCACCTGAGTTCATTTAAGTAGCATCAAATGTGCTGTCCCCCCTACCCCCTCCATCCACCAGGGACACCTTGGCAAATTTTGAAAGTACTTTAAACTCTTTTAAAAATATGTGTATTTCTACAGCTAGAAATGAAACAGAAGTTCCTCGTGAACCAGGGAAATGATGGGGAGGAGAAGCAGGCTGCTGAGGTGAGCGAGGTGAACCCGGAGACCCTTGGTAAGTGTCATTGTGCTTCTGCCTCTCTTCGCTCCTCTTGCTTTTCCCATGGGTGGCAGACAGCCACATCGATCAATATCACCCCCTGGCATCCGAGGCAGGAAGTGCTCACACTACATTGGCTCCCAGTACGTTTCCGAGCACAATTCAAAGTGTTGGTGTTGACCTTTAAAGCCCTAAACGGCCTCGGCCCAGTATACCTGAAGGAGCATCTCCACCCCCATCGTTCTGCCCGGATGCTGAGGTCCAGTGCCAAGAGCCTTCTGGCGGTTCCCTCATTGCGAGAAGGAAAGCTACAGGGAACCAGGCAGAGGGCCTTCTCGGTAGTGGCGCCCGCCCTGTGGAACGCCCTCCCATGAGATGTCAAAGAGATAAACCTCAAATCAATAAAAGAAACGTGGTTGTCTTAGGGCCAGTTATACGAACAATGGAACTGAGGGCCAAAAAACTACCTGACATTCAGAAGACATCTTAAGGCAGCCTTGTTCAGGGAAGTTTTTAATGTGTGATATCTTAGTGTATTTTTGGTCTTTGTGGAAGCCGCCCAGAGTGGCTGGGGAAACCCAGCCAGATGGGCAGGGTACAAATAATAAATTATTATTATTATTATTACAGCGAGAGCTGTAAGGTAGGCCATGCACTTATAAAATACTTAACATTTCATCTGTTGATACGAGATGCACAGAGCAGGAGGAGCCCAGTTGCGCCGCTCTCATGATGCGCTTGTTGCCTTTCTATTGCAGCGCAACAGTGCATCCAGAAAAGTCACCTCTTGCTCAGTTTTCTGCCTGCACGGACCAAGGCAGAAGGCCACGACTCGGATCACGCAGAGGACTATGGGCGATGCCACAGAGACAGACGTCGGAGGACGAGCTCTGTCGTCGAAGCGGATTTCCAAGCATCAGATTCTTCCCCCGTCTCTGGAGTGACTGGTTTTGTTTTCCCAGAGGCAGGTCAGGCCACAGCCTCCAGCTCAAAGAGGAAGCAGGTGCCAGACTCGCCGCAGACAGAAGTGTCTCCTGCGTCCCAAAGCAAATCCCTTGAGAGTAACTTGTCAGAGCAAGAAGACGCCTTGTCCCCTCCCTCCACTCCCACTCGGAAGCCTCCATTCAGCCGCGGGAGGCTCCGGCTCCTCTCCTTCCGCTCCATGGAGGAGTCCAAGCCTGTGCCCAGCATTAAGGAGAAATACCCCATCCTGAAACACACCTTGGACTTCATTAAGGACCAATCTCTTTCTCATGAAAGGTGAGCCAGATCCACCGGTAAAACTCAGGGTAAAAGAAAAACCATAAAATAGAGGCTCCAGAAAAACCTCAAGGGGCGTTTGAGATTTGCTTGTTTGGCTCCTACCTCTTGGCCTGTGGTGCTTATTGCTGAACAATAGGATACTGTGAGAGCATAAGAAGAGCCCGGCTTGATCAGTCCAATGGCCAATCTAGTTGAGCATCCTGTTCTCACAGTGGCCAATCAGATACGAGGAACCGCAGTATGGCCCAAGGTGTGTTTTGCCTCAGAATATGTGCTCAGCAGTGAATGTTTTGTGAGAAGTATTTGTTTTTGGTTCTAACACTTTACGTAAACTGCCCAGGGGTTACGTATATTAAGCAGTACAAAAAAGTATAGAAATGTATTCTTGAGTTTAGAATTCCATCCCGGTGGGCGAGTGTACGTGACAGCGTTTCTTGCTTTTGTGTATATATCAGGAAACCCTGTTATACGATATATACGATATACAATATCTTTATTGTCATTGTCCCATGCAGAACAATGAAATTGAAAAACTACATAAAACTACTACAAAACTACATAAAACTACTACTACATAAAACTACTACTACACTACATAAAACATTCAAAAACCCCTAAAAACTCTGAAACCCCATTTTAAAATACACTATACTATAGAGATCCCTTATGCTGCGTTTAGAACCAGATTTGCATTTGCGTAGAAACGGTTTCTCAGGCGGCTAGTCCTGGCCTTTATAACCCTATACCTTCTTCCAGAAGGCAGAAGCTGAAAGAGATAATTTGTTATAACAAACCATAAAGCCATGTAGCGTGTTGTCATCGCGTTGCTGCCACATTTTGTCCTGCTCGATAAATACCCACCACTTGCCACTTTGTCAGGCTTCTTGACATCACCAGTTCTCTGTTGACGGAGAAGCTCATTGGTGTGGGTTAATGCACCGTCCCCTTGTGCCAATGCAGGAAAAGGTTTAATAGGAAAGTGTGTGTGTTTCTCCTAGCGTTCTGAAAGTCCTTGCTTTGAGGAAAGCTCAAGCCAAAAGCATCTTGGAAGTGCTGAAGATGATCCTCCAGTGCCTAGAATCCCTCAGCCAGCCTCACTGCTTCACCCCACCTTGCATCATCTTCCTGCTGGAACTCCTGGCTTGCCAAAAAGACTTCACAAAGTAAGACATGTGGGAAGCTGCACTTCAGGCATAGGCAGTTGTTCATTTTTAGCTCAGGTTAGCAGAGAGCGGAATGCGTCCAATCAAGCCATTGGTCCATCATTCTTAGTATGGCCTACACCTTTGGTGGGGGTACCCGAGGCCAGCATATTTAATTATTATTATTATTTTTTAATACAGATAACCTGTCATACACTTAGCACGGTCATATTTTAATGGATGATCTTGGGAATAGGTCAAGTTATGTATTCCCCCACCCACATTCAATCCTTTGTTTTGTTTCTTCTCTTCTCTCCCCTCTGGTGTCAGTGCAATGGTAGATTGAAGTAGGTATTGTTCTTGGGACGTATTACACAATGGCAGGCCTATGAAATGCAATTCAAAAGCCTATATATCTTCTTTTCCAGCTATTTTGCACACTTGGAAGGCTGTGGGACTGAGCTGCATCGGGAAATACGGGAATCTTACTACCAGCTTCTTCTCTTTTTGGTCAACGCTCTGAAAGGATTTAACGACCTTGATGAGAAGTATGGACCTCCCTCTTTCTTTCTTTCTTTCTTTGTCTTAAAGCATACAAGATCCTTTATTTTTTTTGTAAGACTCCTTTACTCCAACCACCATGGTAATTGTCCCTGGTGTTGTGTGAAGAGTACATCCTATTGTCTGCCCATAACTTACTATCAATCAATTTTATTGCATCACTCTGAGTATCATTTATTACTTCTTATGGTATTTATATCCTGCCTTTCTCCCAAGTTGGGACTCAAGGCAGCTCAAAGCCATTAAAAACTTTATAAAACACAAAGTTACAAAAGCAAACTAATAAAACACATTTAAAACCAGCAATTTAAATGCAGTTTGCCCTGACAGCAGACCAGTGGTCAGTCTTCGTCTGCACCTTAGTATTAGGCCTGTCTGAAGAGGAAGGTCTTGCTTAGCCTGCTGGCAGAAGGATAACAAGGGGAAGGAGGAGTCAGTTTGATGTCTCTTGGGAAGGAATTCCACATTAGGGGAGCAGCCACAGGAAAGGCTCTGTATTATGAACAAGGGAGAAAAATCAGGTTGTTTCCAATGTTGCTTCCCTCCACACTATGTGCAAATTCCATCATGTTGTCTCCTTTGGTCATAGCCCCCTTTATCCCCAAAAGGAAATTAAGGCCATTTGTCCCTTCTCCTTCGCTTTTGCCACCTGCAACCTTGCAGCTCCTCTGTGTTTTAATTGCGCTGCCCTGGTTTGTCTTCCCTGTTCGTTTAGATCGTTGCTCCCTGCCTTGTCCTGCGTGCAGACGTCTCTCCTTCACCTCTTGGACATGGGTTGGGAGCCAAGTGACCTTTCCTTCTTTGTTGATATACAGCTGCCACACCTCCTTATCAACATGTCACGAGAGAACATAAGTACACATGACAGCATAGTTTGGTAAGTTGGGACAAGTACCTGGGTTTGTTTTGCTTTGACACTCCTATCGGTGCCGCAACAAAATGACTAGCACATTTGCAAAGCTAAGCAGGGTCTGGTATGGTTACAAATTGGATGGGAGACCGCCTGTTGAGATTCCTGCAGTGCAGGGGGTTGGACTACGTCGCCCTTGGGATCCTTTCCAAGTCTGATTCTTTGAAAGTCTGAAATAATTTTGGCTGGGACGTTGCTTGTGCATTTGTAGGAATTGCCCAGAACTGCCTCGAGGGGATCTTTGCTGAAAGGTGGGATAGAAATCTGACGAGTGAATAAATAATGCAAAATAAATATATTTCCTAAAGCAGTTACTGTTTCTTACAAGAGCTGGCTTTCTCTAAAAAAATACAGATGCCTTGTTTTTCTTTTTTCCCTTAGTGGGGGAGCCTAGTGTTTGAAGTGTTTTGAGACTGAGATGTTTGTTATTTGCATTAATATATCAACTGCCTGCATTGCAGGATTCCACATTTGTTCCTATGGCTGGTAGGGGTTGTGAGTTTCTGGTAGGGCTAGGCATTTGAGTAGCCCACTTTTTAAAACTTGGTTTATTAATGGCATTTGTATGCTGTTCCAGCGCAGCATAAAGTTCTCTTTGTGGTTTAACAGGAAATAATTCTAAATACATTGGAAATGCAAATTAGGTCATAAAACCATGAAATCAAAACCTGCATCCTTGCTCCTCCAAAGTTAGAACACAGATTTAAACACATAGAAGGTCATGCTGCACCAGCTATTTAAAAGACCTGGGTGTTGCTGGAAATAAGCTGGCATTGGGCAAACCTCCCTGGGGAGGCTGTTCCATAACCATGGTGCTAGCACCGAAAAACCCCCTCTTACTGGCCTCAGATAATTCAATGGGGGACACTTAGAGCAGGCACGGAGATTCTTCGGAAGAAGACCAAATTATTTTTAAAGCATTAATTTTAATAGGCATCCTAAAGAGGGTTAAATTGATAGGTTTAGTGCTTGTGCTAATTATGAAAACAAACGGGAGTACACCAAGTTTTTCTGTGCCACCCATTAACAAATGTGCTCATGTGAAAGTGTGAAAAACAGTTGACTTGAGTTTTAAAAAATAGAATATAGAGATTAAACATTAAATAGCAAAACAACAACAGAAAACAGTTTTTAGAAGTGCTGGAATGTGGGGAAATGAAAAGCTCTTCCCTTGGTGCTGAAAGGTTGACAGCAGAGCACTAAGTGGGCCTGTCTGGTGAGGGCATCCCACAAACCAGGGCATTACCACTGAAAGGACTTCCTCAGTGGTGCAGTGTTCTCAGGGCCCTTCCATTCTCCCTAAGTTGCAGGATCTTGTCCCTGACCACGCATTGGCCTATGCTTGTTGCGTTTCTGAGATGGAGACCCTCAAAAGAGCAGCGGGACTGTAGAAGAGATGTCCCTGCCCCACCCCCTCCAAGCTTCCAGGCTTGCCACATTCTCCAGATTGAAGGGGCAGGGGCAATCCTGTGCATTAATGAAATTAACTTGCATAATTGTGCTTTGACTCACTGAACAATTCTTCTCTTCGGCTCTTAATCTGGAACACCAGGGTCAGGCTGCAGTTAAGATATTGGAAGCATATTAACCTGAGGCCTCTTTCTACTTGAATCAAATGACTTTTAATCCATTAAACATTGCAGCCCCTCTTCCCCCATTGTTTTGGTCTTGCCGTTCTAAGTAGAAAGCATTTAATTTTGTGCCTTTGTTCCTAGCCAGTGGAGCGAGGAAGAGGAACTCGCAGACTACAAGCAGAACTCCGAGTGGATGGACGAGTGTCAAGAAGGAGTCTTTGAAAGCTGGTGCGACAAGATAAGCCAGGCTGATCCAGAGAAGCAGAGGAAGGTCATTAGAATGAAAACTTTTTGTCTGGATTTGGTGGAAGGGCTCAAGAGTTAGAGCAGATGGAGGCAGAGCTGGTGGAGTGGGCAGGCATGGATGGGCATATTGTAGCTGGCAGGGGTTGGGGCGGCACGTACGAGAGGCCCAAGGACCCTACTCCGAGAACTGGAGATGACATTGTGGGATGGGGTAAAGGGAGGATGTATCCTGAACACAAGAAGGCAGATGGTTGACATTGGCTTTGGAAGATGCTCCTTCAAACTTGCTGAGCTATGAAGCTCCCAGTGGCCCTGGAAGCGTGCAATCTTTCTCCCCCACCATTTGGGATTTGGAAGGCATTTTTATGTTTCATTTTCCCACTGCTTTTTAGCTAGCTGTCAATTTTTGATTTGCCTTCTATTTTATCTATGTATTTAAATATTTATAAGATGCCTTTTGGGGTCAAATCCACCCAAGCCAGCAAATTAAAAACAACCATATATCAACATTAGTATATCATTATCATTGTGAAACTCTAAAAATGGGGGCCGGGGGGCAGGGCTGAGGAGAATCCTGGAAATGCATTAAAATATATATTCAGCTGGTTTAAAACCCTTTTGCAGAGCTACTTTAATGAACCAGCAGCATGACTAAAAAACACATTTTAGTCATTGGCTGAAAACACTGATAGGCGGATGGAGTTGGGAACTCAGAATGTGCATGCTAGGTACTTCTAAGTTCCAAAATATTGCTCACAGGATAGCTTTGAATCTGGGGGTACAGGGAGTGTGTAACCAGCTTTGTTTGTAGCTGGAAGAGTTGTATATGCTCATGATACTACTTCAGAATATTACTGTAGGCTGCACCTGAATTGGCTCTTAGAAGCAGAAGCCTCCTTGGGGCTGAAACCAAGTTCTCTCTTGGCATTAATTGAGAGTGTGGTTTGTGCAGAGAGAGAGAGAGAGAGGGAGAGAGAGAGAGAGAGAGAGAGAGAGAGCAAAACTCCGAGAAGCAATTCTGCATCCATCTGCTTTCTTTCCAAAGCCCTCCAGGCTTCGCAAAACTCATGTTCTTCCCACCTGATGTTTCCCTGTGATGGGCTTTCTTCCCAGTTCCTGCTCCATTATCTAGAGCAGGCATGTCCAACTCCCAAGAGACAGCGATCTACTCCCACTATAAAATAACTGGCAGTGATCTAACCATTGGATTTTTGGGGAGGAAGACCCAAAGTTGTTGCGCTTTTTTGGGCGAGGAAGACCCAAAGTTTTTTTAGCTTTTTTGGGGGGGGGGAACGATCGACCAAGGGCGCCCCGCGATCGAGCTGTTAGACATGCCTGATCTAGAGGCATTGTAGCTTGCATGGAATTAATTTTCTTGTATATTCTGATGTGGACTGACCTGATGCTGCACCTCCTGAAGTTAATTGTGGCTTGGAACACAGTTACCTCTCGGGTTTTGCACTTTTCTGGATTTTGCAGTACTGTTCAAAGCTCAAAGAACAAAGCAAAATGCCCATTAAAAATACGCATTTAAGAATAACTCTACAATTCAGCAATTTCTATCAGAAATATATTGATCTGCCCATGCTACAGATGTTGGCTCTTGAGTTGGACCTGCAGTGGGCAGAGCCAAGATGGTGGCATTTTATGGTTTAAAGTTTTCTGCAAAGCAAGCCCATGAAAAGCGTTTCCATGTCTCGTTCCAGATGCATATGTTCATTGCCCGCTACTGCGACCTGTTACACGTGGACATATCCTGTGACGGGTGCGATGAGATCGCTCCTTGGCATCGTTACCGCTGCTTGCAGTGCAACGACATGGATCTTTGCAAAACGTGCTTTTTGGGTAAGCCGGTTAGCCAGAAATGGCATCGTTTCTTCTTCAAAGGGGGGTGCTGAGTTTTCGGTAGTTTAACAACTTTCTTTTCCTTTTTTAAAAAAAGAGTAGACATCCAAGGAGATCCTTTTGCATTAACTTAAAAAAGAAAAAATGACACCAGTTTTCTGAATTTTGAAACAGGCAATATTGTCCACACAAGAAAAAGGAGGAGTAGGGTGTAAAACATGGAAATACTATAATTTGCAGGTAGTGGTATGTATGTGTATAGATGGACTGATGTTATGTGGATTCCCAGCACATTCATCAACTACTACTGGCCTGTTTTCCCAGCAGAGAAGAGGGACTTCAAGTTATCTACTCCCTTCCTTTCCCTTCACTCTCTCCTCTTTCTATTTCTGGGGGCAAGAATGGGGAACCTGCAGCTCTCTAGCTATTCTCTAAACTCCCAACTCGCATCAACCCAAGCTTATTTGTGTTTTTGGGCAGTGATAAGGAAGCTGTGGCCCTCCATGTTGCTGGACTACAACTCCCATCATCCCTGACCCTTGGCCATACAGGCTGGGGCTGATGGGAGCTGCATTCTAGCGATATCTGGAGGGCCACCGGCTCCCCATTTCTCTGCTTCAGGGGGACCCGGAAGTGTCAAAGACAGGCTTTGAACTGGAGCTTTGGCCTCTCCAGGTCATGATACTTAAATGGAACCTCCATGGCCCAAAGCAGTAAACTTCAGAATACCAGACGCAGTGGGGAAGAAGTGCTGCTTTTTTGTCTCTCACAAGTTTCCTGGAGACACCCAACAGGCTGCTGATGGAACCTAAATGTGTCTTTGTCACATCCAGCAGGGCATTTTCCATGCAAGCAAAACATCTCATTTTTTTTGCCATTCAAACGTCCTACCAGCAAGGACTCTGAACCTTCTGGCTTTTTACCCATGCAAAGACACTGAGTGTGCACCCCAAAGGGTTATTTTTAACCCTGTTTAAGAAAGAGAAATCGGAACATATCAGCCTTTGCCAACCTGGTGCCCTCCAGATTTTTACCACTACAGCTTACACCCCTGTGCTGGCTGAGGCTGATGGGAGCTGTAGTCCAAAACATCTGGAAGGTACTAGGCAGCAAAGGTTTAGGAAACAGCTTTATTCAACAGTTCTGCTGCAAGAGTGGTGTAGAGATTGAACGAACGGTGGCTGCTTTGAACACCCGTTGCTGTCGCTTTGCATTCCATGTAGGCGGAGTGAGACCCGAAGGCCATGAGGCAAACCATGACATGGTCAACATGGAATATGCCTGCGACCACTGCCAGGGCATTATCGTTGGGCAGCGCATGAACTGCAACGTGTGTGAAGATTTTGACCTTTGCTTTGGGTGTTACTCCGCCAAGAAGTACTCTGAGAGGTACTGTGCCTTCACAACCTTCTGAATCTTAACGTGATCACGCTTGGGAATTGGGCACCCCTACTTTGGGACGTGGGTGGCGCTGTGGGTTAAACAACAGAGCCTAGGACTTGCCGATCAGAAGGCTAGAGGTTCGAATCCCCATGACGGGGTGAGCTCCCGTTGCTCGGTCCCTGCTCCTGCCCACCTAGCAGTTCGAAAGCACGTCAAAGTGCAAGTAGATAAATAGGTACCGCTCCGGCGGGAAGGTAAACGGCGTTTCCATGCACTGCTCTGGTTCGCCAGAAGCGGCTTAGTCATGCTGGCCACATCACCCGGAAGCTGTACGCTGGCTTCCTTGGCCAATAAAGCGAGATGAGAGCTGCAGCCCCAGAGTCGGCCAGAAGTGGACCTAATGGTCAGGGGTCCCTTTACCTTTACCTTTACTTTTTGGCATTATCAGGTGGAGGGGTGGGGGCAAATCCTGGCTAATCCGCAGGTGCAGTTTGCTCAGCAGTTCTCCCAATCTAGCTTGAGTCAGGGGTGGGGAGCCCACACGCTTGCTGGATGTACCTGGTTTCTTTTATGAACACCCCTGAATCCACTAATCTGACACATTAGGAATAGGGTACCTCTACATCCTTGCCCTATGAATTTGTTTCCTGTGCCAGGAACTGTGTAGCTCCGATATGGATGGAGCAGTACTTTTGAGAGGGTTGGGGGTATACGAAGATAGTATGCTGTAAGCATTTTCAGAAAATAAGCAAGAAAGAAGATGACAGTCTAGGTTGCAGAGACTTGTATTGTGCCCATGCGCCCCACAGAGCACAACCCCGCTTTGCGCCTAGAGGCAGTCACATGCATCCTGTTGACATTTTACTAGTAGCAGTGCCAGCCATCCATCGTAATGAGAAGTTCTGCTTTTCTTCCCTCCTCGCCTCCATTTTAGCCACCTGCCCACCCACAGCGTCACAGCGCACCCGATGATGACCATCCGGATCAGTGACCGCCATCGGCTCATCCAGCCTTACCTTCACAACTACTCTTGGCTGCTGTTCTCCGCTCTGGCTCTCTACAGCGCCGACTTGTCGAGCGGCAAGCAAGGGGATGGCGAGGAGGCGCTTGACCCCCAGGTCGTCGCCCACGCCAGGGCCCTGCAGCAGCAGTGCATCCAGCTGATTGGGGATTGCCTGGTGAAAGTGCAGCATGGGAAAGGTGAAGGATGTGGGGATGGCTGCTCAGACCCAGGGCAGAGCATCGGTGGGAGTGGGAGACGACACATCGCTTACCCCAGGCATAGATTCTGCCCCCGCGCTAAGGCCTGTTGCTTTGATATAAAGCTGTAAGGTAGGAGTGGGGAGCCTTTGGCCCTCTGGTTGTTACTGAACTACAACTCCCCTCATCCATGGCCACTGTTCATGCCTGCTGAGGCTGATGGGAAGTGTAGTTCAGCAGCGTATGGAGGACTGGGGGATCCCTGCACCCTGCCATATGGTCTGCATCTGAATTCCGTTTCAGGATGGAGATTGCAATGGTTAACATTTTGCATGGGTGGGGTGTTTTATCGTAGGGGTGTTGGTTTTTTGCCAGTGTGTGTGTTTTTTGATTAAAATATTGTAAGTCACTTGAGTTGCCATAGAAAAAAAGTGGCTAAGAAATTTAAATAATAAAGGATTTTTTTGGCGGGGGGGGGGGTTGTTGGGACACCCTCTTCCAGCATTTAAAACCCCCACGGTCAACACGTACCTGCACTGCTCTTTTTGCTGAACTACTCCCTGCCCAGTGTGGGCTGTTCAGTCCATAAGGCTGCCTTTCCCCATCCCTGGTGGCTAGGGAATAGGATAATTTGGAAGGGAGGCTTTCAGCAGTGGCAGTAAACCCCATATGAGCTGGTCTGGATTCTTGAACACTGCTGAGGGGTGAGGGAGGCACAGAGTTCATTTTCTTAACCCTCAAGTTCCAGAACTTGCTGTAATTATGATGAGGGTTGGATTTATTTCCTTCTTTTCCTCTACCCTCACCCCAGTACACATTTAGGATCTGGTCCATTCATGTTCCGCTTTTGGATCATCTTATCTTCCTTCCCCCACACCCAGGTTTGAAAAGCCTCGCTCTGCTCTGCATGTTGCCAGAAAGCGAATCTTTACCCGAAAAGGGGATACTATCAGTTGAAAATTCCACAGACGGCACTGGTGAGAGAGCCATGGAAACCGATAAGGCGACATCTGCATCTTTCACCCACTGCAGCGTAAATATATATTTTTAAAAATGCTTCAATGTAAACAAAAGAGGCTTCAAACTGGTCCCTCTTTTGGTGTCCCTTTTTATGATTCTCTGCAGCTATAATGACTGCCTGTACCAACTTCTGTGTACACGGTACCTTCCAGATGTTTTGGGCTACAACTCTCTTCAGCCCCAGCATCCTGTGGCCATGCTGGCTTGGTCTGCTGTGAGTTATAAACCAAAACAGCTGTAGGATACACCGGGTAGGCAAAAGCTACCCTGCACTGCAGATTCTTGCAGCTTATAAGCAGATAAGGCAGAACAGGAGGATGTTGACTCCTGTTTTCTAGAAGGTGGGAGTGAGCTCCACATTCACAGCAAACGATTAACTGTGGTATACCTTCACATGTGAATATTGTCATTGATGAAGAATCCTATTTTTGTTAACAAGGAGACATGAGCGGTGGGTGGAACGAATGATGGCTTCCCAGGGCCTGAATCTGACTTCACCTTGGTTTTGTGTATTTGTGGTAATTTCAGGCTGATAGCTAATAGTTCAAAAGTGTAGGAAACGGAAGGTCTCATTTCGCAAGGAACATGGCAAGCGCACCCATTCATTGAGTGCACACGTCCTCTTTCCCACACACCTACACTGCCAATCACCCCCCCCACTCCCTTCGCTTTTCAGCTGGGGAGTTTCCTCCATCCCAGGAAGGACGGAGTGCAGCCTTATCAAATTCCTTATGCTCTGGAAGTTAGGGACCCATCTGGATCAGGACTCAGTGGAAACAAATCCCTCTGGCTGAGGGGGGAGAACCTTCTTAAGGCAGCCCAATTTGGTGAAGTTGAAACCTACAGGTGCTCCACCCTGCTGTTTGTTTTAGCTTTTGACAAGTCAGGCTTGCCAACTGCATAAGAGCACTGTTGCAATTTTCACCTCTCCTTTATTCGTAGGGGAATGGAAACGCTGATGAAATCCAGGCCTCTGCAGATACCGAACGAGGGCAGAAAGTGAAAACGGAGGGCAAGCCCTCCAACGGCCTTCCACTGAAGAAAGAGGTGGTAACACAAGAGAGAGAGAAGCTTGCCCTTAATTCAGATTTTCAAGCAAAGGAATCTGTATCTGCAGGTAAAGATTACTCCTTTTTGGTTCCTAGAATTACAAGTCACTACTCTGTTTTTAAATGTCTTTCTCCTTTATCATTTGAACATGTTTCTTCTAAGTTGGTGGCTCTGCCATTGTTTGGCATCAAAATTACTTTGCGCCTGCAGCTGGTAATAACATGTAGTCGATAGTAATCATTTTTAAATTGCCAAAAATGTACCAAGTGCCTTTCAAGACACCCTAGCCAGCAGTCTTACAAACTATATTTATCTTAAATGTGGAAAAATGAGTTGGTGGAAGGAGAGGGAATAATTTCTGAGCAGAAGTTTATGCATGTTCAGAGAACTTAATAGAGGAAAGGTAAGTGCTAGTCATAGTTTACCAATATGAACATTGCAGTAAGCCTTGATTAGCACTAAATTGCAAATAGGAAGTGATGCTGTGCTTGGGAGTGCAGGTGGCTTGGAGGACTGGCTAAATTGAGGCTAGATGCTTCGAAGAAGTGCAGCTTCACACCATGCATTGCACCAACTTAGAGGACTTTTAAAGGGGTTATTATTATTATTATTATTTATTAAATTTGTAGCCCGCCTTGCATCTGAAGATCACAACATAAACATACAAAACGAGAACACAAAATACATAATAAGAACAAGAACAAGAACAAATAAAAAACCACCACCACCCTCCTACAAACATGTTTAAAAGGACATAGAATGTTAATCAGACAAAGGCTTAGTTATAAGAAACAACCACTTTTGCCACACTCTGGGCCTCTTGTGGGGGAGACACAAGAAGGCTCTCAGGTGATGATCACAGGGTCTGAGTTGGTTCATATGGGGAGAGGTGGTATAACGCGTGGCAGCAATCTGACTTACGAGGTTACCAGAGCATAGGCAACAGAAGTTAGGCTATCCCTGTCCAGATAGTGGCACCGCGGGACTACCAGCCGAAGCTGATGCCACCTGAGCTTCCAGCGACAGCAAAGGAGTATCCCTAAGCTATGTACCTGCTCCTTCAGATGGAGTGTAAGCCCGTCAAGGGCAGGCCACCTCTCATCCATTTGTTCTAGGGAACCACCCACTAACAGTGGCCCAGTCTTACTTGGATTGAGCTTCAGTTTGTTGGCTCCGATCCAGTCCATTACCAAGGCAAGAGAACGGTCCAGCACACCCATTGCCTCACCTGCAGATATAAAGGAGAAGTAGAGCTGTGTGACACCAGCATTTTGCTGACAATCCATGGCTGTATCCTCAGGAATCTGAGACATGCCTCTCAATTCCACCTGCTGGTGAATAACCATGATGTACTCATTTCCTGCGAGGGGCTTCCCAGGGGCATCTGGTTGGTTGCTGTAGGAAACAGGACTCTTGGACCGGATGGTCCTCTGGTCTGATCTCGCAGGGCATAAGGAAATACCATAAGGAAAGTATAGCTAACCATGGTTATCACATTGCAGATGCAATGCTGCACCATGGTCAGCGCCGAAAGCGAAAGAAAGTCAAGCACGCAGAGGGAGCGCACTGTGAACCAACTACCTCAACAGTAATGACAATTCTGCAATTTGGAGGAATTTATGTTGCTTTATTTTGTTTTACAGACGCTGAAGTTGCCGACGTTTTGACTCCATGCCGAGCTGAAGAGAAGGCAATGCCCAGCCAAGAGGAGATATTTGCCGAGTGCTCCCAGAAGAGGATTCTTGGGTTGCTGGCTGCCATGTTGCCTCGCTTGAAATCAGTAAGAATCAGCACAAACTGGGAGAAGGGAAGCCAGGGAGTTCCTGGGTGGCAAGAGGAAGGAAGCGGGTAAAGCAGCTGGAGGAGAAGAGGGCAGAGGCTTGACAAAGAACTGGGTGGTGGGGGTGTCCTTTTCCTATCCTTGGAACCCCACCAAACCACCTGAACCTGCAACTGGGTGTGGAGAGTGCAGCTGACTGCTGAATGGGACAGCCTGAGGCTGATCCATCCACCTTGGGGCTGCTCGTAAAAAGCAGAGGTGAATAAACAGCTGGATAGATGGCCCACCTTGGATGAAGGCAGGAAACAGAGTGAGGACAGGAAAGAGCTATGTGATCTTGACTCTGAACATTTCTTGCCTTGAAGGCCAGTTGTTGATTTGACACCCATTACAAACACATTTGTTTTGGGACACGGGTGGCGCTGAGGGTTAAACCACAGAGCCTAGGACTTGCCGATCAGAAGGTCGGCGGTTCGAATCCCCACGACGGGGTGAGCTCCCGTTGCTCGGTCCCAGCTCCTTCCAACCTAGCAGTTTGAAAGCATGTCAAAGTGCAAGTAGATAAATAGGTACCGCTCCAGCGGGAAGGTAAACGGCGTTTCCGTGCGCTGCTCTGGTTCGCCAGAAGCGGCTTAGTCATGCTGTCCACATGACCTGGAAGCTGTACGCCAGCTCCCTCGGCCAATAAAGCGAGATGAGCGCCACTACCCCGAGTTGGCCACGACTGGACCTAATGGTCAGGGGTCCCTTTACCTTACAAACACATTTCATGTGAGACCCAGCAGTCCATTCCCAGCTGGAAGTAGGCAAAAACTGGAAACGGGGAAAAGGAGTGAACCATATTCCCAGTCCTCTGATCTCCTGCCCCCTTCTCCCCTCTCTGCAGGACTCGACAATGTCTCTGATGAACCTCGACCAGATCCTCCCGCTGATGTTTCAAGTTGTGATCTCAAATGCCGGCCATTTGAATGAAACCTACCACTTAACCCTGGGGCTCCTAGGCCAGTTGATTCGGAGGCTGATGCCTGCAGAAGTAGACGCTGCCGTGACCACGGTCCTCTCGGCCAAACACGGCCTCGTTGCTGCCGATGGGTCCTCTGTGCCGGAAGGATGGAAGACGACCCATCTCCTCTTCAGCTTGGGAGCAGTTTGCCTGGACAGGTACATGGAGAAAAGTTTTCCTCTGCCTAATCCTGGAATAGGGAATGGTAGGTGGGCAGAAGTTATTGCAGGCTGTGTCCCCGCCTGCAATGGCCAGTGCAAGACACCCCCATGGACTGGGGCACTGGGCAAGCACAGGATCCGCTGAGTCCCTATCAGGCCCTGCTGTTGTCGTATCACTATAGTGGGCCTGATCCAGGCCTCTTTGCTGCACCAGCCTGGAATCTGGCATAGTGAGGGGGCATTTACCCCTCCCCATTCCTTCCTGGCAAAATGAGCTGGTTAGTGGAGGCTGTTACAGTTTGTGGTTCAGCTTCGTAGGTCTTCAGAAGATGACGGTTTTGCCCTGCAGCAGTGAGTAGTACCCCCTCCCCCCAGGGGTGGTGGAATTACCAAGGGGGTGGCATTGGAGGTGGGGCTAGAGCCTGAAGTGTAACACCTTCTACTGCTCTTGGTTGCTTTCAAAAAGCTATAGTCACGTTTCTTTGCCAGTGTGGTGTAGTGGTTAAGAGCGGTAGTCTCGTAATCTGGGGAACCGGGTTCGCGTCTCCGTTCCTCCACATGCAGCTGCTGGGTGACCTTGAGCCAGTCACACTTTTTTGAAGTCTCTCAGCCCCACTCACCTCACAGAGTGTTTGCTGTGGGGGAGGAAGGGAAAGGAGATTGTTAGCCGCTTTGAGACTCCTGAAGGGGAGTGAAAGGCGGGATATCAAATCCAAACTACTACTCCTCCTCCTCCTCTTCTTCTTCTTCTTCTTCTTCTTCTTCTTCTATTTGTGGTTCTGAGTTGTCACAAGATATCTCATTATTGGTTATACAGTGGTGCCCCGCAAGACGAATGCCTCGCAAGACGAAAAGCTCGCTAGACGAAAGAGTTTTCCGTTTTTGGAGTTGTTCCGCAAGACGAATTTCCCTATGGGCTTGCTTCGCAAGACGAAACGTCTTGCGAGTTCCTGCGAGTTTGTTTCCTTTTTCTTAAAGCCGCTAAGCCGTTAATAGCCGCTAAGCTGCTAATAGCCGTGCTTCGCAAGACGAAAAAACCGCAAGATGAAGAGACTCGCGGAACGGATTAATTTCGTCTTGCGAGGCACCACTGTAGCTGGTATCGTGGGATCTAGTTCATCAGTTTTGTTGAATTAATTAAATAGTTTAGATTGGATTTTGAATAAATGTGCAGTTTATCATTACTGTTTTGAATTTCTTGGTGTTATTATCCATCCTTAGTGGGCCGTGTAAACAACTACAGTATTTTGAATAATGCTTTTTATCGGGCAGGAAGCAGTGGGGATGAGTTTATGGACCCATGGAGGGGGCAGTGGCCCCAAAAGGTTTGGGGACCACTGCCCAAGAGTGTACCAAGCATGCTGCTTCTGTGGGGGGAGGCCAGCTGTCATTTCCAAGAAAGCTTGTCCACCCTTGATTAAGGAATCTCTGCTAAGCATCAAAGGGAAGCATGCCTTTGCTTGATCACTGGAGTTATTTGTCATTTTGGAAACCTCACTGGTGCATGAATAGTGGACACAGACTCACAGCTAAATGGGCTGCTCAGCCTAAGGAAACCCCAAACTTTTGTTTTTCAGCCGTGTAGGCCTCGACTGGGCATGCACTATGGCCGACATCCTCCGAGCCCTGAACGCCTCTGCACAATGGCACAGTGTGATTGCTGCGTTCACAGACCACTGCATCAAGCAGCTGCCTTTCCAGCTGAAACACACCAACATCTTTACCTTGCTGGTACTTGTAGGCTTTCCAGAGGTGAGTGTGTTGAGCTTTAAAGCACCGCTGCCGCGGAACCATTTCCCAGACAGCGCTGCCACAATTGCAACAACGACAACAACAAAAATGCATTTTGCTAGGGCATGGGAGGATGCATAAAAGTTAGTCGTGGTCAGTCCTTGCCTGGAGTTTGACTTCCTCTCTGCTCTCTCTCTCCCTCCGCTGCCTACAGGTCTTGTGCATGGGGACCCGGTCTGTGTATATGGACAACGCAAATGAGGCCCACAACGTGATCATCCTCAAGCACTTCACAGAGAAGAACAGGGCGGTGGTTGTGGACATGAAAACACGGAAGAGAAAAGCAGGTTTTACACCTCTTCCTTTCAACTTAATCTCAACATTATCCCCCTTTCTTGCACCACTTGGTTTTGCATTCTTAGCTGCCTTCACAGTCACAAGGGCTAGAACACTCACTTTTTTTTCTTTTTTAAAAAAGTGACTTGCGTTAGTTGATTAACAAATGAATGAATTGTTTTACTTCCTTCACACAGAAATTTCTGCCTTGCCCTTCTGCTGCCTTTTTGCAATTCAGGGCAACAGTTTAAAATCACAGCACCACAACAGCATAATAAAATGCAAACAGTAAAAACAAATGCAACACCCAGGTTGGTGTTCAACTTAAGCTTTACTCAGAGTAGACTTGTTGAAATTAATGGCTGTAATGAGGTCACGTTCATTAATTTCAATGGGTCTGCTGTGAATGCAACTTAGTTGCATACCACCGCCCCGCACATCATTAAAAATCCATATAAAGGCACCGATGCCAGAGATCACAAGTAAAAATGACCTTGGCAGGCAGAAGGAATAAAAATGTTTGAATGAATGAGAGTGATGGTCACACAACACGAAGACTGTTGTGGAACCCCATGAATCCTATTTTCTTTTATTATTTCTAAGGCAGTTCATTTTTCACTGTTGCAGGAAATTAATAGAATGGGATTTGAGAATGGGTTTCAGGTGTTTGCACGCATCACCATTTTTATGCATTACCGTATTTTTCGCTCTATAGGACGCACTTTTTCCCCTCCAAAAATGAGTTCCCGCCAGGCTCCGCAGGCTTGCATATGATAGCAGCCTGCAGCCCAAAGCTGTTCTAGCTTCGGGATGGCTGCACAAAGCCTCCGCAGGGCGGTGGGGTGAAGGCACCTCGCCGCCCTGCGGAGGCTTGAAAGGCTGTCACCGAAGCTGCGATCCAAAGGCTTCAGGGGTCTTTGAGGTTGGCGGTGGGGGAAAGCAGCGCTTCCCCCCACCGCCAGCCCCACAAGCTCGGGGGGCAACGGCAAGGCTGCGCGCAGCCTTTGCGCTGTTCCCCGACCTGCTCTTGGACGCACCTTGAACGCACCTTGTTTTTGAGGGGGAGAACAAGAATTTTTTTTCTCTCCTGTTCTCCCCCTCCTATGGTCCAGTGCGTCCTATAGAGCGAAAAATGCGGTACTTTGCTAGACAGAAGCTCAGAGGTGGCTGCTTAAAGAGTGACACGTTTGGCAAAATAAATGCTGCAGCACCACAAAATCTCTATATTCTACCTTGCTGCCTGCACTGGGGTTATTTTGATGCATGATCAGCGTTCCACTTTTATGTATACCTGATTTTGTTTATTTTTTAAGCGAATAGAATTGATGTTTGGGTTGATGCTCTCCGTGGAACACTTGGGGTGTTAGGTCAAGGTTGGCCCGAGTACTGAACCAGGCCATGATCCCCAGCAGAGACCTGCTTCACCTCCTTCCTCTGCTTTCTAGTGAAAGACCTCCAGCTGGTTCAGCCGTGCGGACAAGCTGATGACGAGTCTCGGTGCCAGTTGCGGCAGTACCTCCAGCACTTTGTGTTCATCACCAGCCATCTCCTCCAGACAAGCATCAACAGCAGCTTTGCAGAGGCTGTGGAAGCAACCTGGGTCTTATCTCTTGCCCTGAAGGGGCTATACAGGACGCTTAAGGTACAGTATAGCGTGGCAGGTACTATGTGCGGTGGATATAGGCGGTGAAGCCAGTGGTCTTCACTACACCTTATTTATTTAGAGCAGGGTTTTGCCAGCTGTTGTTGGACTACAACTCCCATCATCCCCGACCACTGGTCCTGTCAGCTAGGGATGGTGGGAGTTGTAGTCCAGCAAAAGTTGGAGACCCAAGTTTGGGAAATTCTGGTTTAGAGCATTAGGATCCCCCACTCTTCAGCTGAAAAGGCTCCCAGAGCGGCTTACAGACAAGCCATTAAAACTAAATGCCCCCTGCCCTCTGGCTTACAGTTTAAAAAGAGAGAACATAGCACACAAGGGGAAAGGAACGGGGAGGGAAGAGGGGAAAACAAACATGAAATCTGTTTGACTTTGGAAGTGGCCTGTAGAAGAAAGCAGGACGGTGCCAATCTCAGTCCAAAGAAACAAGGGGGCAAACCTCAGAAAAGGTGCTGGAAGAAGATTTGCATTATTCCTGGTCACTCCCTATTTCTTCATGCGCCCAATGCCTTTTGAATATGATATTGTTGTTCAGAGGCAGGGGGAAAAAAGCGGTTCAGAGAGTATAATCCAAGCAGCCAAGTATAAGGTTTAAGATGTAAAGATTACACGAAAGCCACATCATGCAAGCCGTTTTCCATCTGGGCTGCGATACATCTGGTTTCAACAGGTTTTTCTTTTCTTTTCTTCCCTCTCTTTGGCAGATGCATCCCTTTGAAGAAATTCGCACCGCCTTCCTTCAGACGGGTCTGCTTAAATTGCTGGTGAAGAAGTGCAGCAAAGGAACAGGCTTCAGTAAGACCTGGCTTCTCCGAGACTTGGAGGTAATGCAGGAGCTTCTCCAAGATGGCGGGGCTGCTGATCCCCTGCATCTGAAACGATTCCTTTTGCTCATCTGCGGTAGCTCTTTCCAGTCTTCCAAGGAGAACACACGAGGGCTCAAGCTATGCAGGGGTGTAGAGGAGATCCTTGCACCAACCTTGTCTTCTTCCTCTTGTGACCTTCCATGCATCAGTTATGGAGGTCTGGAGGGGAGACTCTTAACTGTGTTCATTTTGAGCCTTATTTTGAATGCCTAAACGGGAATTCCTCTTGAGCCTCCTGCCAGTCATTTCATTAAAAAAATAATAATACATTTTTATTTCCCATTTTACATTATTCAACAATAAATATAAATCACACACAAATCCAGTAATGTTTTCTGCGACTTCCCTCCCTCCTCTTCTGCAGTTTATTTTTCTATCAGATTCTCTTACTGCACATCTTAATTTATCCTTTTTACTCATTTATCTGTTTTTAATTCCCTTAAAATCCTTACTGCTCGTGTTTATATCAATCCTGCTAATGTTTTTAATTGTTTACAGTTTGTTTTCATATATTCAATAAATTTCCCCCATTCTGCTACAAAAAGTTTATCATCCTGATCTCTTAACCTTCTGCTAAGTTTTGCCATCTCGGCTTATTCCATCAATTTTAGTTGCCAGTCATCTCCTTTTGGGGTCATTTCCTCTTTCCAGTTTTGTGCATTTATCACTTGGGCAGCCGTGGTGGCATAGATAAATAGTTCTTTCTGATCTTAGTTATTTTAAGCATCCCCCCCCCCCCAGTTCATTATAAATCATTTCCCAGAAGGCTTTTGCAACCTTACAGGACCACCACATGTGAAAAAAGTACCCTCTTTCTCTTTACGCTTCCAACATATATTGGATTTAGACTTACACATTTCTGTCAGCTTGCTAGGCGTCAAATACCATCTATACATCATCTTCATGTGGTTTTCTTTTAATGCGTAAGCATGCTGTTAATTTTAAATCTCCTTTCCAAAGACTTTCCCACGCTGCCATATCAACGTAATAACCTATGTATCCTGCCAGTCCTTTCAGACCGTGCTAAGCTGGGTGGGCCCAATGGCCTAACTCTGTACAAGGCAGCCACATATGTTGCATTGATTCAGATATTGACTGCTATTGCGTTTAAGGCATTTATACCCCCATCCTTAGCCAAAAAGGCTCTATAGCACCCGTCATCACCTTGCCAACAAAGTTCTGTATAGTTAAAGCCATGGTTTTCCCAGTAGTGATGTATGGAAGTGAGAGCTGGACCATCAAGAAGGCTGATCGTCAAATAATTGATGCTTTTGAATTATGGTGCTGGAGGAGACTCTTGAGAGTCCCATGGACTGCAAGAAGATCAATTCTTAAGGAAATCAGCCCTGAGTGCTCACTGGAAGGACAGATCATGAAGCTGAGGCTCCAATACTTTGGCCACCTCATGAGAAGAGAAGACTCCCTGGAAAAGACCCTGATGTTGGGAAAGATGGAGGGCACAAGGAGAAGGGGACAACAGAGGACAAGATGGTTGGACAGTGTTCTCGAAGCTACAAACATGAGCCTGACCAAACTGCGGGAGGCGGTGGAAGACAGGAGTGCCTGGCATGCTCTGGTCCATGGGGTCACGAAGAGTCAGACACAACTAAATGACTAAACAACAACAACAAAGCACCCGTCAACAGCCTGGGGCCTTCCATATTTTTTGGACCACAACTCTGATCAGATATGGCTATGCTGGCTGGGATGTATCAGGAAGTTTTTAAAGTTTGACATTTTATTATTTTTTCTATTTGCTGGAAACCACCCAGAGAGGCAGGGTTTAAAAATTGTTGTTGTTATTGTTGTTGTTGGAGCTGAAGTCCCAAACATCTGGAAGGTACCAGGTTGACGAAGGTCTACAGGTTGTGTGACTTGGTTGGTCTGCCACTGACATTCAAGTTGCATTTTGTCTCTTGCAGATCTTGTCAATCATGCTTTACTCATCGAAAAAGGAGATAAGCTCCCTGGCGGAGCACAAGAGCCCAGACCTTGGTGAAAGGGACCAGGATCAAGCGTTGGATCAGTCTGCTGTCACTCCCACAGATGCTGACCAGAACAGGCTCGATCCGCTGGAGGGCTTGGATGAAACCACCAAAATATGCTTCCTGGTACGCTTTTGACATTTATCTGGTGGGTTGTGGGGGACTTTAGCAACAGGCAAGAATCTCAGAATTGTAGAGTTGGAAGGGGTCACAGGGGCCATCTAGTCTGACCCCCAGCAATGTAGGAATCTTTTGCCCAGTGTGGGGCTCAGACGCTTGACCCTGAGATTAAGAGTCACGTGCTCTCCCAACTGAGCTACCCCAGGCCACCAAGCAGCACAGTATGTTAGCTCACATTGCACGGGTCTTATTTTGAGGGTGGGGAACCCTTTTCAGCCGGTGGGGTCACATTCCTTTCTAAGGAGCCTTTGGGGGATGGAACACATACGAGTGGTGGGCAGGGCCAGAGGCAAAAGTGGGCGGAGCAAGAAATGTAATATTTACCTTTGTGCAATTGGCTAGTTTCCAAACATGTCCAGACCTAGGGACTGGAGCCCACTTCATCAGATGTGTGAAGTGTCTTTCTCTGAAATGAACTCTAGTCCACAGGAGGAAACCCCTTAGTCTTTGAGGTACTACTGGACCACAGTTGCTGATGCTGTTTTTACATCTTTGTTCAGCAGCTTTGGGTGAAGTTCTGATGGTTCTCAGGATGAACTGATAGATTAGGCAGCAGGAACTCCCTTTTCTGTGGCCCCACAAGATACTAACAAAGAAAGCTTAATGATTGCATTGCTTAAATGTGCTCATGAAACCCAATTTCAAATTTGGGACTTCCAAAGGCTGACTCACACATACAATATGCGCAGTTCACACACCCATTGTTGAACCATAGACCCCCAGAAGCAAAGAGTAAAAGCACCAACCCTTTTCCTCGCTTTTTACCCCTGTTGAACTTAATTCCAGATGACCCACGATGCCCTTGACGCCCCTCTGCATATCCTTCGGGCCATGTACGAATTGCAAATGAAAAGGACTGATTCTTTCTTCCTGGAGGTCCAGAAGAGGTAAAGGAGTTCCCAAGGCTAGCTGGAAATGAGGAGCTGGGTGGGTGCATGTTGGAACAAAAGGACATGTTTTGAAGGCGTATGAGGCCGCCACCTTGCTCGAGCTGAGTACATCTGGGGTCTTGGCCAGTGCTTTGGGTGGGTGACTGTCTAGGAAGCACATGTCTGCCTTCTTGGGTTCCGTGATGGAAGAAAGGTGAGATAACAACATAAAAGGACAAATAAATAAAAGGGGGAAAGAGCATTATGGATACCACCTTTCCAGTAGTGGGATGGGGAAGAAGGGGTTGTTTTTGTGTGTGTTTTAATGAACTGTTATGAGGAAGAGTTGAGTACCTTTCTAAAGGACAGTATTTACCCAATGTAGTGCAGGGAATTACATTGTGCTGAGGAGCATTCCTCCTCTGAAGTGAGTCACCCAATGAGGCAGTCCAGGCGCAGGCCTTGCTGTCAGGTTCTTCCACTATAACAAGAGCAGCCAATGTGACCCACTCTAGATGTGTGTTGGACACCACCTCCCTTCGACCTAGGACCAGCTTAGGACCAGGTTGCTTGAGCAACCTCCTCATCCCTTACAGTCTCAGTAGCTCACTGCTTTCTCTCCTGCAAGTTCCAAAGGCCTCAGAAACCCACTTTGTGGCAACTTGGGAGCAGGGCTTTTAGCGTGGCTGCCCTGTTTCTGCGGAATAGCATTCCTGCCAAGGAATGCACTTTCTGGAAACAAGTGAAGATAATTTTGTTCCAACAGGCGTTCCCAGTGGGATAAAGGGGTCTTCACCATGAGTGCCCATTCTTTAGGGTTTTAGTTTTCGTATAAGTGCATTTGCCGTTTTTGTCCTTTTAAGCTGTTTTTGAATTACTTTGTTTGTAGATGATCTTGAGACAGTGGTTTAGATGGCGATTAATAAATTAAGTAGACTAATGATAATCCTGACCATTGGCCATGTTGGTAGCTGGGGATGCTGGGAGTTGGAGTCCATCATTATTTAGCGGGCAGCCTGTAGGCTTTCCCTGTGCTGTATACTCCTTCCCCTTGGAGAGCAGCTAAGTGGTAGGTTGGCTTCTTGCTGTCAGCCAACTCAGCTCTCCATGCCATTTGCATCTTGCAAATTAAAGCTGGGAGGCATTAAATACTTAACTGCTTTGCAATCAGCGTATTCAAGATTTCAGCAAACAAGAGCCTTCCAGGGGAAGTAGCATCGGGAATGTAAATGGAGAAGGCTTTTCATGCAAAGATCCTGTTTTTTTATTTACGTTTCTGGAATTTGACTGCAAAATGCTTGGGTGTGCCCTTAAAGGTTTGACGGTGATGTGGTGACAACGGATGAGAGGATCCGGACATTGGCTCAGAAATGGCAGCCCAGCAAGTGCTTGCGGTCAGAGGAGCAGATTTCCAAAGCGCTCGATACGGACATGATCATTGTGCCATGTCTGGTGAGTCTTCCATGTACGTCAGTGTACTAGGAGCACCTGACGTAATACACATAAAATAAAACATTTGGAAGTATTCAGGTGGGCAAATAGCAATGAATCCAGCATGTTCAAACTGCAGAATCCCAGGAACTGGGAGTATACAGAAGAAGGAAGAAGCAATACATAAATATTCAGTTTAGAAAGGTTCATAATGTCGACACCAAGAGTCACACGAGTCTCCAGTGGCAAATGAGTGTGGCTGATTCGGTGAAGTGTAGTGGTTAGACTAGGACACGGGAAGCCTCAATTTAACACCCCCCCAGCCAGGATGCTCAGTTGGGCTAAGAACTACTGTCCCTCATCCTCAGCTGCCTCACAGTAATGTAAGTTTCTAGTCCCTGATAGCTATGGAAAACAGCTGCCCCAAACTATGTGGGCTGCATCTGCCTAGGAAAGCCCCAGAGTGGTAAGTGGTGGATTTTGAAGTGAAATATAACCCCGAATCTCTGCAGCCTGCTCCTGTTTTACAGTCCAAGCCTGCCCCCTGCAACAAGGCCACAGAAGAATCCAACCCCATCACCCAGAAGCTCATCACCAACACGGAAAGCGACCTCCAGCTCAGCTACGCCAAGCAACGACGCACCAAGAGCTCCGTCCTCCTGCACAAGGAGCTGGACTCCAGGAGCAAGAAGGCCGTGCGCGGCTACCTCTACCGGGTCAACGATGCCACCGCCGTCCTTTACGCGAGGCACGCCCTGGCTTTGCTGTTGGCCAAGTGGCCCGACGACGTGGTGATCAGCGAGGAGATGCTGGAGCTCAGCGGTCCGGCTCACATGACGTACATCCTGGATATGCTTTTGCAGCTGGAGGAGAAACAGCTGTGCGAAAAGGTAGCAGTTTTTTCTGAGAGAAACACACACATACCCCTCCCTGGCATATTGAAAGATTGTGACTTTGGAAAGGGCTCTTTAAAACCTGCCAGAGAATACATTCAATCAGTTACAGTCCCTGCCCCACAGGCTTACACCCATGGCACACAATGGAAAAGGGACAGGGAGGGAAATCAAGCTGAGGAACCAGTTCTGAAAGGGCTGTTCTCATATTGACCAGCTGGCACCGTTTAAGGGTGGGAGGTGCCTGATGGAGCTGGTCTTTCAGCAAAGGAATGAGCCTTTTGCTCCTCATTCCCCACAGAGGCATCTTGAGGGAATGACTGCCCCCAGGTGCCAGTTGAGGGGAGAAGTCTGATGGGGCTGGCCTGTCTCAGCAGAGCTGATGGAGTGATGATGAAACCAGCTGTGCTGCATTTGCAAACCCGCCTTCGCCTTCTGAAGCCGCTTTAACTTGTGCTCTCTGCAGATTCTCCTGAAAGTGCTCCGCGGCTGCAACGAAAGCATGTTGGCGACGATGGCGTTGACGGCCTGTCAGTTCATGGAGGAGCCCGGGATGGCCGTCCAAGTGCGGGAGTCTAAGCACCCCTATAACAACAACACAAATTTTGAGGTACTCCCCCCCCCCAGCAGTCTGACATCACCTGTGTGAAATTACGATGATGGCCCCCCAAGAGCGGGGACGTGGGCAGGAGAGAGAAAATGGCCTTAATGGCTTTACTTACGAAGGCAGGTTTCCAAGTAGGACAGGCACAGGGAACCTTTTTTCGGCCACGTTCTCTTCTGGGCAAACTTCTGGGCAGGGGTGGGGCCACATGCCAGTGGTGGGCGCGGCCAGAGGCAAAAGTGGGCAGGGCAGCAAATGCCAGCTAGTGACTACACGCCCTCACACAACCCTCTCTGTCTCCACCCTTGCAAGCAAGAGACGTCATCAGAGTACAAGGACACATTCCATCCAGGCAAAAACCCTTAAGATGAGCAACACAGTCTTGGCTTTAGTTTCCCCATGTGCAAAACCTACCTTCTGAGGTGGGTTGGATGACTGAGATAATTTATGTGTAGGTGGAAACGAGATATGCTTGGAGGGTGGCATATGCACTGCAGTTTCTAAGGGAATTTTGCAAGTGGGTGCAACAACCTGTGGCTCCTTTGTGGGACGTGGGAAGGAGCCACACTGGGGCAGCTCCAAAGAGCAGCACTGGGAGGCAGAAGAGGTTTTTGTTGAATGGAAACTGCCTCCCCCCCTTTGGGCAAAGTGTGCTCCTACTAGCTATCAGCTGAGAGGTGGGTCTGAGTGTGCCTCACTCCAGCGAAGAAACCAGGAGCCCACCTTAACCTCTTGATTGCTCCTTTGAAGCCTTCCCCTTACCCACGCTGCACCTGACATATTGTGCGAAGACATTGTGGAGCAGGAGGTATGAGTTCCCCAGAATGGCCCGGCAGGCCAAATGAGGAGGCCCAAGTTTGCCCCACAGGCTACAGGAGCCTCCCACCCCTGGAGCCCACCCTTTTTCTCCGCCTGAGTCACTCTTACCTGTCTCAGCTCTCTTAATAATGCACCATGGAGACCTCCAGAGGAGTGAATCATGCCTGGGCAGAACAAGCAGAGTCCTCTTTAGAACATGGGTCGTTCTGGTGCATCTTAGCCGTGGGATGATTCAGCCACCCTCAGCGCAGAAATCCATATGGAGGAGAAGCTGGAGGAGTGAATTGTTCTGAAGAGCTGCAGAGAGCAGCCACCTCTTAGCGTTCCAGGCTCATCGGAGCCTTTCATTTTTAGCTTGTTTGCTGCGAGAACTAAACTAAGCTGGTTCTCACTTCCCAGCCTGCAGATTCAGGATATGAAACTTGAATCCATAGAATAGCATCTCCCTTTCGGTGTTTACCTTTCAACCAAGGTTCTTCTGTGCCCTCGGGTTTGTCACTCCAAACACCCACCCTGGCCGCCATTCTAATTTTGAGTCAGCCAGCGTTCTCTCTTGTTGGATTCCTTCCCGTTTTTGTTTACAGCGGTGGTTAGGAACCTTTCCCTCTCACCTGGGGCAGCTTTCTGGGGCCCTCGCCTCCAGTGATGGGCTGTGGCCCCAATTCCTCACATGCGCTCAGCTGTCTTTGTGGTGCGCGTTGGTCCTCTGTTAAGCTTGGCACCTGCTCTCTCCCGCAGGATAAGGTTCACATCCCTGGTGCTATATACCTCTCCGTCAAGTTTGATTCTCAGTGTAACACGGAAGAGGGCTGTGATGAGCTAGTTGTAGCCAGCAGCTGTGACTTCATCCACGATCGCCACACCTTCAGCGGGCCTCCGCACAAGTGGACAGACTTCGAGCTTCCAGGTAAAGTTTTGCAGCATTGTTGAGGGGAGGGAGACCCTTAGATAAGCTAGCAAACATAGCGCTGACACTCTCTGGTGATACTTAGATGCCAGAAACATTGATACAGCTTAAGAAGCAAAAGTCGTCTAGGTACTAAATGAAACTGGGCATACATGAACTGTGATGCTCAGATGAAGGGGCTCCTTCCACAGGGCGGGAGCAAGTCCCTCTAGAGCATAGTTTGAGACACTGGCAGTTTAACAGGAGCATCTTTTTCTCCGGTTGACAAATATTGTCAGTGGCCATCATATACTATAAAAAAGAGAGTTGGTTCTTGTCACCTCCCTGCACAGTCTGTTCCACTGCATTAACTTCTATGACAGCATCAGACCCCACACTTCCCCCTCCGTCCATCGTGAATGCAGAACAGACTCTCCAGTGGCGAGGCATCTCCAGTTTTGTAGCTGCCAGAAGAAAAAGAAATAGCCTTACTGGTCACTTGTTGGCTGTTCTCAGGGAATGGGGCCAGCAAGTGGGTTCAGTGATGTTATTTGAGAGACTATAGCTGAAACCTCCTGAAGGATGAATTGTATATTTTTATATACAATTATATATTATTTTATTTTATTATTTTATTTTATTACCTGCTCTTCGCTCCAAGAGTATGTTATGACATCAAAACAACATTAATAACAGTTTGTTTGTTTGTTTGTTTGTTTGTTTATTATTTAATAAAGGTAAACAAACAAATATACACTTGAGGTGTATATTTTTAGGGCCCACCATGTTTGTATTGGAGTGCCAGGTCATTCAAATACCTGAAAGGCTGCCTCCTTCCCTACAGACCCTCTCGGGTGCTCTTGGTAGTTCCTCTGGCCTCATTGTTGCCTCCAGCTGTGGAGGCAGAGCACAGCCATCATGGCTAGCAACCATCAATAGCCCTCTTCTCCTCCATGAATGTGTCCCATCCTCTTTTAAAGCCATTCAAATTGGTGGCCATCACTTCCTCCTGCTGGAGTGAGTTCCACAGTTTAACTTTCTCCCTTTCCCCTTTCTGAAGTGGGCTCAGTTTTGACCTAATTTCTTCTCCCCACCACCCCTTAGCTCTCATGTGCTTCGTTCTTTTAGCTTGGCAAAGAACAAAAAACACCATATGTCTTCTCCTGCGCTGTGAGTCATCGCTTCCTTAGCATCGTCGGGGAGAGGTTTATTAATGTAGAGAGAGTTCCATAAAATCCTGCCTTTGTTCAGAACATGTTGCCTGTCAAAAATATTTTTAAAAGATGCAGAAAACATGGCAACGTATTAGCGATTTGCTAATAGCAGACGTTTCAGCATCTGGGATCAGAATCCTGTTTTGTCTTGCAAATTACCTTTGAAAAAACAAACCGCTCCTCAGTGCAGAAATCTTTGAGCAATTTCCTTTGCAGCGCAGAATTCTGAAAAGTCGAGATGGTTTTAGGGTTGTGTTTGAGGTGTGTTCAGTACTTGCTCAGCTATAAAACCCTTTAGGCCATGACATTTTTCTTATTCTAACTTTTTTTGAAAAATGAGATGCTGTTGCTCCATGTAACACACAGGATACTGCCAGGAATCAGAAAAACAGTGAAACACAAACATGCAGCTTAGCCTCAAAACTGCCCCTGCCCCTTTGCTTATAGTGTGCGTTTTGAGCGAGATTGTCTGTGTCCCTGGTTAAGAGAACGCTTTCCTTTGCTCTTGTAACAGGGGATACTCTCTACTATCGATTCACCACGGACATGAGCAACACAGAATGGGGTTATAAGTTTACAGTGACAGCAGGTCATCTGGGGAGGTTCCAGACAGGTAAGTGCTTTTCAGAGCCAGGAGTCAAAGATCGTCGTAGTCTCGCTTTCCTTGTGACGGGTCAGGGATCTTGGAGCAAAGCCTGTTGTCTTTTCTTTCTCAAGATAACACTGGGCAGTGGAGAGAGGGGACAATAACCCAAGAAGGTGTTAACGCAGTATGGGTGTCTCTTCCTTGCAGAGCGCAAAAGCTTGATGTCAGAATGGTGTTTGAAATAAAACATTACGATTCATGCAAACGGGAGCATTCATTGATAAGAACCTAAGAAGATCATGCAGGGTCAGGCTAGTGGCCCACCTTGCCCAACATCCTGTTCTTGCATCAGCCAGCCAGATGCCTCAATGGGAAACCCAGAAGCAGGACCCGAGCACGAGAGCGTTCTCCCCTCCTGCGGTTTCCTGCAACCGGTATTCAGAAGCTGTGGAGGCAGAGCATAGACGTCGTAGCTAGTAGGCGGCAGCAGCCTTCTCTGCCATGAATTCCATAAGAGTTCACTGTCCTATGTGCCACCTGGGGCAAAAACTTGAGGGAGGGCAGTTTACAATATCTTAACTCAGAGCTGGGAAACCTATGACCCTCCTGATGTTCCTGGGTTCCAGCTGCCATTAGCCCCAACCAGCATGGCTAAAGGTCAGGGAGGATGATGGGTCCAGCATCAACCAGAAGCTACATGTCCCCCCCTCGTTGCCCTTAATAAATCAACTGTTATTTACTAGCTGCCTTTGCTTATTGGTCTGCTCTTTCGATTTCCGCCTTTTTAATTGTTGGTTGGTTTTATATAGTTCTATGCACGAGCGTAAGGACGCGGGTGGCGCTGTGGGTTAAACCACAGAGCCTAGGACTTGCCGATCAGAAGGTCGGCGGTTCGAATCCCCGCGACAGGGTGAGCTCCCGTTACTCGATCCCTGCTCCTGCCAACCTAGCAATTCAAAAGCACAACAAAGTGCAAGTAGATAAATAGGTACTGCTCCGGCAGGAAGGTAAATGGCGTTTCCGTGCGCTGCTCTGGTCCTGCTGGCCACATGACCCGGCGGCTCCCTCGGCCAATAAAGCGAGATGAGCACCGCAACCCCAGAGTCAGGCACAACTGGACCTAACGGTCAGGGATCCCTTTACCATACACGAGCGTGGTTGAAAACATTGAGGCCAGTCTTTGCCTACTTGGCTTATTCCAGATGTTTTTGGATTACAGCTCCCATCAGCGCCCAGCTTCGTACAGCCAAGCTGGCTAGGACTGATGGGAGTTGTAGCCCAAAACATCTGAAGAGAAGGCTGGTTTAGACAAAAAGTACCTGCGTCAGGGTTAAGAGTAAGAAGTTTCTTCTATTACGGGACAGGTGATACAACCTGTTCTGAGGCTAGCTTTACTAAATATGTTTATAGAGGACTTTCTGTTTCAGGAACTACTAAAGCTTTTCCATATCTGCAGCTAGAAATCTCTTGACGCTATACTGTATTGGGAAGCAGCTACTAACTCAACTCTAGCGTCACAGTAGAGTTAGGCTATACAGTAGGGACATCGCTCTTGCAGAAAAGCATAGGAAGCTCTAAGAAACACAAAGACCTAAAAAACAAAACAAAACAAAAACCACCACCTGATTTTGAAACTGTAAGGTCCGTGTTTATTCAGTTCACTGGAAATGGTTGTTATCCTCGTTATCCATGGCTCGCTTCAGGACAGTCTGTTAAGACAAGAGACTAAAAGAGACCGGCTCTAAACAACTGTACGACCTGCTTAGCATTTGACTGTGTCATTTACACCGAGGAGAAGGAACACATCTTATCGGACAAGCAGAATGGCACTATGGAGTATGCAATGTACGTATTTTGAATTCCAGGCTTCGAGATCCTGAAGCAGATGCTGTCGGAGGAAAGGGTCATCCCCCACATCCCATTGGCCAAAATCTGGGAGTGGCAGGTGGGCGTGGCCTGCAGGCAAACTGGCCACCAGCGACTGAAGGCCATCCACCTGCTCCTTAGGATAGTCCAGTGCTGCAGCGAGAGGTATGCCTGCCAGTCTCAGCTTTGCTTTTCCCCACTAAGCTTCCAGTCCTCATGAAAAGCAAAAAAATAAAATAAAAACATGAATCCCCCCCATCCCCACCACAAAGATAGCAATGTTTTCGTGTCTCGTGATTTCTTTTGAAATATTATTTCATGATTCCGAAGGCGGCTCTTTTAATCTGAGATCTGCTTCCCCTGCCTGATGTGCAGAAAGATGGGCTTGGCCGGTGATAAAGGCAAAAGAAATGTCATTCGAAACGGGTTTGAGCCACAAATGGCTGTGTTGGTGCTCCTTCTCTCCCTAAGCTCTAGCCCATTTTCCACAGAACTTGGCCATTGGAGGCCTGGTCTACCCACAATGTTTGGGAAATCTAATACTGTGCAAGGAAGTGGTGGGATGTGGTTTATCATGCAAATGCCTCTGCTTTTAAAATCAGCGGCCAGAAGAGTCATTCTGTAAGCCAGATAATACTGGGATATATTCAAGGTCCTCATACAAAGCACCTGCTTTTATTATTTGCTTATTTAGAGCACTTGTTTCCCCCGCACTTCAGCCAGAAAAGCTCCCAGAGTGGCTTACATACGATCAATGCAGTCCCTGCCCTGCAGGCCCACAGTCTAAAAAATACAAATAAGTTCCTTCCCAGCTCTCCCACTTGAACTAAGACAGGATGTAACTTACAAATCTAGCTCAGTGCCATCTACCTGTCCCGGTAGATGCTCACCAAGGTTTTTCTCAGTCCTGCTGTATGGAATCCTTTAATTCGCAGCTGGTCAACTTGTGGCCCTGGAACAGTTTATTGCCTCCCAACTTCATTTTATGTGACCTCCTGAAGCTGCCCCAATCTTCCACCTCATCAGACTTCCACCCTTACTGTCTAATTACTCCCCTTTCCCACCTCTGGATTTGTGTGTGCGTGTGCTGCACCAAAGTCACAAAGGAATTGCTCTCATTAGATTTCTAGAACATCTGAGTCAACCTGCTTAGGGAACTCAAATCAGAGGTGCCCATGTTGAAAATTGGAAGTAGAGCAGCCTTTGTTTTGGACTTGTTAATCTCCAGCTCTGCCCACCACCAGCTTGTGTTAGACCATGGAGAACTGGTTTCAAATCCATACTCAGCCATAAAACATACTGGGTGACCTCGTGCCAGTTTCTACCTAACCTATCCCACAGGGTTGTTCTGAATGTTAAACCTGGGGTGGGTGTGGGAGCATGAAACCACCTACCCTCCCCTGAGCTCCTTGGTAGAAAGGCAAAGTAAAACAAAATAAAAATACATGAATATATTCCAATCAGGAGCTTGAGAAATCACACTTAGGGAAGGTGGCAGCTCCTATTTAAACTATGGAACTCCCTCCCACAGGAGGCAGCGATGGCCACTCACTTGGATGGCTTTAAAGAGGATTGGACAATTTCATGGCTGCCGATGGCTGTCAGCCATGATGTCTCTGCTCTGCCTCCACAGTTGCAGGCAGCAGTGCTTCTGAATACCAGCTGCTGGAAACCACGGGGCCTCTTGTTTTCGAATCCCACCGGCCACTGTGAGAGCAGGATGCTGGACTAGATGGGCTGCTGGCCTGATCCAGCGGGCACTTACGTTATGTAGTTAGAAAGTGAAGAGGGCTTTTGCAATCAGACTGGGACTGAGGACAGCTGTTCTTCAGAGTGGCAGCCCTTTTGTGTTAACTCAACCCTCCTCTTTCTTTCAGGGACTGTGACCTCACTCTGCTGAAGCCGCTCTGGCACCTCTTCAGCCGCATGGAGAACAGCATGCGCCACGATGTGACCAAGTCGGGCATCCTCCTCCCGCTGCACCGGGCGCTGACCGAGCTTTTCTTTGTCACCGAGAGCAGAGTTGCCGTAAGCACTTCTGTCTTCTCCCTTGTGCTGGGAACAGCTGCCAAGCCATCAGATTAGACCAGTGATGGCCAAACTTGGCCTTCCAGCCGCTTTGGAACTACAATTCCCATCATCCCTGATCACTGGTCCTGTTAGCTAGGGATGATGGGAGTTGTAGTCCCAAAACAGCTGGAGGGCCAAGTTTGGCCATCACTGGATTAGACTGTTCTTCCTCTTTCCTCTTCCTCCCCTTCACTTTTGTTTTACTTAAGAAAAACCAGGGCTTTATCGGGTACAGATCGCTATCAGACTGAAATTAGTCATGCTCTTTTCCCACCAGTTGTAATGGAACGATGACTTTGCTTGTAGGGGGCTCCTGTTTTAACGCTGTTCTCAAAGCATGTTTGAAAAGGGCACTCTGGTCCTGTTGATGCATCTTGCAATTCAGGATCAGTTTGTAGTCCCTCCCTCCCCTCCCTCCCAAACCCACCCCCCAAGCGTACCTTTGAAATGACGTTACAAAACTTGTTCTGTATGTTGGGATCCCTGGGTGAGTTAGTTTATTTCCCTCATGCAATGCCGTTATGAAAACACACTCGCTGCGAAAGCTTGTTCCTGGATTTTGCTCCTAGCTCTCATTCACACTCTCTGCTTTTAGGAACTTGGATCTCTGCAGGATTACTTGCTTGCCTTAAATACGGAAGACCATCTCCACCGCTGTACAGCGCAGGTAAAACCTCCAGGAGCCCCTGCTGATCTCCCCTCCTGTCCCCAAACTTCTTCTTCAGCAGAGGCTGCTTTTCTGACGGGTTTGCCTTAATTGCTGTGCCCTGGAGACTCCTGAGACAAAAGAGCAGAGCTTTGGGTTTGGGCAAGGGAGAGGCATTCCACAGGCAGACAGAAAGTATTAGGAATGGGGAGGGGTGAAGCTCTTGGGAGCATTTTAATTGGGCATCGTTCTTATAAGACACAGGAGGCTCTTGTCTCCTCTGAGATAATTCACATTATTTTACCAAAAGAAGACAAATTTAGAAACTCAAAAGTCAGCTGCACCATGAGAATAAACAGTTGGACATGTGACGTGACTTCTAAATCTGAAGCAGATTTAGTTTGAGTCCGACTGGACAGGGGTCGGGGTGGGACTGTTCTCCTAGTCCCAGATGACGTTGGGCTCCCAACTCCCATCAGCCCCAGTTGGCATGGCCACAGTGGACCCTGGGGGTAATAGAAGTTGTAGGCCAGCAACATCTGTAGGGTCCCCCTGTCCCCGATACAAGTGGAAGCCTGTTGGGATGTGCCCATCTGGTCCAGCATCTGGTTTCCTGTGGTTCCCAGAATCCTCTGGGAGGTTCATAAAAAGGGCATAAAGTCAATCTCCTTTTCTTCTTGTTTGCCTCACTCTCCCACCTGCTATTTTGGGGGTATGCTCCCCAAACCTTCTGCTTCCATTTAGCTTGAGGTGTGCATTACCTCAGTATTTTGTGCCCTGTGCCCAGATGAAACATATGATGGCCCTCTCTAGGCAACACTGCTGCCCCTTCGTCAACAAAGTTATGACTTCCCAGGCAAAAATCCTTTTTTTTAGAACGGGTGCCATGAAATTGGAGAGGGGGCGGGATAGGGAAGTGCTCTCTCTCCCACTGTCCTCGCAAGACTATTTTGCGTGCTTGGTGATTACCTTGAGCTTTGCACCTGCCATTGCCCTTGAGGCCCTGTGATTGGCGGTGGGCACAGGCAGAGTGCCCCAGTGTTGCTCGCAAAGCAGAAAAGTGTTATTCAAGCAGAAAGGCTGTGCTGTGCCTCCATGGCTGGAAGCAGTAACTGCTTCTGAATACCAGTTGCCAGAAGCCACAGGTTGGGAGAGGGCTGCTCTTGTGCTCCGGTCCCGATTGCAAGCTTCCCATTGGGGCATCTGGTTGGCCACTGTGAGAACAGGGTGCTGGACTAGATGGCCCATTGGTCTGAACCATCAGGGCTTTTCTTATGCTCTTAGGATCATAAAACAGTAGAATTGGATGGGGACTCCAAGGATCCTGCAATGCAGGAATCACAGGTAAAGGAATCCCTGACAGGTGGCCATCCAACCTCTGCCTAAAAACCTCCAAGGAGGGAGAGTCTACTGTCGTCTGTGGGAGCCCATTCCAATCTCAAATAGCTCATACCATTAGAAAGTTCTTCCTAATGTTTAGTTACAATCTCCTTTCTTGTACAGTGGTACCTCGGGTTAAGTACTTAATTCGTTCCAGAGGTCCGTTCTTAACCTGAAACTGTTCTTAACCTGAAGCACCACTTTAGCTAATGGGGCCTCCCGCCACCGGAGCACGATTCTGTTCTCATCCTGAAGCAAAGTTCTTAACCTGAAGCACTATTTCTGGGTTAGCGGAGTCTGTAACCTGAAGCGTCTGTAACCTGAGGTACCACTGTATTTGAATCTATTGGTTCAGATCCTGCTTTCCGGAGCAGCAAAAGGGAAGCTGGCTCCATCTTCCATGTAACAGCCCTTCAGGTATCTGAAAACGGCTCTCATATCGTATCCCAGTCTCCTCTTCTCCGGAGAAATCTCCTTGAATGGGAATATGCTGAACCTCAGCAAGCCTTGATGCTCAACTCTCCCTTTCTTTCCCAAACAGGCCCTGAAAAACATTGCTGCTCTTAGCCTTGCCATTAACTACCCCAACAAATCGACGAGCCCCTGGAACGTTTAACCACAAGCTCTTTTCCGGCTCGGAGCGGGGATGGTCCTTGCCCGTAGGAACCGTGGGGGCGAGCGTCCTTCGCCTGGTGCGGGTACCAGAGAAAGGAAAAGGGGGGTCCCTTCTGCTTCCGTTTATGTGCACTCCGCGGGCAGCCAGCCAGCCAGTCAGTCAACTTTCCGCCCCGATGTAGATTCTGTAAAAGCAAAAGGGGCACTTCCAAGGAAAAAAGGGGCACTCTCTCTCTCTGGAGCACCTTTGCGCGTCACCTCGAGTTATGTATGCACTTCTATTGTAGCATGTCTGTGGAACAGTATTTACTTTCTCTGAATTTTGGAAGAATGATATGGGGGGAGCAAGAGGGAACGAAGACCTCCCCCAAAGGAAGAGATGCCAGGCCTTCTTCTGGCTACCACCCCACCCTCTTGCCATCTCCCCACCGCCACCACTCGCCCCTCCTTGTATAAGCTGAACAAGGAACTGAAATGGACTGGTCGAAGCGTCATTTCAAACTCAAAAGCGGGTCTGGCCCATGATAACAGGATTGGCCAAGGAAGCAATGGAGGAATCTGGAAGTACAGCGAGGCTGAAAGAATCCTCAAGGCTGCTGCTTTGGGGTTTTTCCCCCCTCCTCTCTGAAAAGCTGGCTGCAACCCCAGCCGAGGGAAGAGGAGGAGGAGGAATCTGGAGGAGACCCTTGGTGAGAGACGGTGACACTCCTGCTTTTCCGCTAGATGCTGTCATGCTGCTGGCAGCCACGGCTTCTTGCCTGTGACGTAGAAGTTGTGGCCTGGATGTTGTCCCGGTTGCTCTGTGAGGAGTCACGATTAAAGGGGCAGGCGCTTCTTCCAAGATGGCATCTGGAAGGGGGGCGGAGGCAGACGGTGGGGGTTCTCTTCCCCTCCACTCTGAATGCTGGCAGTGCAGGATGTGTCCACCTCTTGAGCGATGAGCGAATTAACCCGCCTGGCTTCACACAGCAATAACCACACAGTTCCTCCTGAATGTGGAATGCACAGGGAAAACCTCTTGGGTGAAATAAATGGGCTTTAATCTCTTGTCCTGGGAGGGGGAGCTGGGGTGAAGGAGTTGCTTCTCCCCTCCAAGGGCAAACTTGCATGAAAAGCAAGGTGCTTGTGTGTGGCAGGAAGAAAAGGGTGTTGCACATTTGCCCCCAAGTCGCTAGCTTTATTTTTTAAATTTCCTTTGCCCTCTGCCATGCTGGCGAGAGACCTCTCTCCTCTGCTTCGATGTCTGTTTCTGGAGTTTCTGAGGAACAGTGCAGCTGGGTGAGCAGGAATAGCAAGGTAGCCAGCCCTGTTTGTCAAGGGGACACTCTGCCCAAAAAGCATTGCCTCTCCCCAAGGGCAGAAAGCGCACCACGGGGGAAAAACCCCATGCTGTAGTTTTCGTGACAATATTTTAAGGCGGCGGCAGGTTTCTCCTTGACTTCATTGAGTGAAAGGAAGGTGATTGCGGCAGTGGCTGGAGAGGCAATGAGAAGGAAAGGATTGTTCTGGGATGAGCCTGTATTTAAAGGCTGGAGGAATGTGGCTCGGAAAAGGGGCAAGAAGAACCTTGCTGGCTTGAGATGCTGCAAAAGATGGTGCTTGGGCAGGACACGCTCCCTGAGAATGGGAAGACACAGCTGCAGGAAGTCTTCCCTTCGACAGCGGGAGCTCTGCTTCGGGGTCCTCCAGGTGTTTTTTGACTACAACTCCCATCATCCTGGACCATCCACCTTGCTGGGTTGGGGCCGAGTCCAACAATACGTGTTGGGCCACAGCTTTCTCCCATTCCAGGGTGGATCTTTGCTCAAAGCGCATTATCTCTCATGTACACAACCCACCATATCAGGGTTGGGGTTTTTGTTTTGCTTTAGGAAAGGTGGCGCTTTGGGCAGCTTTCCCCCCCAACTGTGTGTCGTCTTGCTAAGCATATCAGGGGTGCGTCAGGGTCAGCTACCGCAAAATGGCAGGGATCTTGTGGAGCTCACCCTGGCTGCATCCAAAGAGATTCACAGGGATCACTTTTCGTGAAACGTTTTTGACCTCTGAGGATGTCAGTTGCAGGGGGAGCGACTTGTTGGAAAGGTACTGGGATTCTTCAGAGACGCAACGGCTGGAATCTCCACTCCTCTTTCCTTTTTATTTCTCTCTCCCCCTGCTCCCTTTCAACAACACCCCCCCCCCAAAAAAAGACCTATTCTGCAGAGTCGTGGTATGTACAAAAGGCTTCTCATTGTTTCTGTCATGGCTACTGTCCTCACTTCCATTTCTGATTGGCTGATAGGTTTCCATGTGGCCTATAAAAAGCAAATGGATTGGATGGGACTGGCCCCTGTACAGTCCTTGTTCTCTACATCCAATGAGGGGGTTTTGAGCCAGTAAAGAGCACCTTGCATTTCAACCCCGCTTCTTTCTGGAACTTCCTATTCCAGTGACGAAGATGACTTCTGCCATTGCCTTACATTGGCTGCTCTTCACATTTTTCTGCCCCACACCTCAAATATTTTAAAAAAAATAAAATAAAGATATTTATGAGCTTCCTTTTTACTAGAACAGCAGTGTGAAGAGGCAGGTTATGAATTGAACTAAAGTATTTTAACATCCCAGTTCCTCAGAAATCCTTAGGAAAATGCAAAATCCCAGATTTGAGGGAGGGAGGGGGAAGAGAATAAATTGTGCCTATAACAATTATTGTGTGTGTCGAATTGCATCTTGTTAAGAAACCACCAACATTCAAACATAGCTCTCTCTTTTTTTTTTTTACATAAACATTTGAAATGGGTGGTTGTTAATTTTCCTTTGTTTTGTTTTATTTTGGCGTCATGAAATCTAATCACTTATGGAGGGGGGCCCTCCGGTTTTGGTTTAACATTATTAAAAGCAACCCCTTAGATTTATTCTTGTTTGGTTTAATGTGTATTTTAAGGAAAAGAAGATATAGATGCAGTGGATATATGCAAATGGAGAGATATATTGTAAAAAAAAAATCTATTAAAAATGGAAGTACAAGGATATGCCTGTTTATGTGTGTGGTTATTTTGCTGGGGGTGGAGCCATAGTTGATGCTGTTCTGCAAAGTTGGCAGTTTGGATTTTGGAGCTTTGATTGCAACTCCTGCAGAGACGGGGTGTGTGTGTGTGGAGAGCGCAGAAATCACATAGTATTATAGGATGCAATGGGACACCAAGGGTCACCTAGCCCAACCCTCCTGCTGCAGCTAAGGAATCCCTGACAGTTGATCACCCAACCTCTGTTTAAACACCTCCAACGAAGGAGAGAGCTCAGCACCTTCTTAGGTCATCCCTTCCACTGTGAAACAGCTCTTAGCGCCAGAAAGTTATTCCTAACCATATCTATATATCCCACTAGGAGCTCCCCAAAGATCTCCTTTCTCAGGCTCCCCTAACCCTAGCTTAGAAACCTTTCCAACCCACCAGATCCCTGCCTGGGGCCAACCACTCCTCTGGCCAGGCCAGCACCCCCACTTGGCCCGTGACTAATTCTTGATCCAGCGCTGCAGCTGAAAAAGTTCCCCCACTCCAGTCCCTTCTGAGTGGCGAAACATCCCCCACAAGAGGGTGATCTGCATCTCCGACAACCTGATCCTTATTAAGTGGAAATGTCACATATGGAAGAACTGGTCAGGGGATCTTTGCAGTATCATTGATGTTCTGTCATGTGTTTTTAATGTGCACTGCCCCAGGATCTTCCAATAAAGAGTAGTATATAAATTTAATAATGATAAAATTATATATGGTGTGTGTGTGTGTGTGTGTGTGCGCGCGCGCACACACACACACACACACATGTGCTTTAGGTTATGGCCTTTCGTGGGCTCCTGTTTGCCAGTGAGCCACTTCTGCTGATTCAGCTCTCCTCCGCCGGATTTCAAAGTAGTAGATTCCCCTCTCTCAGATCTCACCTGTTCTTGCCATCCCTTAAATCCCCTTTCTCTGCCCACAACCCTCACCTTATGCTGCGTTCTATAAAATGACTCTGGACTACAGTTCTTCTGAATATAGAACCTGGGGTGGTATTCAACGCTAGTCCTACAGAGAGTGTGAGAGAGTCGATGGATAGACCGTTAGCTACCTTATACTGAGATCATTGAGCTCAGTATTGTCTACACTGACTGGCAGCAGCTCTGCAGCATTTCAGACCAGGATCTGGCCTTGTCCTGCCTGGAAATGCTGAGAACTGAACCTTGGAAGACCTCCTGCATGCACGGCAGATATTAACATGACCTTACAGGTTTGGCAATTTCAATGGATTGACTTGAGTAGGAATTGGTTGAATGCGACAGCCTGTGCCTGTCCCTCAACCCCAAAGCTTGCACTGCACTTTTCATTCTCTCCATGGAGTCAATGTTGCGCTTGGTTTTCAAATGCAGTGCCACCGAATCACAGAATCATAGAATTGGAAGTTTCCGCAAGGGTCGTCCAGTCCAACCTCCTGCAATGCAGGGATCTTTTGCCCAGCATGGGGCTTGAACCCACAACCCTGGGGCTCAGAGTCTCACACTCTACTGGCTTGGTCTCTGTCCAGACTGGCTAAGCCTTTCCCTTCTTCTCTGTGGTCTCTCTCCCTCTCCCCCTCACAGCTAAGACACCAAGCCTGGTTGCTGAAAGGCTGCTATCTGTGTTAGCATAGCAACGAGCTCTCACGAATCTGACAGCAGCCCACTGCCGCTGGTACGTTTCGGAGCCAGCTTCTCTCAAGCCACCTGCGGTACTTGACCCTCCACGCTGCCCTGCCATCCAGGTGCGGATCTACCTTACTCCATCGTCTGCGTTTGTCCACAAGTGGGGCTGCCCCAGTTCTGGGTGGGGTTTCAAAGGCATGAATGGAACTTCACTTAACTCTCTTGCTGAGCCTGTGTGTGTGTGATGTGAAACTTTAATATTTGTTTGCATTTATATAAGGGACGCGGCTGGTGCTGTGGGTTAAACCACTGAGCCTAGGACTTGCCGATCAGAAGGTTGGCAGTTCGAATCCCCGCAACGGGGTGAGCTCCCGTTGTTCGGTCCCTGCTCCTGCCAACCTAGCAGTTCGAAAGCATGTCAAAGTGCAAGTAGATAAATAGGTACCACTCCGGCAGGAAGGTAAACGGCATTTCCGTGCACTGCTCTGCTTCGCCAGAAGCGGCTTAGTCATGCTGGCCACATGACCCAGAAGCTGGACGCTGGCTCCCTCAGCCAATAAAGCGAGATGAGCGCCGCAACCACAGAGTCGGTCACGACTGGACCTAATGGTCAGGGGCCCCTTTACCTTTACCTTATACCCCACCTTTTCCTCCAAGAAGCCCAAGGCGGCATGCATGGTTCTCCCCATACTTCTCTTCACCCAAAACATTGAATCCTCATCTAAGGCTCATGGGGAAGAAAGCTACTGATGGCTACTTGCTGTGATGGCTCTGCTCTGCCTCTACAACTGAAGGCAGGGATGCTTCTGAATTCCAGTTGCTGGAAGCCACAGGAAGGGGAGTCATATATATATATATATATATATATATATATATATATATATATATAAATATAAATATATATATGTTTTTTAACATACTATTTTCAACAGTGATTAAACATACTTTTACATCTTATTCAATTTTTTTGACTTCCATCAGTCCTGTCTGAAAATTTTCCAATCTAATCTCTGAGTATGCATTTCTTATTTTCCCTATTACATTTCAACCTCATAACCAAAATCTCTTATCTTTTTCTACTTTGTAACACTTCGTATATTTCTCCTTACAAAACTCCTTGTAGTCCTACTAGCGTAATTTGTTGATTACAGTTGCTCTTCAGATAATTCATATACTTCTTCCAATCTTCTGTAAATCTCTGGTCCTGCAGGTTTCAAATCCTTCCTGTCATTTTGTCCAATTCTGCATAGTCCATTAATTTCATCTGCCATTCTTCTTTTGTCGGAATTTCTGTGCTTGGGTCCTTCTGGTGGGTTTGCCACTGGGGCACCTGATTGGCCACTGTGAGAACAGGATGCTGGCCTTGATGGGGCCATGGGCCTGATCCTGCAGACTCTTCTTAGGTTAACCCCTTTTTAGGCCAGTCTGAGAGGCAGTTACTGCCCGAAGGCCACCCATTGAGCTTCATGGCCTAGTGGGGGGTTTGAACCTGGGTCTCTGAGCTCTTTGGCAGAAGGAGAGCCTGCTGGATCAGTCCAGTGGCTCATCTAGTCCAGCAGTCTGATCTCCCCAGCCCCCTTCAATGCATCCCTGCTCATCAGTCTGTTTTTTTGAGGCAGAGAAAGGTGAAGGATGCTCCTGCCTGTTCCCTGCTGAACTCCTGCGATCTGAACACAAGGTTTGGTGGAGCCATTCCCCCACCTGCAGGGCTGCTGTCCTGGGTGAAGGTCCCCAGCTGCAGAATAGAAGCAGCTGTTCTCTCCTGAGCCCCATCTGCTGCTGTGTGTTTCCTGGAGCAATGGTGGCTTTTGCGAACGCCGTTTCTTTAAAAGTCGTTTTCAGATTAGCCTCCCTCAGCTTGAAGTGCCTGAGCTGAAACTACCTGTGTTTGTTAAACCAGGAGGCAGCGAGTGACTGGTTCCTTATTTGATCCTGCAGAAAAAGAACGACTTCTTTCATAGGTTTATAGGGGAGCCAGCTCAGGAGCATCCCAGACCCAGAGATTGCAGGGCCCAAACCTGAGACTCGGTGCTTCTTCGTCTGTGCTCCCTCCCATCACTGAGCCCTGGAGAACAAGGTTAACTGGAAGAGGAAAGGCAGGAGCAGAGGAGGACCAACCTGGATAGCTCAACTGGTTAGAGTGCAGTGTTGATAATGCCAAGGTTGCAGGTTTGATCCCTGGATGGGACAACTGCATATTCCTGGACGACCCCAGGGTCCCTTCCAACTCTACAATTCTATTATTCTATGACAGGCATAGGCAAACTCTGCCCTCCAGATGTTCTGGAACTACAATTCCCATCATCCCTAACCACTGGTCCTGTTAGCTAGGGATCATGAGAGTTGTAGTCCCAAAACATCTGGAGGGCTGAGTTTGCCTTTGACCTCCCCAGAGATTCTATGTAGTTATTTGCAGCTGGCTCCTGCCAGGCAGAAACTTGCAAGTTGCAAGTCTCACCCACTTGGTGATTCAAGCCTCTGTCTGCCACCTGGAGGGGCCAAGTAAACCCAAAGACTTCAGGCCAGCCCTGGAAGTCTGGCAACCCCGCACAGGACAGATTTCTCTGATTTCTGTTCTAATCTGATTGACTCCAGCTCCCATAGTCCATTAGCTTGTGAGAGCTGAGAGTCCAACAACACCTGGAGGGCTCCCTGTGTGTGATGCAGATGCAAATAAGGAGAGGCTGTGTGGTGTAGTGGTTAGAGTGTTGGACTAGGACCTGGGAGACCAGGGTTCAAATCCCCACTCAGCCATGAAGATCACTGGGTGACCTTGGAGTCAGTCTCTGCCTCTCAGCCTAGTCCAGCATGCTGTTCTCACAGTGGCCAACCAGATGAAGTCCTTGGACGTAAAGGAGGGATATGAATGCAAGAAATAATCATTAAAATGGGACATTTGTGTCCCTGGTGCTTCCCATTCCCCTGCCAAAAATGGAATGAACTCGGTTGACAACAGCAAAGTCAAGTCCCCTCCAACCTTTGCTGCCAGATGATTCCGATGTCTTGAAATAATTGATTTGACCTAAATGCTCCTTGTTTCGTTTTTTGGGCTAGTTGCCAGGTTCCTACAGGAAGTACTACTTGGAAAGGGAAGATATCTGAGAAGCAGATTCAGATGGGCTCAATGCGGAAGTTCTGCTAAGCCAAGTATTCTGTGTGTGCCACTGTCACCTCTCCAGCATTTGCACGGGGGAGGGGAAGGAAAAGGGATACCCTCCCCACTTTGAATGGGAAGGGGTGGGGAATTCTCAAACTGGGCTGACACCAAGACTTGTGTGCTTTCAGAAACAAGAAACATCTTGACCACTGTGGTTCGTGTGTTGGTAACCTTGAGCTATTATGCAGCCATTGCACTGATGAGGCAGGATTCTTCTTGGGTTCTTAGGCTCACTGCAGAGCTCAGCCAACTATCCACAATCAGTGAGATTGCGGATAGTTGAACTGCTGGCTTTGGATGTGTGTGTGTGTGTGTGTGTGGGTGGGTGTGTATCAGGCAACCTTTTCAGCACAGCTTTTTTAAATCAAGGACTCAGGACTTCCTGCTCAAAGAGACTTGTCTGGAAATGCCCTGGTGTCCAAGGCAAGCTCTGCCTGTGCTCCTTTGGGCCCGGCAAGACTTCAAACAATGCCACATTGTTTTTGCGAGGCCACCGAGAATAAAGCACCAGCCGTCCCGCCGGGCCAGCCTAGTTCCTGTGGAAACTGCGAGGTCAGACTGATTTACGATTTGTTTAGGTGGTCCTTGAGTTGTTTTGTCGGCGGGGGAGGGAATTGTACCAAAGTGGAACATTTATGACGGGCAACAATATCCTGTAGGAATAATGTCCAGCGTTGTGATTTTCAAGCAGCGTCCCATCTGCCACCAGAAACAGTTTAAATTCAATAATTAAAGTCCAAACTACTTGGAGGACGAGGCTTCATGTTGTCTTTCTGTATGAATCCCTGTTCTGAATAAGCCTTTTTCTAATATGAAGGGACATGCGCAGCAGTGACTCATTCAAAAACACAGGAAGTGGACCCTAGATAGGATCGCCCCAGAATTGTATACTTGGAAGTGATTACTGAGGGTAATTTAGGAATCTCAACTAAATCATCCCTGACAGATGGCCAACCAACCTCTGTGTTATGTACTGAGTTGAATAGGATTCAGAATGCAGCAGTCTGATTGGTCCTAGAACATCAGGACCCAGAATGCAACAGTCTGATTGGTCCTAGAACAATAGGACCCAGAATGCAGCAGTCTAATTGGTCCACAGAAGCCACCCAATCCAGCTCTAGGTGGAAGTGAATCCACAACCTGATTGGCCCACAGGAGAATCCCGGAATTAGCCAATCACGTGGGGCCCATTGTGTAAATAATGTATATAAAGCAGACATTCTGGGGGAACTTCCATTCCTCCTCACAACTATGAGCTGAATAAAGAGCATGAAATCCACTCTCGACTGAGTATATTTCACTCTGCTTATGTCAACCTGGTCAACTTCCTCTGAATGTTGCCATTTTAAAACAGAGGGGAAAGGGTTAGCCAGCTATCAGCAGGTTGTGAAATGCCAGTTGAGGGCAGGGATAAAGAGTCTGTAGCACTGGAGAAAACTCCAGGGCAGTGGGTACTTCGGCACCCACAATAATATATTTGTGGAGGCTGGGCAAAGTTGAAGCCCTTTGTTGTGGGCACCCGCAATCTTCGGCACGAGATGGCACCTATGAGTAGCCACCCTCTAGAGATGTTGCTGGGGTCAACCCCCCATCAGACCCAGCCAGTGGGGCCATCAAAGAGGGATACTGGGAGCTGGAGTCCACCAGCACCTCCTGCATCATTGGTCTAGGACAGGGGTCAGCAATCTTTTTCAGCCATGGGCCAGTCCACTGTCCCTCAGACCTTGGGGGGGGGGAGGGCTGGACTATATTTTGTAAAAAAAATAATGAACAAATTCCTATGCCCCACAAATAACCCAGAGATGCATTTTAAATAAAAGGACACATTCTACTCATGTAAAAACACACTGATTTCCGGACTGTCACACGGGCCGGATCTGGCCCCTGGGCCTTAGTTTGCCTACCCATCATCCAGCTAGGATGATGATGAACCACTTCAAGGTCCCTGAATCCCTCCCTTATACCATGGAACCTCGGTTGCCAAACACTTTGGGAGTCAAATGTTTCAGAAGTCTAACGGTCTTCTGGAACGGATTACGTTTGACAGCCAAGGTTCCACTGTATTTGAATTTGCTTTGGCTTAGACAGCCTTGCAAACGGAGGACCTCTTCACACAGAGGACAGCCCTCAGACAGCTTTTTCTCCCTCCTCTTCCTGCCACCCCAATAGTCAACAGAGCCAAGGAAACTGGCACCACTCTCTTGAGTTACATAAGAACATACGTAGAGCCCTGCTGGTTCAAACAAATGGCTGGTCTGGTCCAACATCCTGTTCCCACAGGGGCCAACCAGGGGCCTGTGGAATACCTGCGTGTGGCACCAGAACCCCTCCTGCACCTTCATTTTAGATCGTATTATGTTTTATGTGGAAATAGTTCAGTTTGGTTGAGTACTTTTTTGATGTTTTACTTACCTTTTATGACTACTTTTGTTACGTTCATAATTGTGTGGCTTTTCAATTTTGTTGGAAGCCGCCCAGTGTGGCTGGGGCAACCCAGCCAGGTGGGCAGGAGAAAGGAAATAAATAAATTATCATCATGATGTTCGCATGGTTTTAGCCAGTGCTATTTTTCTAGAAAGGGATGCAGGTGGCGCTGTGGGTTAAACCACAGAGCCTAGGACTTGCCGATCAGAAGGTCGCGGTTCGAATCCCCGTGACGGGGTGAGCTCCCGTTGCTTGGTCCCTGCTCCTGCCAACCTAGCAGTTCGAAAGCACGTCAAAGTGCAAGTAGATAAATAGGTACCGCTCCAGTGGGAAGGTAAACGGCGTTTCCGTACGCTGCTCTGGTTCTCCATTAGCAGCTTAGTCATGCTGGCCGCATGACCCGGAAGCTGTATGCCGGCTCCCTCAGCCAATAAAGTGAGATGAGCGCCGCAACTCCAGAGTCGGTCACGACTGGACCTAATGGTCAGGGGTCCCTTTACCTATTTTTCTAGAAAAAGAGATGCCAGAGCTTTCCACAAACTTCTCCCTTGTTCTCTTAGAATGGCAATGGCGTCCACCTGAGAGTTCTGGCAAGTTCTGGCTGGGGAAAAAAAGCCCTGGTTTTAGCAACAGTATAGAAATAAAATGATATATGTTTGTATGTGTGTAAAGGGAGTCCATCTCAATTAATTTATTTATAGTTTATTAATTAAATTTAAACCCCACCCTTCCTCCCGGAGGAGTCCAGCACACAGTGAGTCTGAGTTCTCCATCTCAACGATTGTTATGCGTTGGAAAATTGGCAGCCGCCTTTTCCATTGTGAGGGACCATCTTACATGAAAGGACTTCTGAAGCAGTGGCCTTATCAAGGCCAACATATTCTCCGACAGCCTCCTCCTGCCAACTGTGGCAAGGTCTTATGTAAGCCTGACTGAAGCCCTCTTGAGGAGGTAAGGGTGCCAGGAATCGGAGCCCACTTACAGGACAGTCAGCTCACAAGGCAAGGTCAGGTTTGGGGCTGGGGGAGTCGTTGAGAGAAGGAAAGCCTAGTTAGAGGCCAATGCCAGGGACACACAGGAAGGTAGGTTTGCCAAAAGGGGCCCAGTCTGTGGTCCTCTAGCCTCATGCTATGCCCCCCCCATTTATGTATATTTCACCTGTGGCCCCCTTGGAATATCCTGGCGAAACACTGATGTAGATAACTATGTTGAAATATGGCATCCTTTTATAAAATACTTTACTGATAACACTGAAGAATTGCAACGACCTAAATCACAGATCGGACTTTGGCAAACTTAGATTGATCTGTCCTCATTGGGGGGAGGGGGCGAGCTGGGATTTTGTTTTTGTATTTTCCCCTCTCTCTTTTTTTGTAATTGCTATATACTGGAAATTAATAAAACTATATTTAAAAAGACAGTGGCCCAGCAGGTGTCTGTGGGAAAGCCACGAGCAAGATCTAAACACGAGAGTACTCTTCCCACCTGCAGTTCCCAATATCTGGTGTTCAGAAGCAAACTACTTCTGACCGTGGAGGTATGGATGGTGGGATTTGTAGTCTAGTAGCAGCTAGAGAGTGGGACGCAGGTGGTGCTGTGGTCTAAACCACTGAGCCTAGGGCTTGCTGATCAGAAGGTCGGCGGTTCGAATCCCCGCGACGGGGTGAGCTCCTGTTGCTTGGTCCCTGCTCCTGCCAACCTCGCAGTTCGAAAGCACGTCAAGTGCAAGTAGATAAATAGGTACCGCTCCAGCGGGAAGGTAAATGGTGTTTCCGTGCGCTGCTCTGGTTCGCCAGAAGCGGCTTAGTCATGCTGGCCACATGACCCAGAAGCTGTCTGCGGACAAACACCGGCTCCCTCGGCCTATAGAGCGAGATGAGTGCCGCAACCCTACAGTCATCCGTGACTGGACCTAATGGTCAGGGGTACCTTTACCTTTAGCAGCTAGAGAGGGCCGCATGTTTCCCCAGCCCTGGACCCTATAGGGAGGTCCACTTCACAGATCCACCCAGTGAGGTGGACAGGGCAATTGACAAAAACGTAGGCCATCAAAAATTGTGCCAGTCTTCAAAGGTACCACAAGACCCTTTGCTGTTTAAGAACGTAAGATGAGCCTGCTGATATTGAGCCACTAGCCCATCCACTCCACTCAACCACCCCCTATCACCTGCCACCCAAGGCAAGCCCTGGCCCCACTGACTGCACCGACACCTTGCTCATTGGGTAACCTCTTCCTTTGTCCACCTGTTCATTTGGCTGCTCCCTCAGCCCCAGCTTTCAGCATCTGTCTCCACCGGCATGTTGCCCTAATGTGACAAAGATGGTTGCCAAGGCAACAATTTCATTAAAGAAAATGGCAGGGTTTTAAGCCCGTCTAATTTCTCTAAGCAAAGTACAAAAAAAGAAGAGAAGAGAAGAGAAAGGATACTCTGGGGCTGCAGATTCCAGTGTTTCCGCACCCCCTGACGGAGTCCCATATGTCTCTTTTGAACCCCAAACCCTCTGATCAATCCAGGATTTAATCCCTCCTCCTCCTCCCCTTTCCCAGGCTGATTCCCCAAGGAGCCAATTCCCTTCCTCTCATTTCCTGGGAAACTTTGTGATGGCTTAAAAAAACGCAGAAGCCTGAACATCTTCTCATGGAACCATGTGACTGGGTCAAGGCCTTTTATCTGGCGGAGATGCTGGAAATTAGGGTAAGGGCTTCATGGTCAAACGTGAGCGTGGTAATTAAAAAATAAAAAAGGGTAAGAAATGTATATGCTACCAGGGAACCACTCCTACTCCCATGACGGCTGTCGCTAATTATGAAAGGTTCATCCAATATTATTTAGGTGTGGGTTCAGGCCTAGTCTTGGGTCTGAGTCTCCCTTGGTCACCCTGATGGATGACGTTTGCATGTGGGGCAAGGGGGGTGCAGCTTTGCTCCTGTTTCTTAATGTCTCGTTGGCTTTTGACACCTGGACCGCGTCTTGGGGACACTGTGTTACAGTGGTTGCAGTCCTACCTACGGAACTGAGCCCAGAGAGTGCTTTTCAGCCCTCTGGTGGGTAGGTTACGGGGGGCCACAGGGCACAACCTTATCTCCAATGTTGTTTAATGTTTATATGAAGCCACTGCGAGTGGCCACAAAGTTTGGGGGCAAGGCTGATAGCTTTGCATCATATGGTCCAGGTCAACACGATGCAGCCCAAATATGGGTTGCCATCTTCTGGGTCTGCACTCCTGTGTGAGTCACATGACCAGCACAAGATCACTGCCCCCCCCATGCTTTTTCGGAGGCAGCACCCGAAAGCATTGCAGCCTGGAAGAGTGCTTTCTTCAGGGCAGCGATTTTGTTCGGCGCCTGACAAATGTGTATTTTCAGGCGCCATGCCTGAAAAAAGTGCAGCCCACATTTGTGCAAGATTGCAGCGGCCGTTTGGCTGCTATCCTGTCATGAGAAGAACCGGGATGTCCTGGTTTTTTTCTGGGACAGTTGAGGGGTATGCAAACCCCAGCATCTCCAGGTAGGCCTGGGAATATCCCTCCCTGCCTAAAATCCCGGAGAGCTGCTGCCCATCTGTGCAGGCAATATTGATCTCTATGGACCAAGGTTCTGACTGGGCGGAAGGCAGTTTCCTCTGTTCCCACCCACATCTCAACTCCTTTGCAAATCTGTCTCGGCGCAGCTGCTGTGAGTGGGCTGCACATTTCCGCGAGGCCACCCTGGACTTGGGAGATAAGAGATGAGAGGAGGAAGTCGCTTGAGGTTAGCCGGGGGAATGTCAACAGTCAGCTCTGGGGTCCGTCCTACCAAGCCGTATCAGACGTGGGCATTGCCCTTGTCTAGGGAATAATTAGCTGTTTGGAGGTTTCTGCTATTTATTTCCACTAAGTCAAGGGGCAAAGCAGAAGATAAGCATGTTCTTAAAAAAGAAATGGTGGGGGGATGGCCATATATTTTTTAATGAGAGACATGATGTTAAGAAGCTAAGAACAGCTTGGCTGCTCAATGGCCCATCTATCCCAGCATCCTGTTCTCACAGTGGCCAAACAGATGCCTGTGGGAAACCCGCAAGTAGGATTCGAACACAAGACCCCTCTCCCCTCCTGGGGTTTCCAGCAGTTGGTAAACTTGAGCCAGCAGTGCTGCAGATTGGGACCCTTCCCTAGGCAGCCAGGAACGGGGACCTTGTGGTACCAAGAGAGCCACAGATTTCATACCCCTGAATGATAGTCTTTCTTGGCTGACGGTGCATGCTCTACCTCTTTCTCATAAGTTGCTACATTATTTTCCTTAAAAAACAAAACAAAACACCTTGGGGCATAAGTGGATGAAATTTGCAGGCAAGTTAACTCCATCTTAAGACATGATTCCTGCTAAATTTCAGGAGGATAACAGCATTGGTTTCTCCACATGGGCAGTTCGGAGTGAGTAAAACGGGAATTTCTGGATTTCCCCATGTGTGTAAAATCAATAAGCCAACCAAGTACCTGTGGGAAACCCATAAGCAGGACCCGAACACAAGAGTGCTCTCTTTCTGTGGCTTCCAGCAACTTGTATTCAGCAGCATTACAGTGGTACCTCTGGTTACGTACTTAATTCGTTCCGGAGGGCCGTTCTTAACCTGAAACTGTTCTTAACCTGAAGACCACTTTAGCTAATGGGGCCTCCTGCTGCTGCCGTGCCGCCAGAGCACGATTTCTGTTCTCATCCTGAAGCAAAGTTCTTAACCCGAGGTACTATTTCTGGGTTAGCGGAGTCTGTAACCTGAAGCGTATGTAACCTGAAGCATATGTAACCCGAGGTACCACTGTATTGCTTCAGACCATGGAGGCAACACATATCCATTATGGCTACTAGCCATCGATAGCCCTCTCCTCCATGAATGTGTCCAATCTTCTTTTAAAGCCCTTTAAGTTGGTGGTCATCACTGCCTCCTGTGGGAGAGAGTTCCATAGTTCAACTATGTGCAGTGCGAAGAAGGACTTTCTTTTATTCCCAGGATAGCTCAGTCGGTAAAGCATGAGACTCTTACTCTCAGGTTCGTGGGTTCGAGCCCCCTGTTGGGCAAAAGATTTCTGCATTGCAGATGGTTGGACTTAGACGATCCTTGTGGTCCCTTCCAACTCTACAGTTTCTAATCTTCCAATACAGTGGTACCTCAGGTTAAGTACTTAATTCGTTCCGGAGGTCCGTTCTTAACCTGAAACTGTTCTTAACCTGAAGCACCACTTTAGCTAATGGGGCCTCCCACTGCCTCCCCGCCGCCGGAGCATGATTTCTGTTCTCTTCCTGAAGCAAAGTTCTTAACCCGAGGTAATATTTCTGGGTTAGCGGAGTATGTAACCTGAAGCGTATGTAACCCAAGGTACCACTGTACTCAGTTTGATTGGATCTCCACGAGTTCTGATTTACTGGCTACAATCTTCCCTGTGCACTAGAGTCCACAGCTGTTAAGCTGATACTTGTGACCTCAGGATTTATTCCACATGCTTCTGTTAAGTTCAGTGTTCTCTGAGCTATGCAAAGTACATCCAAATCTTCCTTCTTTTTTTATTATTCCTAGGCCTCAGCAGGGGAGGACTTAAACCCCCCCAGCCAAAAAAGTGGAACAGTCTAGGGCTCTCCCCAAGCTAGGTTGGTCTATGGTGGTAGCCATCAAAACACTTTTCATGGGGGCGTTTACAAAGGAAGCGGGGCGGGGGGGAGATCCACCAGTAGGAAAAAGCTTCCAACTGCACCACACTCAGTTCCACAGGCTATTTCTGAAACAAAAAATGAGGGCAGTTCTTTACCAGTAATCAAGAACAGGTGAGGCTGGTATACACACTCTTGGGCTTACATTGTAAATCACTTTGAGATTCTTCATGGGAAGCAACTCTCAAAAAATTATTATTATTATTATTATTATTATTATTATTATTATTATTATTATCCTAACTCACAGGACTGTTGTAAGAGGGAAAGTGGGGGAATCATGCATGCTGGCTCAAATTTCTTGGGAGAAAAGTTGGAATATATATATAATAAGATCATTATGAAAAGCTGGTTATTGGTGTTAATGCTGAGTCATGGAATGTGCAAAGTAAATTTCTTTCCGTTGGCACTGAGGAAAGTTCCCTTGGCACGGTGTGTCAAGTAATGGGTGGCATCTGGCCGGCTCAACATCCCTGAAGCAATACAGATTATGGAAGCCTATTGAATCAACGCCCGGGCACCAAAGCTACATTTGTGTGCAGCCTTTAAACTGAAATGACCCCAATTATTTTGCATTCTCTTAGTTTGTGCCTTGGTTTTTTAAAAAAATGAGTCTACTCAAGCCCAAGTTCTCTGAGGGCTTCCAAAGATTTTGCAGATGGAAGTCAGGGCAGAAATGCTGATGAGAAGGTAGGCCCAGTTCTGAATGAACTCAGCTTGAACAAGTCCAGTCAAGCCAGAGTTGGACTGGGCCTGAACATTGGTTGCAATTCGGATCAGGTCCTTCCCCCATCACTTGGAAGTTTCTACAGTCCAGAGTCCCTCCACCCCTTCCACTCACTGTGCACCTGCTTTTTTTTAAAAAAACCTAACTACTATTGTGGGACGCGGGTGGCGCTGTGGGTTAAACCACAGAGCCTAGGACTTGCCGATCAGAAGGTCGGCGGTTCGAATCCCCGCGACGGGGTGATCTCCCGTTGCTCGGTCCCTGCTCCTGCCAACCTAGCAGTTCGAAAGCACGTCAAAGTGCAAGTAGATAAATAGGTACCGCTCCGGCGGGAAGGTAAACGGCGTTTCCGTGCGCTGCTGTGGTTCGCCAGAAGCGGCTTAGTCATGCTGGCCACATGACCCGGAAGCTGTACGCCGGCTCCCTTGGCCAATAAAGCGAGATTAGCGCCACAACCCCAGAGTCGGTCACGACTGGACCTAATGGTCAGGGGTCCCTTTACCTTTACTATTGTAAATGTAAAAAGCTGCAGCTTTACTGAATACAACCAAAGGAAACATTCCCCAGCTCCAAACATTTACCCAGCCCCAATTTTAACCTCTCGATCCTTCCTGACGGCAAGCAAAGAAATCAGAAAGATAAAAATCAGAATTGTAGAACCCAGAGCTACAGCAGTCAGAGTGGTTTAACAATACAGCTCACTTCCCAGGGAATTCTGGGAACTATTAGGGGGTTTCCTAACCACTTCCAGGACCCTTATTGAACTACAACTCCCATAAATCTTTGGGGAAGCCGTGACTGATTAAAATGGTATCATAGTGCTTTAAATGCAGGATGTGAACATGGTGACTGAGGCAGATGGTTGGTGTTGTTATCCCTAATGTATATGCACATAACAAAGTTAAACCATACTTTAATAAATTTATCGGGCTTTGAAATGCTGCGCAAGATGCTAAACTTATGTATCCACTTTTCCATAAATGTACCAAACATATTCCATAAACAGAGCAAACCTTTGGGTGACAGTAGGTTAAGGGAGCCCCTTCCAGGTTTCCCCAATATTTAGCTATAGAAAGGTGAGCTTCCATTAAAAGATGCCTTATTATTTTTTGCTGTTTTCCTCTTGTTGCTAAACAGGTGACAGTGAAGGGAGAGCATCGGAAGCAGGATATTACCCTGATAGTGGATCCGAGGGGATAAAATAACTCTTCATTTAATATGTGGTCATGTCCTCTTCTGAATACCAGTTTCTGGAGACCACAGGAGGAGAAAGCACTCTTGAACCCAAATCCTGCTTTCGGATTTCCCGTAGGGGCACCTGGTTGGCCACTGAGAACAGGATGATGCTGGGCTAGCTGGACCACTGGCCTGATCTAGCCGGGATCTTCTTAGGTTCTCTTCTGGTCTTATGGAGGAGCCCACAGGGCAAGTCAGCACCATGGAGAGCTCCTCAAGGGCAACATGATCCAACGAGGGCTGGAAGGAAACTCAGGCCTTTTCAGCCCTTGTCTTCAGCCCTGACTTCAGCCCACCTCTCCTAGCCTCCACCCCTTTCAGAGGACTATTAAAGGGTCAGCCCTCTGGCCAGAAAATGGACACTTCTTCTGCTCTCCAGTCTTTCACCTGGAGCAAGCGCTGCAGCACTGAGCACTATGCAAGGTCCACTGTTCCTTGGGTCCAGGAGAGGCACCCAGCTCTCATCCCATGGGTGCTGTGGGATCCAGTTCAAAGGCCACCCACCTGCCAGCTGGTGACACCGTAGCCCAGGCATCCCCAAACTCGGCCCTCCAGCTGTTTTGGGACTACAACTCCCATCATCCCTGACCACTGGTCCTGTTAGCAAGGGATGATGGGAGTTGTAGTCCCAAAACAGCTGGAGGGCTGAGTTTGGGGATGCCTGCCGTAGCCTCTGTCTCAGTGTCCTGACCACTGATGAATTGTGGGGGTCATGACAAGCCTTGAAGTTACCTTTCTTGTTTTTCCTTAAATAATTAGAGTATGAGGACCCATGAGTCTTCCAGGGAAGGCAATGCCAGGAGAGAGGAGACTGGTTTGCTCACTCTCCCACTGTGTCCCACTAAGAGTCTTCGCATGGGAAGGAACTCACTCTCAGCACTAATGCAGGAATTTTCCTAAAGTCTGCTCCAATCACAGGGTAGGTGGGAAAAGAGATCAGCTCCCCCTCCCTGAGTACTTCCCAGTAAGAATCACACCTCCCTCCTTATAGTAATTTAAAGGTAAAGGGACCCCTGACCATTAGGTCCAGTCGTGACGGACTCTGGGGTTGTGGCACTCATCTCGCTTTATTGGCTGAAGGAGCCGGCTTACAGCTTCCGGGTCATGTGGCCAGCAAGACTAAGCCGCTTCTGGCGAACCAGAGCAGCTCACGGAAATGTCGTTTACCTTCCCACCAGAGTGGTACCTATTTATCTACTTGCACTTTGACGTGCTTTCGAACTGCTAGGTTGGCAGGAGCAGGGACCGAGCAACGGGAGCTCATCCCGTCATGGGGATTTGAACTGCCAACCTTCTGATCAGCAAGTCCTATGCTCTGTGGTTTAACCCACAGCACCACCCGTGTCCCTATAGTTATTTGGGGGAAGACTTCTTCTTCTTCTTCTTCTTCTTCTTCTTCTTCTTCCTCTTCTTCTTGCATTCAAGGAGCTCAAGGTGGAATCTGAGAGTATGTCCCTCCCTAGTTAATCCCCACCACAACCCTGTGAGGTAGGTTAGTGCTGAGAGACAGCGACTGGCCCGCAAGGGCACCCAGTGAGATTTGGCCGTGTGGGGATTTGAACTCTGTTCTCTCCCAGGTCCAACATTCTAACCCAGTGTTTCCCAAACTCGGGTCTCCAGCCGTTTTGGGGACTACAATTCCCATCATCCCTGGCCACTGGTCTTGCTAGCTAGGGACGATGGGAGTTGTAGCCCAAAAGCAGCTGGAGACCCGTGTTTGGGAAGCACTGCTCTAACCACTGGCTCTGATGACTGTCCTGTGGCTCCTGGAAGGTTGCCCACATGAGAGTGTAGCTCTTCAGTTACAAAAGGCTTCAAACCCCTCAGGTAGACAATGCTAAGATGGCCAGTGGTCTGACTCTGTGTAGGGCAGCCTCTTAATATTCCTTCATCCACCTCTTTTGCTCAGGCACAGAACTGTTTCCTTTGGACCTGGGACTTGCCTCAGTTGTTCCAACCAGAGTCTGAGTACAGGCCTAACTGAGAAAATCCAGCTTCCAAGCTCCTCCAGATCTTGCAGCCAGATTGACCGTTGCCAGCTGGCTGAGCTCGCGACAATTGTCCCTTCACGTGAGCGTCCATAACCACTTTGGGTGGATGCTGGAACCTGGGCTCCTGGCTGCCTCTAGCGAGTGACTCAGTCTTGTTCAAAAACCTCCTAAATGGATAAATGACTCTGACAGCCAAGGAAATAAGAGAACGATTCTTGGTCCAAACACTCATTTAATCAGGATGGTCTTTGAGAAAGAAGCTCCTGAGCCAGTTGATCCCTCAAACCAAATGCCAGGAATCACTAGTAGGCTGTGAGGAAGGAATTAAAATCAATCAAATTTGAGCAAGCACCACAAGAAGGTTGCCCAAGGCATATTCTTTGTCATCATTTATTGGTTGGTTGCATTTCTCTTCCACTTTTCCCCCAATTCGTTCAACTGCTTAGATGGTCCATCTTCCCCTCTCCATTTTATCCTCACAAAAGCCCTGTGAGGTAGATTAGGCTGAGAGCCGGTGACTGGGCCAAGGCTGCACTTGGTCTATTTTTGGACGCCATTTTGAATCAAGATGGCAGACTGGGTCTTTCAAAATTCTGCTGCTCTTCATAAAATTTTGCATAATGATTCCTGAGGTCAATAAGCAGGCTTTTCCTCTATGTTTTGATACAACCAGATGCCATTTTGAATCAAGATGGTGGACTGAAACTTTCAAATTGCACCGATTTTAAGTACTGATTTCAAGACTGCTCTTATTTTTTGGCTTCTATGCATCTCTAAGCAACACTTGGTCCTAGGCTGCTAGCGTTGAATGAAGCTTGGTGCTGGCCACATGACCCAGAAAAACTTTCTGCGGACAAACGCCGGCTCCCTCAGCCAGTAAAGCGAGATGAGCGCCACAACCTCAGAGTTGTTCGTGACTGGACTTAACTGTCAGGGGTCCTTTACCTTTACCTTTAGTCCTCCAAGGAGCTCAGTGTGGTATACATGATTTTCTACCTCTCTATTTTATCCTCACAATAACCCTGTGAGGTAGGTCAGGCTCACCCAAGTGAGCTTCATGGCTCAAATGGGGATTTGAACCCAGGTCTGAATCCAACATTCTAACCACCACACCACTGGCTCACTGGCTCACTGGCTGCATAAACAGAGAGTGCATAAAGTAAGGAAAACAAACTGCAGCAAAATGCACAATAAAAGCCAAACTTCACCATTTTTTGGTGGGCGAGAGCTTTGTACGTCTATCTGAATTTGACACATAAGAAACAAAATTGCACTCAACGGCCTAGAAATGTTCCTTACTCTGAGAAACACACGAGTTATTTCCTCTACGATAGCCAGAGACCACAAATTCTGGTACCACAACGTTTAAGTCCTTCAGCTTCTTCCTTTCCTGGGCCAAAGAAGTCCTCACCTCAACCAGTGCAATGGATAAACATATTGACGTATGCGATAGGTGGATTACGTGTGAAAAGTTGTAAACAAAGCGTGTGAAAGGATATTGTTAGGAGAATCTACTTTCTCAAAAGACTGTCTAAAGAACATGTGAAGAATGTTTGTGCAGGAAAAACTCGGCCTTGAGCGAGCCTGATAGATAGTTGGTGCCCTGTCCTTCCCATAGTAGCAGGCATCTGATAATACAGACATGCTTTCCCTCTGAGAATGTGTCTTCATTTCTACGCATGCGTAAAGCTAAAGCGAGGAGAAGCCTGTGTGATTGACAGGCCTGGGGACTTTTGGGGGGTTCCCCAGCAGCCGCTGTGGTTCTGACCAAGTAAAACTGCCTTAAACATCACAACTGGTGTTGTTAATGGAAGAAAACCACCAGCATCTGTGTAAGAAGGTCCTCCGATCGGAGGGGTTTGGATCAGAAAGTTAGCTTCTGAGCAATTTCACATCAACCCCTCCTCGTTCCCTTTTGCCTGTGTGTCCCTCAGTTTGCAACCTGTTTTGGAAAAGGATTGTGCTGCCCTTCCATGTTCCATACGTGATTTTTCTTTGCGTGCGTGCTCCATGTGGCTTAGGATCATAGAGTTGTTGAGTTGGAAGGGACCCCAAAGGCCATCTATTCCAACCCTCCCGCAGTACAGGAACCACAGCGATTGGCTTATGCCTTGTGAAAGCAAAACGACTCTATGGTTGCAAAAAAAGAAGAGAATTTAAAAAGCAGAGGCATGAAGTGAGAGGTAAGTCGTAAGTGGAAATATTAAGAAACACGCACACAACCCCTGCCCAAATCCCACTTTCAGTCCTTCAGTTGTTTTGTTGAAATGGTTGCTTGAGCTGGTTCCAAAGATGTCATTTTGCTTTCCTGGCAAAGTAGTTAAAATGAAAAAAGAAAAAAGTGATGTCATATTGTTGAGAACTGGTGGGTGGGGGGACTGATGCGCAGGAGGAGGGAGAGTGGAGAAAGGAGATGGGCATATTGCTGATTCGCATATTTGTGAAAGGAAGGTTGACTCAAGTGCTCAGAGGAATGGCACACCCTCCAACATTTCTCTGATGAAAATAGGGACATCCTATTCTACATCAGGAGAAGCTTCTCCCACGTTTGATCTCGCCACACGTACAGGAATAATACGCAAATCTACATCGGTCACCCTGAGCCAGCGACGACCTCTCTGCCAAACCGACCTTGCAGGACTGTTGTAAAGTAAAAAAGGTGTGAGGGAAGGGAATGTATGAAATAGGATTTCAGGGGTTAGCTGCCTTGAGTCCCTGTCAGGGGAAAAGATGGGATATATTATTATTATTAGAAATTGAAACTGTGAGAATGATAGGAACATACCAGAGAGCAAATCCTATTGAACTCATTGGGACTTAATTCTGAGTAAAAAAAAATGTTTAGGATTAAAGTGTAAGGCTGCCCAGTCTTTACCTAGTTACCTGGGAACAAGCTACATTGAATACAGTGGGATTCCTGAGCAGACAGCATAAGGCTCCCTTTACAACAAAGGAATAAACACTCCATGTGTTTCCTAAGAAATGGCTGGCTGCCTAAGCAGGGCAATGAAAGGATTTAAAGCAGACTGGTGACCTTTTCCTTCAAAATTATAGGAAGGGCTTCCTTTGGTGCAGGTGTTTTATTTCCAGTATAAGGACTCTGGTTTTGCACCCACCTACCACGTTTAATTGTTCTCTGAGACGTGGAGGGGAGGGAAAAAGAAAAAAACAGAATATTCCGGGATCAAATCAGAAACCGGGACGGCTTCTGTAATTCCGGGACTGTGCCTGGAAAATCGGGACACTTGGAAGGTATGTGATGGCTAGAAAGACTGTGCTTTTTTTGAGCGCCATTAAGTAAAAACTGTGCCATCTT